GGGGGGGGGGGGGTCGCGATAATTGTGCTTTTTGAGCGCACGCGCCTTCCATTGCGTCACACTTTCACACAGGTGAGAAGAAAATCGAAGGCGTAATTTAGTATTGAGTTGACGAATCGGGCTTTGCAATACGTACGAAAATTACGAGATTACTAATAGCCAGCGCAAACGCGTTGTTCGGTAAATAACAATAATATTAATAATAATAAAGAAAATTGATTAGATAGTCCAGACGAATTCAATCGAATTTAGGTATTATGGCATTAACGTAAATCAAGACGTAAGCTTGCGGTTATCTACTTACTAATTGCGGATAGACGTAAACTAATTAAATGATAATTAATTAATAATGTGGGTGAAGTGAGGGAAGAAGGGATGATGAAAGAAGAAGAAAAATTACCGGCCATATTAAATTAGGGTTTTATGATAAAGCAGATCCAAGGTCGAAACAAAATAATACCTAGTTAACTTACATTCTGGTGAATTTAGTATTGTATAGTGGCGTCTTCAAAAAGTAGTAGATTTGCTTCATCGTCTTGATCTGGCAACATTATTTCTTCGCTATTGGTTAATGGTTAACGGATCGCACGTACTTTTATTTAATAATTTTTACTTTTTCCGTTAATTCGACGTGACACGATAGCCTTGAAATGTGCAACGTTCATTGTGATCGGTCAACTTAAGCTGTACGAAAGACTATTATTCTGAGAGAAATTAGAACCTCGACAAAAGAAACGTAATCAGGAGAACAAAAAAGTAACTTCACATTTCCAGCAATGTGTTTCCTGGCTGCTAGACGAACTGTGTTTTTCATTTTCGCCCAAGGAGGATAAAGAAAAAGAAAGAAATTCTTTCCATTTGAAATTTGATCGATCTTTAAACGTGAACGATGTACACTAGTATTTCATAATTGATATCGAACGATTTCCAAATATATACATATATACATATAATATATATAGTTTCTTAAGGCATTAAGCTAGCATATAGGCAATTTTTATACAATTTATATAAGCAATTTGCAAACTATTTATTTATTGCATGTTCTTGTTAACGTTTTGTTACTGGCACCATGTTTTCCATAACGTACCTTAATCCACGAGGTCTGGTACACCGTCGTGTCACAGAAGCTATGTTACTATTGTAAGATATCTCATCGCTTGATGTTTAAATAATTTATTATTGTGCTTCTGATATATTTATATAATTATCATTAAAATTATTAATCTCTAGGCGAGAGCGTGCACGCTGGCCTCTGGGAACAAGATAAAACAAAAGGTACGACGAGAAAGTGCCGTGAGTTTTTTCTTAGACCGTAGAGTCGCCACAAGACGTATCAAAGCTATAGTTAGTCAAGTTTTAAGTGAGCGTATATTCTTCAATAATTATTCTATCCATTACTTTAATCATAATAGCTAAAGAGACTAGATATCCGACTATAACCTTTTATTTTAACGCGCTGCACCGTTCAAGTGTTATTTGGGTTTTACCGCAGGCACTGTATACATTTCAAATTTAAGGACAAACTGTTAATTATCAACGCGCTGCTTTTTTATTACTTTTTTGTTTAATTTCCACCCAATCTTTGTATCTGCTGATCATTAAGACAAAACAGTAAAAAAAAAAAAGCGAAATTCCTGAATATGACTTTGTAAAAGCAGCCCAAATAGCACAAGGGCATTTCACGGCTCTCTAGCGGCAAATTTCCGAACTTATTACTCCGCGCTCGATATACGCCGATATGGTATTATATTGCCATTGTATATGTACATACAATTAGTTAAATAATTTACTCATAAAGGACGACTGAATTGAAAGAAATCCGCGTGCGGAATTTTGAGTGAGATTTTTAGTGTCCCCGTATATATTAGACAAATGTGAAGATAAATATGGCGTGTTTAGCAACGAATATTGCATTTAATGCTTTCGCAATTCTTGCGTCTTCTTTGCACGGGCAAACCTCTTCGACACTCGTATATTCAAATACACCGCACCCGCGTTCTCCGCTTAATTGCATGCTATAATTAATAAATAGATTCGGTGGCGTCCATGACAACTGACAATAACGGCTGTGAGTGTGACGTACATCCTCGAGATAGTGACTTTTCATGAGGAACATTTTGGGCAGCCTGCCCGTGCGAAGAAAGTATTGAAAATTTGATTCTTATCATCCTTACAAAAGCGATTGCTGTTCATCGGGGAGTGTGGGTGTGTCTATGTAGCGCTGAATGTCGTATGACAAATTTAAACGCATCCGACGAGACATTCAAGTGTGCATCGCGACGTTTGATTAAAAAGCAAGGAGAAAAAAAGGAAAATTTCGTATAACGTAGGATAGGGCATGTCCTAGATAATTACAGACTCTTTTAGTACTTCGATCTTCTCGAACAAAATGATGGACGAGAAAAAATGGATCTAGTATTAAATGTGCAGTATTTAGCTGCAATCGCTTTATCCGTCGGTTTCAAAGTTCTCGCATGATTAACCTCGATAAAAGCATCCTCGGGAAATTTCGTATGCTCTATACAGTTCCTCGAAAAAAGGTCAAGGTCGCACCTCAGGTGACTTTTTTTTTTACGCAGATGTCAAAAACACTACGCTACCTATATATTGTATGTACATGATTAGTGAGACGGACTATAATTGAATTGGTCGCCGTCCCTGCCCACCCTTGAAACCCCTGCCACACTCCCGCCCATTCGAATTACTTAGAAAAAAAGTTTATTTTCAAACTTAAATTTTCTTCGTGTAACGTAACGTATAAGAAGTCATCTTTAAACTACAGTAATGGTGTATGTATAATGTGATTCAGCTCTCGCGGTCCTGCCAAATCGGCAAATGTTCTTGGATGCTCCAATGTTTTTAGAGACATTTTAGATGGGATTTAATCGGTCAGACACGCTTTGTAATGGTAATTTTTATATATAGGAATATCGCTAGTAGTTATCGATTTGGTGTGGCCGAGGCGTTAGGTATAATCATAAGATTGAGTTGTTACATATTTATTTGTCATTTACCTAATGGAATAAGCTCTATAGCTGCAATGTATGTACAGTTACCGTATTAAAATTAATACTGATAATTATCAGGTATAATGATTATTAATCATTATATATTATTATATAATATATCGGCAGTTTTCATGCAAAAAACAAATGAACGCGTAAGAGGAAGTGAAAAATTGTAACATATTTGTTGATGGCCAATATCAAATATGTATTAAAATAATAATACAACATTAATAATAAACAAACATTACTAACACAGTCTTATTTATTTCTTGGAATTAATTTGACTCTATTTCATTAGAAGGCGTTTGGGTTAATAATCATTTTTTCTGCGATAAGAATTCTATAATTGTTTAATGGGGAATGCTATTTATTATTAAAAGAATATAATCAAGAGTCGCATATGATAGTCAATTCGATTTCTGTGCCAAGAACCATGTTTCATCTTGGTTTTAATATGGCAGTAGGGATATTTTCGAATGCATAACGAAGGTTTTCTCTTGTGTGGCGAGAAATTGTACGACATTGATAAAAAATGCCAAAACGGGCTTGTCCATTTGATGATAATTTGTCACCACAATTGAAAGTGCACGTGGGACAAAAACAAGTTGATAATGGTGTTTTTAAAGAGGCACGAATGAAGAAAGTTTACGGTAAGGAGGTTATGTTCTTCTCCTTTGAATTCATATTTATCTAAATGTTTCATTGTAAAATATTTCCTTTGCAGATAAAACTCTAAATCTACTAAAGCTAGGAGCTAAAGAGTTAGCCCAAAATGAAAATGATGATTCTATCGATACAAAGCCTGCTGAGATATTTGCTCCTAAAGTATTATGCACTAATAAATCTAAATCCCAACAAAATTTGAAACAAATGATTTTAAATAATAAATTGCAACTCGAGACTACAGGGAAAGATATAAAGGTAAACTATTCTAAAGTTCTAACAAAATGAATTTAAAAATGATATTTTATTTTGCATATTGCAGGATATTCCTTTAGGGCTATGCGGATGTTGTCGCATGATTGATCAAAATGAATCAACAAAATGTTGTTACTGTGATAAAATTTTATGTTCATCGTGTTTGGCTAACTGTTCAAAGTGCTTTGAAACATTCTGCAAAAATTGTTCTCTCATTATGTAAGTAATTGTAGTACCTTTCATTGGGCTTTAACATATTTGATTACTTTTTGATTACAGGTATGATGGTGGCGAACATAGCTTATGCTTGAACTGCTATCACTGATTTTACAAAGACTGTCTAACAAAACTACTGCGATCAATTTATATAATTTATTAATGCATATTTATGAGGTATTTATTATACATTCAAAAAGCATGCCTTGCTTGTAAGCACTTGTACTTCCTTAATTTTGTAATTAAAATATACGTGTGTTGCAATTTCAATAATATATTTTTTAATAAAGTTACTTTTTTTAACGCGCATTTTACAATTTCGTTTTCAAATGGCGCACTAATTTGATATCTACATTTTTTAAACCTGAAAATAAAGATACAGCACGATCATATTTTTAGCATTCATTAAATATTTCAATTTGATTTTTAAATGCTTGCAGGTATATCGTTGGTTAATATATCTTTTCATTTTTCTCCGGTTAAGTAACACATTTTAAAAATATGCTTGGAAAACCTTACGATAAATACACGGATTTCATTGGTCACATCTTACCGTTTGAATGTAGTAAACACTGAAAACTGCCCTTGCACGATCAAGATTACAGTAAACATTCGACAGAGACTGGTAAAATGGTTATAAGCGAAATTCACTTGAAGGTTTCAGAAAATTACTCATGAAGCGTAAGTTTTTTTTTATGTACATATGTATATCTACATTCCTTTTTGAAGAATCATATTTGGTAATATTTCTATAATAAAAAGTAAGGATTGACCACCCAAGATATTTTTTTAATCTTCTACTGCCAACCAACGATAATAAAACTGAATACGAATTATTTTTATTAGGGTATTGAAATCCATCAGTTAATGGAGGAAGAAAATTCAAAAGTGATAGATACACAAAATATAAGGATATTAATTCAAAATCGTCATATTCCACAAGAAATTACTACAAACATGCAAGTGCATGAAAATAGAGAAAATGGTATCTATTCTTCAAGTAACAGTAAAGTACGTTGTGGATCTCAAAAAAAGTTTGTTAACCAATCACTGATTAACGATTCACAACATTTAAGTGCAAAATATCATATAAGTGAAACAAAGAAATCAAGAAATCCAAATGAACTTAATGATACAAGCAATAATGATACACGTAATATGGTTAAGCCACATGAGGATAAAATGTCGCCATCAATAAAATGTTATCCTAAATTCATAAGCAATACCTGTGAAAATTCAATTACGACTGAAGTTAATGCAAGTGTTAATGAGTCATCAAATGTTAAATTAACAACATGTATTGCCAGTAAATCAGAAACAGATGTTCAAACAACAATGGAACATAAAGATAGACAGCCTAAGATCCAAGATAGTAAAAACATGAATTTAATAGGTCAAAAGAGAAAATCCTCAAAGACAACAAGTAAGAGGCAAAATGATAAGAGCGTTCATACTCTTAATACATATTCTTTACGATCTTTAGAAAAAGCAAAAAAACGAGTTGATACGATTACAGAAAACCCAAGCACAAATGCATCAAAAATAAAACCAAAGAAACACAAACAAACTATGCGAAAGAAACCTGCGAAAGCTTCAGGCAAAGATCAAACAATACTAAATGGAGATGCATTAACCAATGATGAACTTAAAACCCTATATAAAAAATTTTTATTTCATGGACATTTTCGCGCTAATCCAAATTTGCCACCATTTATCTTGCTTCTAGAGAACGGACATAATAATAATCCAGTGAAAATCCACTGCTGCGCACCTAAACACTGTTGTGCTGATTCTTCTCAAACTACAGTAAGTTCAAATCATACGGATAAAAAATGTATGGACAACTTGAAAAAAAGTACAAACAACCCTAAAGAATCTTCCTCTGAGAACAGGGAAAATATCCAACATCAAAAATGGAAGACTTGTAATAGCCCAGTCTTTATAGATTTAACTACATGTGGATTGGAAACATGTGACGCAAGCACTAATACCGACGTTAATCAGTTGAATACAATAAGCTCTATCTCAAACACAAGTCAATGGAATCCTCTTGTCAGTACAGTAAATAATACACAAACACCAATTGCCGGAAATAGCAGCGACTATGGGTACATGCATTGCAATGACACACAACTGATGGCTCAATCTAATAATAATCGACCATTTCACAAGATTATAGGATTAAGTTCCCCAAAAAAATGCACTCCTTCAAATACATGGACTGAGAGTCCAACATATTCCAGTCATGCCTTACATTCAGCTATAAATAATCAGTCTGCTATAAATAATAGAAGTTTTAACAAAGAAATTCCAATCTTCAATAATTCAACAATCCAATCAAATCATTCAAACATGTTGCCAAACGTTTTAAATGCAACTTTAAATAATAACGACGAATCAAGTATGAATACATTTCAGTATATAAATCCCAATGTATTCAATAGACATTCAATATTCAACAACTTTGTAGCAACAACAAACAGTAACAATAATGTATTATACAATACAAGTCATTTCTCTCCACCAAAAAGCAGTGAGAATTTCGTAATGAATAGAAGTAACAACTTAGTCAATTCTGGAGTTACAGTGCTACCAGTACGGAATAATTTTCAAACGCAACTTGATCCACAGACATACAACAATAATATCTGTTATGCTTATCTTGGACAACAAACTAATGGAACGAACATACCAGTAAATAACTATCCAAATTTTCTTGAGAATAGTATGCACAATGTACACAATGCAAATGTTTATCTCAATTCGCCGAACGATTATACTGGAACTTCACTTACCAATAGTATTGGTAACATTCATACTCAAGGAAGCGGCATGAATTCTTTTGTCATGCAAACGGATTCATCAGGTTCAATTGGTCTCTTACCAAGTATACATACGATTCTACCAAGATCGCACGTAACTGGTGAATCATCAGTTAATTTTAGACGGGATATTGATATAAATAAAGTAGGAGATATGAATAACATTCAGGGCAATAATTGTATTGGTAATAGTCATATGGAACAAAATGCCAATTTAAATACAAACATTATGAATGATCCAGAGTCATATCTTCCAATTTTGTCACAATTGAAACAAGATAAAGAATTAAGTGAGTGCGAAAAAAGTATTGGAAATCAAGATTCAAACACAATGGATTCTGCAAGCATTGACTTTTACCTGCAAACACAATCTTCTAAGTCTCCAGACTGTATGATCATTGACTCGGAGAAACCTGCGATATTGCAGAGCACTAAATCATCTAATATACAGCAACTTCGGCAAATCTTGGTTGATTTCACAAAGCAGTATCCGAACCATCAAGAATCACTGTATACGTCGAATCAATCCGAAAGTAAATATAAAGGTATTTAACTCGGAAATGTAAATCTATTACCTGATTCTTCTAATTCCGTGAATAATACTCTTAAATGAATATGAATCAAGGTGACACAATAACATTAGAGTATTATTTATTTAATTTAATAAAGATATATTATTTTCAGGATCACCCGACAATTTGGAACGGACTGCATCCTGCATAACACTTGATTAATATTATTTCTTAAAATTTTATTATTTTATACTTTCTGGTCATTGTATTACTATTATAATCAATAATTTTTTTTAAACTGTTCAGTCAATAAAAGTTCTTTTTACTGCAGCAATTAGATTAATGAAAATACAGATGCATATGAAAATAGATGTAACAGATTAATATAAAATATATTTACTAAGCAAGAAGTAAGTACATTACATGGTTTTCATGATTTCCGTATTCAAAATTTCCTACTTTCTTTATCCTGAAAGGCGGAGTTGCAAGTATCTTCGATAAGAATAAACAAATTCCGCTGTTAGAATAATTCAAATATCCTATAGGACGGCTCCCTCGTGGAGGCTCACGGAATTATACAATACAAAAGAAAATTGTGTATTAAATTTTTTTACAAATGTTGGCCACTTAGAACAAAGTATCGTAATTAGATAATGGGCAGTAGAGATCGCTAAAAATATCTATATACAATAATTGCCATTATTTCATAAGACTCACTTAAGCAGAATGAGTTATACTATAATACATATGCAAATAGTAATTATCAGGTCTGTATTATAATAAAATACTTTAGTTAATGCATTATGCGTTTTCAGTGATGGTAACTATATTACAATGTATTTGTAAAAGTTAATATATCGGGTGCATACGATTATATCTTCGATGAAAGTTAAACCCGTCCAATTTAAAATTGTGTTTTTAACTCTAAATCTAATAGCTTTGGTCCACGCAACATTCCACACGCTTTTTTGTTACATACTGTTCAATAAAATTCACGTTTCTTACGTAAGCTTTTCACTGTCACTGTGCTGAATTTCTTGTGCACTGATGACAAATGTATACGAATTTATATTATTGGCGATATTACTGAATTATTCACAATATGATTATGTATCTCTGATAATGGTTGTAAATTATAAAATCATTACGTCGGATACATAAAATCACTAAAATAATAACACACTTACAGTGGAGTCATTGCTGTATTGTTTTTGGCGTTGTTTCGGTAACCAGAAAAATCAACACTCAAATCCATTTCATCGACGTCATCACCCAGTAGGCGTCCCTCAACTTCAGCTCTTGATCTGCTAAATAGCCTGTAAACATTGACCGTCAATATACAATTTATATACATAAAGAGAACAATTAATCTCTATAGTATCTCACAGTGAATTTCGAAGCTTTCATAAAAATGCTTAAATCATTTACTCGGCAATTTTCACTGTGAGCAATTAACTGTCCAGATACGATTATAACGTATGCATATTTATATTTATATAACATGTAATAACAAAATAAAAAACTCATAAACAAAAAGACAAGCAGTATTTACAGCACTGTAATTGGTGTAAAATATAATAGAGAAAATTGTTAGTTGAAGACACCTTTTGTTATTTATAACATTGCATTAAGGCGTGTTAAGCAGTATCAGCGATTGCGTGGGAAGCTTAATAACAAAAAGGTCTTACTATGAGTTAAAGGTAGGATGAGAAATATGTGCTACCATCTTTTTTGCTTTAGGAGCATAATGTGACAACATGATTAGTAATGCGCGTAAAACATTCCATTAGTTAAAAATTTACCAGCTGCAGAAGTTCTGTACTTGGTCTTATCTCTCACAAATTCTTCATCAGCAAACCATTACTTCACAGAATAATAAATCGTACAATTAATACAAAATTAACGCAAAACAAAGCATGTACTTCCTAGTTATTTTATTACAATAAAGTATAAACGTATTCGAATTTGTAAAACAGCATAACACAGCACTTGTTTTAGTACAAGACTATCTTTTCACTTTTTGTTCGTTGGACAAAAAACTTGAAACCATTAAGTATTTACAGTGGAACAAATTTGCGTGAATAAACTTACAATTTATTCAGAAATGTGGAGTTATTCTGCGTAGCAACATGGCTTATCTTGTCTGTAGGAATATATGTATAATGACATATTTACATGAACGATTTTTATACAGTGTAACATTGTAAGCAAACGAAATATTTTCTACTTAAGTGTTATACAATAGTTAACGCAAATGAATCGCAAAATATAATATAGATTTATACACAGCAACAAATAATTACGGAATATTCAACATCTCAAAGGGAAAGAACAGTATTTCTTTTGAGTATAATTCATTTTCAGTTGTACCCTTTTTGAATCGGCGATTTATCAAAATCGACTATTATCGTATTAAGTAGAAAACTCAATTGGTAGAGAAACATAAGCATCAGCTGAATCAACATAAGAAGCAACCAGCTATGACTTATATAGTGACAATAACCTTTGGCATATCTGCGTTTAACAATAGATTACAAAAATATCATCTTCATTATTACAACTATGGGATAAATGTCATTCGAACTCAAGAACCTACCGTTTAGTACACAACTCCTATAATTAATAATAGTACTGACTCTCACCATAATGCATGAATAACAATATTATCCAACACGACAATCGTGTTGACACGATTGCCAAAAGCATGTTCCGACACAGTGGCAGCAATGTAGCATCAGGAGCATATTGAAAAACCAACGCAATATAATTTTAACCTAGTTCTGATTGACGGATAGCTTAATGACACTTTTGAGCATTCAAAGTCGCATCACTTGAACATATAAGTACGCAGGTACATAAAGTGACTTCTAAAATCAGAATTGTCATATAACGAGGGCATCATTTTCATACAAAAATATTAGATCCATAAGTGTTCTTTGTATCGTCAGCATAGTTACTGGCACTTTGAAAGTTTTGTCATGGTATTTTCATTTATACAGTGGGATGGTTTAAATTCTGTGAGGATTCGGGAAGAAGGTAGCTAATCTGGGCATACCTGGATATGGTTGATGTTGATCTGTGTAACATTGATGGCATACCATCGTCCAATCCACGATGTAACGATATTGCATCAGCGTCTATCATCCTGGCTGCTGAATGAGCACGCATTGCTGTAATATATTCTGGAGTTTCCAAAGTAACCCTTGTAGGCTTGCGATATCTAAACAAATATTGAACTTAGATGCATCAGTATCATGACCTCTTGATTTATGTAATCATATTCAAGACACTCACAGTTTTAACAACAGAGAGCTTGCAACAACCGACACAGAACTTAGTGCCATGGCTGCCGACGCCATCCAAGGCTGCAAAACGAAACCGAACGGACTGAACACTCCTGCAGCTATTGGAATGCCCAGAAGGTTATACACACTAGCAAATAAAAAGTTCAGTCTTATTCTGTGAACTGTCTTTTGTGAAAGATCCAAACACCCTATGACATCCAGCAAATCATTCTAAAAAAACAAATTCATATTGAAGATACGTAAAGACGTGTGAGAATTTAAGGAAAACTAGGTTGTGATATTTACCCTCATTAATACAACATCCGCGGCCTCCACAGCAACATCGGTACCGGAAGCGATCGCGATACCAAGATCTGATTGGGCCAAAGCTGGACTGTCATTTACGCCATCTCCAACCATTGCTACCCTGAATCCTTGTTCTTGAAGTCGTTGAATTTTCGCTACCTTATGAGATGGTAGCACTTCCGCGAATACTCTACTGATTCCCACCTGACAGTAGATTATTGATAATGTAATTAATGAGGGAAAGAAATATTTTACTTCAATATGGAATATCACCATACTTGTCTGGCAATGGAGGCTGCTGTCTTCCTATTATCACCCGTCAACAAAATGACTTCTAGTCCTCTTCTCTTAAGAGTGTAAACTGCTAAATGTGCTTCAGGCTTGACTGTATCAGCAACACTGATCATGGCAACCAAAATGCCATTTATAGCAACGAGAACTGCGGTATGCCCTAAATCTTCCTCATCTATCATTCGCATGTCGACTTCTTGTGGAACAGCGACAGCATTTCTCTTCATCCATTCCCTGTTCCCAATACAAACGTCGTGAACATCATTAGTGTCCGTTTGATCGCCATGCGTATCAGGACTGAGTAAAGCTTCGAGATCTAAATTTTGTTTCTCTTGGGATGACACTTGTAACGGCACCATATCAATAGGAACATTGTTTAAGTTAAATGTGCCGGAAGACATTTTTCTCGATTGATTCACATAGTTCGTAACTTTCTCTGACTTAGTAGCATAAGACATCATCGCAGTGAGATGAGAAACTGTACATTTGAGACCACAGCCAGGAACCGCTTGAAAACGCGCACACTGTCCATTTATTTCAGTTCCAATAGTTTCCTTAACATAACGAACGATTGCTGCAAGATAAATTCATTTCTTAAACGCATACTATGATAATACACCCTCAGATACAATATTAAAAATCTTAAAACTTACCTGATGCAATAGGATGCTCACTATTGACTTCAGCAGTGCCTACAATAGACAAAAGTTTCGCTACCGAGCAAACCTTGTCATTGACAAACAATCCAATCTTTGTAACAACAGGCACACCATAAGTCAATGTTCCAGTCTTATCAAAGACAATACATTTGACTTTGTGCGCATTCTCTAAAGGTTCTGCGCCCTTTATCAAAATTCCATTTAATGCACCGACCCCAGTACCAACCATAACAGCAGTAGGTGTTGCCAGACCCAATGCACAAGGACAAGCAATAGCTAATACGGACAAGGCGCATCTAAATGCATACTGAAATATAATTTCCTCTCTATTTAATCTCCCCTTGTTAATCTGATCACTATGCGAGAGTGGGAGGTAGTCTATATTCACGTAACCCACGACTGTCCAAACAATTAAGGTTAGCGTAGAGACAGCTATAACAAATGGTATAAAATATCCAGCTATTTTATCCGCCAAGTGCTGAATGGGAGCCTTGCTCGTTTGTGCCTCTTCGACTAAACGGACAATTTGTGCTAGCGTCGTATGCTCGCCGGTATGAGTGGCCGTAATGAGCAATGGACCGTTTTGATTTATCGAACCACCTATCACAACAGATCCTTTCTTCTTTGGTACTGGCATGCTCTCGCCGGTTATTAAACTTTCATCGCACGTCGAATGACCGGACAGTACTTTGCCATCCACGGGTACTTTAGCCCCCTGCACTACTTTTAATGTATCACCACGTTGCACTAAATCAGCGCTAATTAAACGTTCGGACAGTATTTCATTATTAGCTCCTAAGTGCACGAGAGTAGCTTCCGTTGCTTTCAAGGACAAAAGTTTTGAGAGAGCTTCTGAAGTTTTTCCCTAAAAGATAGAATAGAATCACCATAGGAGGAGAATGATTCTGAATCGTATAGGAAATAATTATAAATACCTTTGCTACATGTTCCAGCCACCTTCCTAAACTAATGAACACTAACAACATGGGAGGTGTATCGAAGAAAGTCTGAGGACTTGAATTCTCTTGCATTATCATAGCTGCCGTGAGAACGGCAACAGAATAAACATAAGATATCGTTGTAGTCATAGAAATTAGAACGTCCATATTGGTCGAACCATGTTTAATGGCCTTGTACGCTTGAACGTAAAAATGCCAGCCACCAAAGAACTGCGTTAAACAAAAAAACCGAATTAAAATACAATAAGCAATTACTTGTAATAACAATAATAGTTCCGGAGCTCTAGATCATGTGATTTCATGACTCACCTGTACAGGGGTAGAAAAAATGAATAAAATTAAATTTTCCCACGAAAGACCAGGTAGTATGCAGCACATGTCGTGATTATTCTTGCTGTCGATTGACATGATCAACATGAAGTAAGTCATGGCTATCATACATGGTACTCCAAAAATTAACGATATTAGAAAAGCTGATCGCCATTTTCGTATCTCTTCTCTGAAAACGACAAATAAAGTATGATACACGTAAAAATAAAGAAAAACCTAGTTCATTAATAAAAAATTCATTATTCTTACTTGTGATCTAAGTATCCTCTATTCTCTTTATCTTTGCTGCTAAATAGACTTGCACTGAAACCCAATTTATTAATGGCCTCCACTATATCTCTTACGCCGGTCTTTTCAGCGTCAAATTTGAACTTTCCACGTTGAGTAGTGAGTGCAACCACTGCGGACGTAACGCCAGGTACTTTCTTAACTGTCGATTCTATTTTATTAACGCACGAAGCACACGTCATTCCTGAAATCTACAAGAGAATGATAGATGATACGTCAGTCCTTTTTTCCCTTCTATAACTCAATCAGCATCAACTCTTGTTACCCATTGTTTAATATTATACCTTTAATTCTATCTCGCCATCACCAGTACTGGGTTCGTCAACCAAAGTCGTGGGGAAACCCAAGTCTGAAATACTAGAAACAATATCGGCCGGTCGTATTTTTTCAGGATCGTACTTAACTTCTGCCTTGGCAGCTAATAAAGCAACAAGAATGCTGTCTACGCCATATAACTTCTTGCAATGTTTTTCAATAGCAGCAATACACGAGGCGCACGTCATCCCCTAAGAAAATATAACGATTAACAACACAAAACAAACCAGCAAAATCCTGAAGATGAATAACAAACTCGAACAAAGGAAGAACTGGGACACGAAACTGATATTAAAAAATATATATACACTAATAATCAAGCATCCATACCTTTATATGTAAAAAACATTTAGACAAATGTTCCTCGTTTTTCACGTCACCACCGCCATTCATCTGTAAAACCACGTCTCCATTTTTAATATTATTATTTGTGGCTGGCGTCAAGACAGTTTTTTGCAATCGACCATTGACTTCCTTGACAAAAGCATCAAAGCCCATTTCCTCAATATAATTTGCTATCTGATTCGCAGTCACGTCTCCGCTACTGTAACAGACTTTTGCTTCCTTGCCCTCAAGACTAACGTCAATGTCTTTGATACCAGGTTTCTCCGAGATTGTACCTACGTCACAAAGTTTCATCTCACATACTTCATAATGCTGACAATTTAAACCATATAAAGAAATCTTACCAGTTATACTCTTAACGCATGACATACAGGTCATACCGTCGATATGTATGCTACAGGTACTAGTATCAGATTGGAGGGCTGTAGCACTGTCATTGGTAACGTCATCATCATACACTGACAGTGAAGCATCAAATCCCATGTCATTAATGGCTTCTACCAATGCGTCAGCCGTGGTATCAGCCACTTTGTACTCAACGTAACCAGCCTTCTCTTCCAGAACTACCCTTATGCTGACAACGTCCGGTCGACTACCTATGGTGCCCTCGATATTTTTCACGCAGCTTTGACAGCTCATCCCTTCGATGTTTATCTTAATTTTATTCGTGCTCGATGATGCATTGCTGACTTCCGTCGATCGTGGTACACGCACCAGATGTGTGTTTCCGTCAAAATCATCATCGTCGTCAATGTTCCTACCGGAAAAAAAAAAAACGAAAATTATCCAATTACCGTAAGAACCCTACAAACATGAAACCCCCAACATTTGATTTTTATATCACAAAATAATAACGATTGGACAAATTCCGAAAAGGTCTATTTCCATGTTTCTCGTATATCTACAGTCGCATAAGTATCATACCAACGCCTATAGTAGATTTCTAAAAACAAAAATGGGCTATGTAATGAGAGTCTCGCGATAGGGAGGAGGGAATCTAGCCGAGAAAACTGATAATGGATGACAAATAGAACAACTGCAATTTCAAGGAAAAATCAAGCTTACCAAACATCATCCATCGTGGCATACTTTTTGCCAAGAAGTGGCAATTTATCATTTTCCATCGGCATCGCGTGAGCAGTTATTTACATATAATGATATTCGCGTATAATCAAATACACATTCAATTCTCGTTAAATCGTTCCCTTCACAGACCGTACAATTTTTAATTCAACACGGGGTGGAATTTAAACGATAGCGACTTCAATTACATAGAGAAAAAAATATTATTTCAAAAACTCTCGTAAATATAGCAATACGCTTTTCTCTGGTTAACTAATCTTTAAATTGCGTCGAATTCGTGTAAAACTAGATAATTTTTATTTTGCCTGCGACACTTCTTATTCTCGAAAAGAGATGTAATATTTCGTAAGAAATTTTATATCTGCTAGGATGCAGTGGGGATGAGCTTTATGAGAAGGGGATCATATTTTGTTCATAACACTCGCTCACGATCTATCCTATCATAATCAATATCCATATGGTTCGTGATAAATTTGTAAGATGTTCCTCATACTATACATATATACGTTCGACAAGGAAATAAAGTCTGTGCAAGCACTGTTTCCATATGTAAATCATACGTCGAGTGCAATCACGTGAACTGAAGTTTAGTGGAGGAGGCACTATATAGAATGATGTGTGCTAATAAAGGGACAGTGTCGTCTTATTACTCGAATTCAATAGAATAAAAAGTATGCCGTATTTCTATTTACGCGTATACCATCCTACAGCGCTGCAAAGTGAATGTCGCCGGTGTAGCTAGAGGAAAAATGAAGTTTAGAAATCGCGAAGAATCGCGGTCGACCATAAAAAATTAATTTTCTATCCCAATTAACATGCCTATGCCTTTGATTGGAGTTGCATGTAAATAAAATGAACTATGAAAAAAAATTCTTTTCCTCCAAAATATAAAAAATGGTTATCTGCCATGCGTTGATACATTTAATCGAACATCGCTAGTTTATTATTACTCGTGTAAACGCTTCATCGTTCTGCGAGCGTGAAACAAGATCATATATCATATACAATCGTGAATTGCGATACCAAATACGTATATGGCTACGCGCGTTCATAACAAGAATCAAAAGCACGTACGATATGATAAATTGATTTTATTAAACATTTGTACACAATGAAATAGCGATCCGAGTACCGAAAAATAATGAATTAAAAAAAAATATCTAATAAAATAAGCCAATAGGCATCGAGGACCTTTATCACCCAAAAAAATGAAATAGGCTTTGGCTTTTATTTATTCACCGATCGTTCTCTTACGACAATTCAGATAAGATAATTCTAACCAGGGCTTATCGACCAGGCTGAACTCTGACAGTCTTGCGATCCCGTAGTAATTTCAAGCGTTGCGCTAGAGTGAAAGGAAAGAAAGAAAAGGAAAAGAAGCTGTCGTTACACTTTCTTAACAGGACATTTTCGTAACGACAATTTCTCAGGCACGTGCAAAAAAAGAAAACGAGTCCGTTTGAATTTTTATTTCAAAAACTCGGCATACGTATTTTTTTTTTCATTTCAATGCATCGTCACGTCCAAAAAAACGTGAGAACTTCACGTGATAAAGTACTGACCCCAATAACCTCGTTTCTTCGACGATCGCCGGACATTTGGGAAGTTGCGCCGGACCCGCCGTGTGCGTCATTCCCGTAAGAGCAAAACTGGATAAGTTGTTATAGGCCAGTTTAACGTGGTGAACCAGAGGACCTCGAAATTTCGTCATATCCACGTGAAACAGTGTTATCAAATTTATTCGCAAGATCCGTGACGAGTACCTTTTAACATCGATCGCACTCACTCGTAGATCACTAACGAATACAGCAGATAAATCACCATAGCTAAAACCAGCACTGATCCTTAACGTTGGTCCAACGAACATATAAGAATGACACGGCGAGCTTATACGGATATACAATTATTTTATAAATTCCAACATCACCAAGTCACTATCGACTAACGAAAAGATACCTTGCTTTCGCGTTCTATCGCGTTAAACGCTAAGGCACGATAATCGAAAACACAATTGGTTACTTCACAGAAGAAAAACAAATTTCACAAATTTACATTCATCTTTTCACGACTGTCCGACACTTTAATTCTCCGGACTTCCCGTCGCGTAAAACTGGCACAACGTAAATTTCATTCTTGGCGCGGCCGTATGGGACTATGAAATTCTTGAGTTTTTTCAACAACTCGATCTCATAGGGCGATACCATGATCTCGCACTATGGACATTAATTGAGAGAAAGGAGCGCGTGCTCCAGTTGCGAACGAGTACCGCGCTCGTTTGAAGTTACGGCAGTGCGAGTTAATCACGATAGTTCAGAAGTGAGAGGCAGGTGACTGGACTATACGCAAAAATAACGCTACAGTGTGTACATACGTCCAAGCTATTTGACGTTTGACACGCCGCACAAGTCTGGGATAATTAAAAGGCAGGATATTGCGCGTTAGGAAATCATGTTTCCCGGAATGCCGCTGCTGCATCTGAACTCGTGAGAGCTGCAGTTGCTAAACCGGTACTGAATTAAGCGCAAGCTACAATGCATATCTCATAAAAGATTTCAGTATTAAATCCACGTGTGAGCTAGGTCGGAAGACAGAAATTTTAATATAAGACATAAATCTTAAGTGTCATTTATTCAACGAAACGAACCGTATCCCAACGAACAATATAATATCGTAAAATAATACAATATATACGAATAATACGAATTATCGAATTATTCTTCCTTTCTTTCAAAAAGTATCATACTGTTATGCCCCTCTATCATAAAATAACTATTAAGGACCCGTTGCCCTGAAAATTCCCTACCTTTCCTATCATAAAACTATCCTTAATCCCAAAAATATACAAACCCTTGTTCCCTGCATTTTTAAAATAGGAATTTCCCAATTACACAAAAAAACCTCCCTTCCTATTCCTCTTTCCCGTTAGACTAAGTTTACCTTATTAGAAAACATAACGTCTAAGTTTAGTTTTAGTCGTGAGTTTGTAAGAGAAGGTCCTCTAGAGAAATAAAGCAAAAGATTGTCTGCTCTTCACTGATTCTTTAATTAACAAAATCCGTTCGTGAAGTCATAGCGGCGGAATCTTGTATGTCGTATTGAATCTATGACGATATAGTTCACCACGGCATAACAATACGTTACTGTCATTCGTATCTATACCTCGTAAATTATCACAATCTCTATTACTATATACATTACAAATATAATGTAACATACTATAATGAATCCTCATGTAATATACTTTTCATCCGATACACGGTAACCGAAAGTATCTAAAAATCGATACGCAATTGATCAATGGTTCAACGATATCCAGCTCAATCAGGAAGTCCAAGAAGTCCGATAAACGTAAACTCCATTGTTCGATGAAGGAAGTACAGGGAGCAACTAGTTCGTGTATCATTCACATTGTCACATTGTGAATAATAACATCCAACGTATAAAGTTCCTGTCGGATAATTCATAAAAAGAAGTAAAAAAAAAACAAGACGATAAAAGATCCTACACAGACGAACGTAATCAAGTACGACTATCTTCTTGTGTATTTAAACTTTGTCTCCTCAGACGAGATCAAAGTCATCATATTGAACAAACTTAGGTATGCGTACGTGTTACGTGCCGATAAGTAGTTATATTTGAGGCAATTAATCGCAAGCGGAAGTTTATTTGAAAAGTTATGAAATCGTATTCTTTTTTGTCCACAACTAAATCGAACAGATAGTAAACGCGTACTGAGTATACATCCTGAGTATTTTAAAGACATTCGCAAACAGTACAATTTCCGACTTACCCAACGGTCTCGTTAGTCAGCTGCTGATAACCCCAGGCGTTCGCGCTCTTCCTCATTATGTGTCTTTCAATTATTTCTTTTTATCGTCAATCGTTATACCTTCTTAGGAAATACGTTAACGGCGATTCACAATTTTGCATTCGCAATTGACACGTGACTCGATATTAACGGCAAGACCACTGATTGAAAATTAATTTAAATTTTTTTCCTCTGCTTACACCGAGAGACCAAGCTTCAAACTGGAAGAGCTTTTGCGTCTACTGACGGAAAATCGTATGATGACACTACTCATGTACAGGCATTAATCTAATAGTGCGTAAGACGATTAATGCATAACAAGCGATACACGATACTAATGGCTAATCTCAGACGTAAGATTCCACGTGGATAGATCAAACGCTCCAAGTACGCGGATATTTTTAAGAAAAATCAATGAAACATTTGACGCTGCACGACCGGATATACTAGTTGATACAAATAATGTAAGTAAGTAGACTGCTGGTCAATGTTCACGATTTTTAATATACTTATAAACTCTTCAATAATTCGGTACGTGCGATATTAATACAACAGACCGACTATCTAAGCTCGTAAAGTACTCGTGAAAAACATCCATGTAAAATAGAACAGCTTAGAATTTAGTATTAACTCGAATGTATTCTTATCGAAAAAATTGAAGTACATACTACAAAGCATACTCCTTGAGACACTATATGAACATAAAATCTGCTACTGCAAACGTCGTATTCGTATGATAATAAAAATAAGGGATTAGTATTTGATTATTGACGAAAAAATACCGATTTTCTATGCTCGAATCACACAGTTTTGATTTTAAATCTAGTTCTTATTGAATCACGAACACGGATTACCGTAAAGACCGCTTACCGGTATCTCTTTTACGTCTTTAAGTTACGATTAACTGGTTGCCATACGGAACTATTGACATAGAGAAAAAACACTGTTAGGCCATGCTAATACAAAAGTATAACCAGCTACGCAATATGGATTATAACAAAGTGGGGCAAGTTCTCGTCGCAGTCACGGTCAAATGCTCAAAAAGTTTAACGTGCCACGAAATACGAAATAATAAGATTCATAGAGACGAGGAGGCACGAAGAGTCTTATAGAAAGAAAAAACATGGGATCATGGGCGGTTGATAAATTGTTGATAAAACCGATGGGGCCGGGTGCATCGATTCTCGGCCGGGCAATGAAATCGTGTGCACTGTCAATAATGGAATACTGATGTCGATAGAGCTGTATGTATGACTATCTAATGACAAAAAAAGGTTTGAAATATGCAAGCTCACTGTCACTGTATCATTCGCTTCACTGTAATGATGTGAGAAATTACAAAAATGAATGGCATTGCTTCGATTATATTAATTTATATATTCCCGTGCTTGCGATTAGCTCCGGAGCGTTATTAAAACTGTACTGAAAGAAAAGAATATTCATTTCACACCTGTTTAATGTAATGTAAGCTGTTTAACGAGTGTTCACGTATCGATTGATAAGGTAAGCAATTTGATCGCTAAGCTTCTAGCGGGAAAATTCGATTGCAGCCCAACGCTAAAGAATGATTGAAATGTCTGTGAATACAAACTTGTTAAAATTGCACATTCCTCAGAAGTGTAAAGGATTATTTTTCAACTGTATAACTGTCCAGTAGTATATTTTCTTTCGAAATGTGCGTACAATATATGTAAGTATCGTTAGTCATATTATACAGAAGTGCTGTAATACTTTGAATATTCAAACCACTTGCTAGATTAAATTTTATTGTTTTTTTCATTTCGAAGCCTTACATTGATCAAGTAACGGACGGTCGAGCGGTTACGAAATTAACTTACATGAAGATAAAGTATGGAGACTTTGGTTAGCTATTTGCAAGAGAAGTAGGATGGAGCGACGACAGCTTTAGCTGGAGATTATTAGAATGCCATTGTTAGTTATATTTATATAGCGCTTAGTCAAATGATTTATCTGTAGCGATATACAAAATAAAGAATGTGCTGAGATAACGATATTACGGCCTTTACGACAATTTGCTTGCTTTTTGTAAAGTTTGTGTTTCCCACATCACTTATAATAGTTCTAACAGCATTACTGATCTCATTTTCAAGTGGCTAGTCTATATAATACAGATTATTTGCGTGGAAGAAAGAGAAAGGGATAGTCGTCCATGGTCATGGAACAATCTTTAATGTTCAGGTTCTAATGTATAGCAGGTGTTTACACAAAAAGGTACGAGCCCTTTATTTATGTTAGAACTGAAATATGTATTATTATACTCACCTCTTCTGCAAGTGCTCTGTTGATTGTTTTTCCATTAGGGGAACCCGTGGACCAGTGCCCTCTTCTAAAACAGACATTTCAAACTATTGACTATTTGGGACTGCTTGTATTTATACTAGTGATAAACTGATTATATATATATGTATAGTACACAAATACTCATAACCTATTACTAAAGATTTTATGACGCATTTCTGTGACAGTCTATTAATTTATTTAACAAATACAAATTTAGTAATGAGATCATTAAGGATATATATCATTACTTACTTGAATAGCTTTAAATACTTTATTGTATCATGGTAATATTATTGCTTTTGATTCTAGACCATTGTACATGTGTTTGACAGCTACAAATGATTTATTGATTTTTTGGTTTTTCTCAGTGACGCCTTTTTTCTAAAGTATGTAACTCACAAACAAATTATTTCTTTTACTTCATTTTATATTAACATATTATTTATACTCCGAAATTTTGATTTCAATATAATTATATTGAAAAATCTCTGTCCATTACAAAGTTATATTGCAATTTATATGCCCGAGTCTGACAGAATATGTGTGCTGATGTTAAAAATATATGTTTTAGGGTTAATAAAATCATATTATATTAATGCTGGATGATGCAAACCTTCTTTGGAAAACGGTTCATCATTTCGTGACTGTATTGTGTCTTCTTTATAATGTTCTTTGTTTAGTGGCTCCATTCTTTTCTATAACATGTATTAAGCAAAGCATTAATATAAGGTATAGTTGCCATTCAGAGGAAATAATATATAAATAAAAAGTATATTAACCAAAAATATTTAATTTAATGTTATAAGATATTATAGAAAACATGACACAGTAATATCGCAATATAACAAATTTTATCATATTCAGATTATATTATCACACTTAATCACTACAGTTTCTTTGTGTCTTATACAGTATTCTTTCATTTATACATATATATATATATATATATCATTTTATAACCTCAACATTTATTATTCAACACAGTATAACTCTCAGATCACACAGAATAACAATCCCTTAAGCAAAGTGCACATAATTTAATGTTAAACGATAATTCAAGACATCAAACATAAAAGATCAGCGAATTAAATGATATCTTTAAATATCAAACAATAAATTACTTTCTGATTAGAACTCAATATATACCCAAAATACTAAGTAATGGAAAGAAAATAGGTTAAGAATAGGCTAAATTGTAAACTTACTTTTGCTTTGAATCTTAGTTTGGCATGATACTTATGATAACATACCAACAGACTGGTACCTGCAATATTCAAAAATTATCATGTCACAATTTTTAATCGTACAATTGATTTACAAAGATGGACGTGACAACTTGATGCATCGATACGAGTTTCGAGATATCGAGGTGTTACGCATGCGCAATGAGACACTTATTGTGTAGCAGTTATCAGTCACATAGTCAAAGGATAGATTTTTGGAAATGTTTTGAATGGCTTGTGATGTGTTATTATTAATTTAATACTACATTGTCAATGTATATTTTCTACTTCAATCTAAAATTTCTATTTTGAGTTTATCCTATTTCTCAAATTTTTAAAGGTTAGTTAAAGATTGTATGCACAAGTATCCACGAATCGCGTGCACGTCGTCAAGTGCCTACGTCTTCAAATGTGAAGTTACAAGAAGCTGTTAAAGATGGTCTTTTGCTGTTTAACGTAAGGATCATTTCATCTCGTGTTGTGCACATTTGTAGATGAAACACGCCTGCACTATGTACGAAAAATATAATTTTATATTATATAGAATATTAAGATATAAATATATAACTGTCAGTAGATAAGTTGCCAGTAGATTACAGTAGAATATGGGACTTGTGAATAAAATACTCCACAGTACTTTGTCCCTTAGTAAATTATAAGTTTATGTTCCATTGTTAATAATATGCAACACTGTTGTAATTTGTTGAGAAAAATGTAACGCTTAATTAATAAATACAATTATAGAGAAGATAGCTTTGAGAAATCATACATTTTTTTTTTCTTTCCAGCGCAACACTCATGGCCACTATAAATACAATATTTTTTGTCACTCTTATAGAAGCTTTATTTCTTATTTTTGCTTTACCTTTTGCAATAATATATTGGAGGAAACTATATGCAAAGAAACGAGCCGAGCGAACTCAGAATGGAACAGTAGTTGCCTTTTTCCATCCTTATTGCAATGCTGGGGGTGGTGGAGAACGAGTACTTTGGGCTGCTATTAATGCCATACAAACAAAGTAAGATAATCTACACTGTATAAATTATAAAGTCCATAACAATATTTAAAGATCTCTTGTGATTAATGTAATATATACATACTTATATATTGATAGATATGCCAATGTACATATAGCAGTATATACTGGAGATCTTGAGGCTGATCCTGAACAGATACTCAAAAGAGCAGAAAAAGCATTTAATATCAAATTAAAACCAAATATACAATTTGTATACTTACATCGGCGTAAATGGGTAGAAGCTGATATGTATCCTTATTTCACACTTTTGGGTCAGAGTTTGGGCTCTGTATGGCTAGGTTTTGAAGCATTGGATAGTTTACAGCCAGGTAATACATGCTTCTTATTACCAGCTCAAAACTTGCTTTTAGCTGTTTCTAGCACATACTTTTTGTTTTCTAGATATTTATATTGATACAATGGGATATGCGTTCACGTATCCATTGTTCAAGTATATTGGTGGGTGCAAAGTTGGATCTTACACACATTATCCAACGATTTCAACTGATATGTTGAAACATGTATACCGTCGAGTCGTTTCACATAATAATCGCCGTATTATTGCAAGAAATCCTTTCTTATCTGCAGGAAAGATTTTTTACTATAAATTGTTTGCACTTGTGAGTCCCTTACATGCCTGCATATCTTACGTTTATCATGAAAACGTGAAAACAGCACAAAATAACCGGAAGTGTTTTTCAATATGTTCAGTTATATGGATGGACTGGTAGATGTGCTGACACAGTAATGGTTAATTCTTCATGGACAGAAGACCATATAAATTCAATATGGAAATGTCCATTACGTACTCATAGAATTTATCCACCATGCGACGTGGAGCATCTGACAAAGTTACCATTGCTTAAGGATGAAGACAAAAGGGACTCTATACGGATAGTTTCGGTAGGACAGTTTAGACCCGAAAAAGGACATCCCCTAATGTTGAGAGCAATGTACAATCTTCGATCTATAGTCAAAGAGGAAGTCTGGGAAAAAGTGAGTGGTCCAGAAATATTTTATAAATACTGTTTTGAGAATTATTCATTATTACACAATTCACTCCAAATATACATTCATTACATGAAACAATCATATTGTTATGTTCCTTAAGATACGCCTGGTTTTGATCGGTTCTTGTCGTAATGCTGAGGATGAAGGGCGTGTAAAGGACATGCAAGATTTGGCTAAGCATTTGGCACTCGATGAAAATGTCGAATTTAAACTTAACATTCCTTACCCCGAACTCGTGTCTGAATTACAACAAGGAACTATAGGTCTACACGCAATGTGGAATGAACATTTTGGTATTGGTGTAGTAGAATGTATGGCTGCTGGACTTCTTATGATCGCGCACGCATCTGGTGGACCAAGGTTTTGTTACATCTTTAAGAACACAAATGTACATATCTCATTGTGTTTAGTACTAATTGAGCATTTTGGTTTCTCATTTTCAGAGCTGATATTATAGAAACTCAAACGAGTAGTCAAACTGGATTTTTAGCAGATGAAGCTGAGGAGTACGCCGAGGTGATCAAGCACATAATAAATATGAATCCTCAGGATAAAAATACAATCAGGAATGCTGCTAGGTAATTAATAAACGTTACATATACTTTAATGTATTAAATAACGTAATTGTCATTATTCTTTATTTCTTAATGGTTTATTTTTTTAGAGCGTCTGTGAATCGGTTTTCTGGAGCACAGTTCGAAAAGGAGTTTCTGCGAGCTATTGAGCCATTCTTCAGGCAAAAACAAGAGTGATTCATGATCACTTGTATTTTCTTTTGAAGTGTGAAGCGTGTAGGTATGTGCGAATATGAAAAAATGTGTTAATTTTATTATTGATCATTTTCGAGACACGTTGTGAAGTAATACGATTTAGACTAGATCAATTTTTAACGTGTGATTATAGAACTGTACCATAGAAACTATTGTCTCTAACTGTAAGTTTGAGCTAATACAAAAAAGCATCTCACGTTGATATGACAATGTATGTGCAGTGCAACAGCCTACAAAGACAACTGCAATTCTGAATAGTTGAATGTATAATATGTGATAGCCAATAAAAAATGTTACAAAACTGTTCGCATTTGAAATGACTTTAACGTGTCAATTCCTTCTACAATAAATGTATAAAACTACATTTCTTATACGCATATATTTGGTAACAAAATGCAAGTTGCAAAAAACGTTAAATTACTGTCATTAGTGAAAACTACTGTTAACCAGACCACAACCTTCACATTCTAAGACATAAGGAGCGGAATCCCCATCACTTCCACTTGCAGATAAAGAAAATCGAAGGCCTCGATTACCTAACATGAGTTCAGCAATCTGAATCGCCGTTTCTGCGTGACGCGTGAGTTTATTTTCTCCCACACGTATCCTCGAACGTCCTTTGGCAATTGCCATAAGAATTATTATCTGTAATAAATTTTAATTTATGCAATAAAGATAGTTCTCTTTATTAATATTTTTTTTTATAATTCACCTGATCTTGTGAGTGCTCATCAACACATGCTCCTTTCAAGATAGGCTCAAGAATTTGTTTGCCTGCTACAACTCCTGGTGGATCATCTTCTCGTCGGTTGGATCCCAATCCAGAACCCCCAAACGTACATCCCTCACTGGTTTGACACACGAGACTGAAATTTGTTACATTACCCATAACAATTTGATGCTAAGCACACGCGTAAGTCCTAACAACAATTTAGTAAGCAAATAAAAAATTATCTACGTAAGAACTTACTTTATGCCGGATCCATTTCCCACTGCCATTCCTCTATCTTCTCTGTATGATTCTATATTAATTGCTGGAACAGTTATATTGTGTTTCTGTAAACCTTCGACTATAACACGTTTTGCATCTGATGCCATCTTATTGGCTTCCTATAACATTAAAGACTTCATAGGAATATACATTGTAATATGTTTAATGATAAATTAATATTATATGTACATTAATATTCACAGAGCCGGCGACATAAGACCATCCAGATATACTGACAGGATGTCCAGGTTCCATCAAAGTAACAGCATTCAAATGTTTTACTGGTTGTATCTGAAGCCGTACTTCACCACCGCCTTTTGGATAGTATCCTCTGTAAATTATAAATAAACATAATAATAAATTCGATTGACATGTAGTCAGATATTTTAGCAAATGAACATGTATTTAATTACCGTCTTACAACTGTAAAATTGAAATCAGCTCTAAATTTGTTAAGCAATTGTTTAAAAACCTCAGTGAAGTATTCTACATGAGGTCCCATAGGAACATTTGTACCACCCTTTAAAATAAAATTCACAGGGCTTGTATTTGGCATAAATAATGCACATGGTAATGCTACTTGAGCTAACAAGCAAATACAGCCAGCTGTTTGTACATCAGCTTTGAAATCTGGTTTATAATGTCTCAAAGCTCCTGGCCAAAACTCAAGTCGTGTTGAACCCACATATGCTCCTGTCACATGAGCATCGCACATGTCTTTAACTAATTCCACACCTAAAATTTATACGGGGTTGAAGTATGATTAATTCTTCCATTGACATTGTGTCGATGAAATTAATGTGATAACCTTTGAGATGCTGTGCAGCAAGACCAGGCTTAGGACGGCCTGCTCGAATATTGGTAATCTCCACGGGAATGCCATATAACGTACTCAAGCTCAATGCGATTCTCAATACTTGTCCACCCTATCTATCAATCAATTACTTATAACTTATGTGAGACACTTATAATAAAGCAATACTATGCTCCAAAAAAGTATTATTAATAACACAAATTAGATATTATATTCAACATGGCTTTGTAATACGATGACGTATCTCATAAAGTAGTACACAATTTATTTAAATATGCATAAAAGAGTAATATCGCATAATTATTGTAACCTTACAAAGTGCATGATTTCATAACAAGAAAATATTAGAAAAAAATTAATAAAAATTGACTTACACCTTCACCGAGGTTTCCATCTATCGTCATTAAGCTGGACATTATGAATCTTTTATACATTCATTGGGGAATGAAATATCGTCCGAGAAGTACCTTCCTGAAAAAGTGAGAAACGCTCAAACATACTACGCTCAAGAGACAGATATAGTTTATGGAAGAGGAAATGGTTCAAGGGGTTTGCTACATTTTTGGAATACCGTATTATAAAATGAGTGACGGAATCTTTATATGTATATGGATTAATTCGGATATGATGATGGAAAACACATTTAAATAAATAATCGATTGTTTTTAATATACATATTTGTTTTAAAATTCTTAATTATATTTATTATTGAAAAGTAACATCATTTACTTCACTTACTTGAAAATATTTCAATGCCATTTATTTATGAATTTTATTTTTATTTTTCCAAGTCATATATATTTAAAAAAATAGTTCTTGTCGACTTGATCTCACTATGTTTTCCAAATAATAATGTGATACAAGTAGAGTTATAGATTACGTAATGGAGTTATAAAATTTCCGCTTTTCAAAAATATTTAAGTTTCTGTGATAGAAAGGAGTTTTTAAAAATGAAACAAAGACTTTAATTAATATTTGTCTTAGTTTAACACTTCCTTTGTACCATTTCTTGATTTTGTCCATGTTTTATGCTAAAAGTATTGAAGGGGTACAGATTCCAAGGGACTAAATATAACAATAAGTTGGACAGAATACAAAAATTATTTTTGGAAAATTTTGTTCATATATTTTTTTAATTTCCAGAAAATGTTATTATACAAATTGTTATTCATCGTTTATTCTAGAAGGTGGCAGCACCGGTTCGCATCCATTTGCACGTAAAAAATGGCGGATTGCAAGGGTGCGTTTTGTGGTTTTGTTCATTGGAAAACGTGTTTATATCATATTCACTACACTGCCTAGTAGATAAGGAACATTTAATAGAGTTACAATAGTATCGATGTAAATTTTCAATATAAGAACATGTACCGTGGTGTAAATTTTGTCGATAGCTTTTTGTTTAGATTTATACTCATACAACGTACAGTGATTTCTGATTGGTAATAATTTTAATTATGCTTCTACTGTATTTAGAGAGTGCAGAAGAAACAAATGGTCCACGGCCGCAGATTATCATGCAGTTTGACTCTCCTGAAGAATCCAGTGAAAACTCCATAAACGGTTAGAACACTGCTACTATGTCACTAAAAAATGTTGGAATACAACTAATCAGTTACAGCTTGTACAGTCCCAAGTATTAATTATAATAGACAATCAAATGTCTGATAAAGTGTTTTTTTTTCTAATTATTGAATAGTAGTAGTGGTAGGAGCTTTTGCTTTGGTAAAACTTACAAATTCATGACAGCTTGTATCATTAGAACTCACTATAACCCTACTTATGATAAGTATGTATGTTTACATTAATGCTTCTATTCAGTTCTTATTGATTCTATTGAATTTATTAAAATTTTATTTTAATATCATCATAGAATTGAATATAACACTAAAAACTTACATATTCGTTTCTTTTAAAACTTTTAAGTTTATCCATTGTGAATTATCTAATCTAATCCATTGTACTTATTCTGCCAGTATGCACAAACTATTTTTACTATAATTCCAATTATTTTGTCAAATACTTCTATATATAAAATATATATTTTCAGAGGAAAAGGAAGATGAATCTGTGGAAAATGATCCTGAGACACCTACATCTCCCTTTGCTAAATCGGGCAGTAAAATACGTTGTAAGTAATACTATGTGTATGAATATAAATACATAAAATATGTATTTTATCCCTACAGTGATATTTCTATACCTTAATAGGTCAAATAGTAACAATAATATTGATGATTGCATATTTGTCTAAGGCATCAACTTTTACATTTTAATATCTCCATAGGTCCTGTATTAACAGCTGCAAAATTTGGAAACTCGTTTGGAGTTTGTGAATTTTCAAATTCTCCAAAACCAAAATCTACCTTATTAAGGCCATCACAACTATGTGCAGTAACATGTAATCCAGGACCATCTACAAAAAATGTTTTACAACCAGCTAAGTTTCACAATCCCTTCACAAAGGTTAATGATAGCGCCATAGCAGAGGATAATGGAATTACAGCACCTAATGATAAAAATGACGTCTCTAAAGAGACAGACAGCGAGGAGAAATCAGCTGAGGAAACCAAGCCCAAATTTTTACCCCTGGGCGGAAGTACGAAAGATTCTGAAAATAATGTAAATAACACGGTGGCACCGAGCGTTTCCACGCCCAGCTTTGTTTTCGGGCAAAATCTGAAAGAAAGGGTGGCCGTTGCAAACGACACGGAGAGTTCGGATAGTTCTGAAAAGGAAGAAAACAAGGACGAAGAATCAAATGAAAATGGTTCCTCAGAACTCCTATTTTCAAATGCTGCAGCCGTATGTCGCAGTACAAGTCGACCAGGACTGACGTTATCTCAGGCGGCACAGGAGCTGGAGGAAGCTAACAGGGCAAACAAACGCAAATACAGTCAAGTTACGTTACTTACTGGTGAAGAAGGAGAAACCAATGTTCTTCAAATCAATTGTAAACTCTTTGCATTTGACAAGGTACCATCAATATCCCACTTTTGCTGACAATTATTATTTCGATAGTGCTTTATAAGTTATTATTGTAATAGGCGACTAGTGGTTGGCAAGAAAGAGGAAGAGGGACGCTGCGTTTAAACGATCGTGACGAGGAATCGCGATTGGTGGGAAGAACAGCTGGAACTCAAAGATTGGTTCTAAATACTAAAGTATGGCCGGGTATGACAGCAGAGAGGGCGGGCCCAAAATCATTACGATTAACCGCTATGGATGTTCATGGAGATATTCGCATCTTCATCGTGCAAGCAGCACCGAAGGAAGTGGACCAATTGCACAGCCTTCTAATGCAGCGGCTTAAGCGTGCTCAGGAACGCCAACCGAAGAAGCTGGCTACCGATCACTGACCACCGACCAACATAAAACCCAGTAGAATGCCACCCTTATCGGGATCCGAGTCGTTCTACGCGAGAATCGCCATCACGTTAATGAACACTACTCGTTTGCCAAGCAAGGCCCTAGCCGGAGCGTGCTGGATGGAGTGGCTATCACTTATGCCTTCCCTACAAAAGTCGTAGCCACCATCATTGCACTTCCAGTTCTCATGAGAAGGCAAAAAACTCTGGCTATTGTTCAATATGAATTTTATTATTTTGAAGATACGATGCCTTTTTCTAATCATTCCCGATTGATATTCTTTTTACGTTAAATTGAAGGATTCTTAAGAGACTATATGTGTACATTAGGGAAAACTAGATAGAGATTTTTAATGGTAGCATAATATAAATTATAAAGTATGTCACGCGAGTTAACGTGAAAACAGAAATCTCCATTTTCAGAATAGATATTACCTTATGGGTTATCAAACTTATCATTGTCAAGTATGCGGTCTTTTCAAATCTGTACGTATCAAGAATATTTTGCAGCAAAGGAAGAAGCATATCCGCGAGCTCTGACTGGAAAAAATAAAACTAACGAAATGATCGTTCAAGTATCCTAATGTTCAGAAATCACAAAAGAAAAATGAATAATAAGGCTTACGATGCAGAGGCATTATTACCATACATGCATTGTTTGTCTTCTAGTTGTAAATAAAATCTCGATCTAGTGATCAAAGAAGCTGATAATATTTCTTTTCTTTAACTCTATCCTGTACATTGAACTTGTATTGTTTGTATCTGGTGCACGCTCTCAAAGGCCTCCGATTAATAAATGATCGAATAAGGAAATATAAATCGTTATCGTCCAACGCAATTTGTTCTATACACAAAAAAGTGCTTTATGTAAAAGTAATTATATCATTACATAGTAAAAATGTTACAACTGGCGATAAAAGGTGCGCTGTATATTCGGTCGATTGTATTGAAGTTTGAGAATTACGAAAAGCACGGAGAAAAGAATGGAAAAATAATCTGCTATTTTCGGAGTCTCCATTATCGTTCATCTCATTCCGACTATTTTTCCAACAATCATTCTAATATATACTCTCCTCTGCCTTCCGTTCCTTCGAAATATTTCTAGGCCATACCGGCTAACATTTCCCGGAGCACCTAGCAATTATATTTCGATCTTCGCTGTTCCAGATAAAATCTTCCCGGGCTCTCGAATCGAAGCTCGCGTCCCTGGAAAAAATATGCGCGGTGTTTCTCACAGATAGCGCCAGTGGAATTGCTCTATGGCGGGCGGCATTCAACAGCCCGATATTTATAGACACGAGAGTTTCGTGCAAACGTACAACGTTTTGGGCGTCAAAATCCCCTCGGTTTCATCCTCAATTTCATTCATGGCGTAAGAATTTCGAATTTTCAGCGCGCCCAACGCCACTTGTTGGTGTCCGTGTAAAGGGCTGACAGTTGTAACGGCGAGTCGTAGTTGCGCAAATCTACCCAGCCGATATACGACGCCTCGGTGCTATAAGAATGCAGCAATGCGTGTATCATCCGAGTTTAAACGTTCCGAGCGAGTGTAAAGTACTTTGGTGTCGAGTGACAGTAAAACAATCGAAAGAACCTGTGGAGTGGCGCGGGAATACTTTATTTGAAAAAATTTTAAATGAAGGCAGTGTTTATTCACCAGAATTTTGTGTGACTTCGAACGATTTTTATATTTCAGTGAAGATGGCACTTTCCTCATGAATTTTACTTCAGTACAGATAATTGCCGACTTTTTAATAATTTACCACAATTACTTCACCAAAAGGATAAGCGGTTTGTACTCATATGTGAAATTTTGATACATTAAGTTTAGTACGACGACGTCAAATAATCATCATACTGTGAGACCATCATCATTGCGATGAAGTATGACAAATGGCAACGTTATATCATCCCTAACGTGTATACTACAGTCAGAATGTTGAGCATAATTTCTGTCAGAATGAAAATTCAACTGGTACTAAGATTATGGGAGGCATGGCTTGATATCAGGGTCGAATAAACCACTGGTTAAACTATTTTGACTTTCAGTCACGTTTATCGGTGTAACACCTGTTAAACATTCGAAACTTACTGTTTAGAAGGAATGGGCCATGTATCAAGGAGATAATCATACCTCGTTTATAATACATGAATGACACTTGGGACCAAGGACTTTAATAAACTTACACTTAGAATATATTCCTATAGCTAATACTTGTAATATACATCTACTGGAGTAAAAGAGTGTTGTATACGCACGATAGATCTGATTGAGTATAAAGATTAAGTGGTTGATATTTATAGATACGAGAGTTTCGCGTAAACCTTCAGCATATTCAGGTTTTAAGGTTTAGATGTGTTTACGTATTTTCGAAAAGTGATACTGCAGTTAGATTTTGTGTCCGGGAAGGAAATGTATGTTCCACATTTTCTCAGTTAGATTCTCAGATAGTCCATTAATTATAAGGAAAGAATGTTAAAGCATTTTTCAGCCAAATAAATATCTTATTGACACGGCTAAAATCTTACTGAGGATATTAATAATATTGAAGTGAGGATAGAATTTAACGAGAAACAAGATGATGTTCACGGGTGGATCTCATACAAAAAGAAGGAATGCCAGTGGTGGGTCTGGAACCGGCCGGAAATCATCCTTGGAACACAGAAATACTCACGTCCGTGTCGGTCCCGAAGGATATACGTACCGGTATGCTTAGTTATGTTTATTCATTTTTTTACCTGTAATATTGTTTTTTTAATGAATTTCATACATGATCGCAGAACAAGAATACCAATGTTAAATCCTGCTGAACTACCACCGGCACCTTCCACTGCTAGGACGTACGTCTACAGGACAAGGGTACCCCGGAGAGATGGCGCAACCACTTCCTCACCACCTGTCGAGAATAAAGTTGGGGGTCCAATTACCAGAAGAAGAGGTGCTGTCAAGCATAATAAAGTTCACGTTGTCCGGGGTCATCGGCTGGTTGCGAAATTCTTCAGGCAACCGACGTTTTGTGCATTCTGCAAGGATTTCTTGTGGTGAGCTATACATATAGGATGAATGGTTTTCCTGTTACGTATCAAAAGATTATACGGTTGGATCACAATTTATAATAATCTCGCTGAAGCGTATACAAGAATGCTAGCCTAGTCTATACTATGATGCTGTACATACACAGAAATTCTTTGATACCAGCTCACACACCTATAAATAGACTACTTTGCTATGCGGACATTGTTTAATGGAAAATATTTATTTCGCAGTCTGCAGATTGGAGTGGATAACTCGAGGAAAAAATATTAATATTTTATTTCTGTTATAGGGGTTTTGGTAAACAAGGCTATCAATGCCAATGTAAGTCCCTTGTTAGAGCTTCCTTTATTTTATAATTTTCTCTACTCAACTGGAAGATATAATATATTATCATTTGTTTGATATAGCCTGTCAGACTGCTGTGCATAAAAGGTGTCACGATAAATTACTTACCAAGTGCTCTGAGAGTGGAAGAGAATCCGAAAATACTATTGTAAGTATTGCCGATTAAGGATGACATGGTTATTCTTATAATGTCAAATTTGGTTGCATTTCACTTAGAACGTTTACAATCTATGACAATGTGAATTATACATCGACATATTGAAGCAAATGATTATTATAAACGAATTTTAGTTATTTCAGCTTTAGGATGTGAAAAGAATGCAAATCCCGAGTGCAGTTAGCCACTGACTGTGAGCTTAGACAGATGAAGTTTACACGGAACACGTTTACAGGATGTTGCTGAAGACGGAAACAGTTTATAGACTCGATTATTTTTTTTTTAGAAAGCAGCTTATCTTCCACCCCAGTGTTGGGATAATAATCACGTGTTTCAAAATTGTGCTTTCACGAATGCGAAAAATTTTTGCACGCTAAACAACTGTTGATTTGTTTTGGCGATCAATCGTATTTTCACAAAAGAATGTATATCTGATCATGATACTAGTAAATCATACGTGTTACTGTGATGAACCACATGTATCACTGTTCGTTATGTATAAGGAAATACATATAATCTCCTTTTTCTTATCTATCTATAATAATGATAATCTGATATTTCTACATTTTAATGTATATTTAAAAAAAGGTAATAACTGTTATTCTTTCTTATGGCAGTATCTGAGGGAACGGTTCAAAGTGGATGTACCTCACAGATTTCGATCTCATACCTTCATGTCGCCAACCTTCTGTGATCATTGCGGTTCCATGCTCTACGGACTGTTTCGGCAAGGCTTGAGATGTGATGGTAAATTAGTTCATATTATCAATACGGCCTTCAGAGAAAGAAAGCGTCTCCAGAAACATGCGGAAAAATTAAACAATGTCTAAATAAATGACTTAAACAAAGTCTGGGATTAAATAAGAAATTTAAATTCTGTACCACAAAGCTACGCTTTTTAGTACGTTGAACTCAAGTTGTCTTATCCAAGTTCATAATACATTTTGGCTACTTTGAAGCTGACTACTAATTCCAAAGATCGGTGAAATTAGCTAATAAAAATTTTCGCAAGTTTTAGTGACCTCCGTACGTTGCGTGACGCAGTCGTTACTCAAGCGCTTCTTCATACGAGGCTGACCGTCAAAAAGACAAAAGCTCTCAGGCTCGTATTGATTTCACAGGAGCTCTGGCATAGACACAAGATCGCGCCACGATAGACCGTATTTATTTATTGTCTCGTATGGTAGCACATGATGACAGCATGACGATTAAACATACGCAACGCAGCACGTACCTATATAACACAGAACCTTACCGGTGCATGATCGTGTGCATTTTCCCGATGCATTCCTTGTGTTGCAACTACTTGTAGTCGGTGGGTTATTAGTGTCTAGGTATATAGTTAGATGCTAGAAGCCTCATATACTAGAATTCTATTATTATACTGGGTCGCTGGCTTAAACTCAGTCGGTCTTGGCTCCCTGAACCGTGAGAACGTTTTTCGCACCTGAGTTACCTACAATTGTTCGATATTGTTTTACAAGTCGGAAAAGAAAATCTTGAGAAACACCCGCGATGCCTTTCTACGGTGACGGGGGCCCATATTATTATGGGTCCTCGTTCGCGAATCATAGTTCCTTGATGACAGGCACTGCTCGGTAAGCTAACGAAAAATTCACTCATGTATCAAGTCTATCAAGGGCCCGAGGTTAATATCAAAAAGTACACACGCGCAAGAATACAATAACACAAATTTTCTTTTACCTCCACACGTTCGGGCTTCTGCCGTTGGGTATTTTTATTTTATGACTGTTGACTGAGAATATTCTCGAAGCAGAAAACACTTGGAGACACTATATTTCAACTTTGACGGCATACCGAAAATTTAGTGGTACAAGATAACAAGGAACAATCATTAAAAGATTAGTCGTAAATTCGTTTATAGTTACTGGTAATTTGGTGAATTCAAAGATTGGTTTGGTAAATGTGCCACTGGAAATTTTCAAAGTCTCGCATGTTTCGCTAATCGATCTTGGCTTTGGTCAGAGTGTAGCACAAATAGATGTGTGGTTTGCGGTTGGACCACAGAGCTTGACCGTTTTCAAGGTGCTTGATGCTCCCTTGCGGCATTTCCGTGACGGAGTAATAACTTTAAAACAGCGTAGGAGTTTAAGCTCGTGCAGGTTATGCAATACGCGATACATTATAAGTCCTTTAGAATCAAAATCAAATTACAGTACAAGTAGATAACACAAGATTCTTTTAGAAGCCTTCATACTCCGCTTTCGTCAAGATATGCACCTCATCTGTCAACGATCGCGGAATCGCCGTTGAGCAATCTCCGTCGCTACTCGCCAGCCACGATTGCTTGTCGACCAAAACGAATCGACACAGCCGACATCGATGTCTCGACGCCCAGGACTTTATCCGAGGATCATGGTCGGAACAAGAGTAAACTTCGTCGGAACAGACCTACTATCAGGATAAGGTCAAGGGCGTTGAAGGATAATCCAGCCTTGAGAGAACTCAATGAGAAACATGAAAAAACCGTCGGAGAACTCCTTGTAGAGAAGTTTTTGATTAAGGATAAGAAAACTGAAAGATATGATCCGAAAACTAGACTGTATCGTCAGGTCAGCCTCGATACGGATCCCAATGAGGCGCAGGCCACACGTAGAAGAGTTACACGTAGGTTTACCAGGAGGAAATCTTCCGCGGATTTACCTATTGATCCTGATGTTATCGAGAGAGAGGTTGCACTTGTTCAGGCTCAGACTGAAGCTTTGGACACTCTTGTGGCTGAGGCTCAGGCTGAATTCGAGGTTGCGACCAGGCGAGGTACTGTCGTTAAGAAAAGTTCCTCCAGGGGTCTCATCCATGTGCCTAATCTCAAGGAAAACGATATCGACATTTCACAGGAAGATGATGAATCCGCTAAGCAGAAAAAGGTCGCTAAGAAAGTTAGGAAGAAGAAGAAACAAATTGAGAAGCCTTCGCCAACGGGGAATGAGGAGAAAATGAGAATACGTAAATCCAAGACTGAGGGAGATATTACTCAGGAAATGGATGGGAATGATGATGATGATTCTGGAAAAATGAGAATGAAACAGTTTAAAATCGAGGCTTGTAACAGCGTTGGCGATTTTTCGACTTTGTGGATAAAAGCAGCTCCTGATACCGATCAATCTTATAAGAGTATTGAACAATTTCGCGAAAGTGTGAAATTGCCTGCACCTACAAGAACTAATGGGAAAATCGAACGGATCGAGCCAGATAATTTCTTAGAGGAAGGAAATGAAACGGTGATTTTACCTATTAAAAAGAAATATATGAAAGATACATCGAGGAATAGTGTTTGTTTGACACTTCGGCAAGTCTCGCGAGACAAGCCGAAAATAATACAGAGTGAAGTAGTTGAGAAATTCGAAAAGAACGAGGATAATGGGAAGTTCGGAGAAGTTGAAAAATCAAAAACGGCTGAAAGTTTGTCGGAGGATTCTGATAAAGTAAATTTAGAGATAAAGAATATTGTTTATTCAATAAAGACATTACCAAATCCATTAGATCTGAATTTGAATGAGAACGATCCTGCTGATTCTATAAAAATACAAACAGAGAATGCAAAACCAATTGATAAGAACTTGGAAACGAATAATAAACCACCATCATTAAATATTCACGATATAGAAAAGCATATCATGTCTGATCGTAATGACACGAACAGTGTGGAATTGCAAAAAATCAATTCCAATGAAACCACTCCCTTGTCAACACCAAAGAATAAACTGGAGAAAAACGATTCTGCAGATTCACCAACGGTCACATCATCAAAGAACTCTGAAATTTCAAAAATATCAAAAATAAATATGGCCTTTGTAAACCCTCCACTGTCGCCGAAACTCAAATTGCCCAAAGATATTAAATTTCCGAAAATCCAGAAAAACTCATTGGAGAAAAGTAATTCGTTAGAGTCGCCAAACATACCTCATGCCAATGTTTCCCTGAAGAAGGTATCGAAGAGCTTAGACAAAAGTGACTCCATGGATAGTACAGAAACTAAAGAAGTCACGCCATCTGAAATTCTCAGCAATGAGTCGAAAAAGACTAATGATACAGAGTCGGCAAAGCCTCAAGTAAGAGACGTCGCATTGCCAAAAGCGCAAAAAAGTAATTCAGGCATAAATAACATAGCGCTACTTGACATGTCCGCGAAAATTGAAGAGGCTCCAAATCGTGTCAAGCACGAAGAACATCTTCCGGAGGTGAAAACAAAAGTGTTGGGAGCATCTTTAACAAATGAAAATGAAGAGAAGCTGAGTTCCTCATTGCAAAGCAAAAAAGTAAAAGAACCGTCGGATAAGATGGATACTGAAAAACTCTTGAAACCATTAGAATCCACAAATACATCTCAAACGAGTAATAAAATAGAGGAAAATAATGCTGAAGGAACTGACACTGTTTCAATGACAAGGCCTGCTACGTTAGAATTAAATAAACCAAAGAAACCACAGACGTCAGATGCTGAAGTCAATTCTTGGGGAGAAATTGGTAAAAAGGATAATTTGATATTAAATAAATCATCAGCTCCTCGAGACAAAAATGCGACTAGCGAATCAAAACTGTTTACGGAGACTGATAAGCTGCAAAAGAGCTTGAATACAGGAACGCTGAAAATATCTCCAGAATCTAATGACGCAATGGCGGTATTTGTGAATTCAAAAGAAACAAAAATAAATGTGTCCCAAGACGATACAAAGAAAGAGACTGATTATAAAGTAAATTCTGTACAAAATGAAAAAGTATTTCCTACAACCAATAATCCCACAATGCCATTGCAAGATTTTAATGACAAGATTAAAGAAAAAGACACACCCCATTTAATTCAAAAGAAAAAAGACATGACAGACAATGCGAAACCAATATTATCTAAAGATACAACAACAGAGTCAATACCCCCGCTTAAAGAGTCGCAGGAAGCAATAAATATAGAAAATGTAGTAGAACCCACGTCAGAACCTGTAGAATCAGAATCGAATGTCTCAAACGTACCTGAAGCTTCAGAGTCGAGTGTCCCAACTCCGATATCAGAATCATCAGTCCCACTTATAAACATAGTAGAGATACCTGCGACGCCAAAAACCGAGGCTTCAGAGTACAGTGCTGACGAAGAGCCCGGTACTCCTACAAACGAGTGGCCAGAGTCTTCAGAGAACGTGCAAACAATCTCAAAGTGGGACTGTCAAGATAATCTATCGAATATAATTCAGCAAGATCAGGAGGACGCTACGCCAGTTCCATCGAACGAAGCTAGCCTGACGGTGAGTCCATCCACGAGTCCCCAGTCTTCAAAGAAAAAGCGCGTTATAAAACACAAACAATCGACGTCAAAGTCACCCGAAGAGAAAGGTAGCTTGAAAAAACAAGAATCTATGGAAAGCCTAAAACCTCCAGGGGCGACGAATTCTCCAAGATACTCACCAAGATCAAGTCCACGAAATTCTCCTAATCAACGACCCCTCGATCTTAGAAAAATGTTCTACACGACTCCTACGCCATTATTAACCGCCACCCCAAGAGATCTGTCAAAAGTTCGAAGAGCGAAGGTCAAGAGGAAGGCTCACGTCACCAGGACACCATCCGCGAGTAGCGACAGTGCTGAAAGTACTAGAAGCAATCGTAGTACGTCTACTACCGAAAGCACCGAGGACACAAACTCGACCTGTACCGAGGTTGAGGACGACAACGAGCAGAAGAGAATGGCCTCCACCCATAGCAATGATTCTGGCTTTGACAGCTCGCCAAGACTCTCGAGTACATATTATATTTATATGCACGTCTATGATGCACTTAGTGAAACGTGGTGTTACCCTGCATCCACTCGTAGCAGTAACTAATATATATATATATATTTATCGCTACTACTATTTACTATTGACGCTATTGATACCAGAGTGATTGATCCTCCTACATCCCTGCAAGAGAAGTAGAATTCTCTGATGACTTAAGCATGACGGAATGTTCATCCAATTAATCAATGGCTAATTGCAGACAGTACTAAGAACGCCGGTCCTTAGTATTTGTCTAGGATTGAACGCTGCACTTGATTATATAAATATACCCCATTTAATTAACATGAATGACTAACTTGATGAATGAATAATTGGCGTTAAAGGGATTAAAATATCTGTGTCAGAGCTCTTTTGGATCTATCCGAGGTTGAGAGAAGGTACGTATATTCAGATGATCGAAGGTTAAATTTGTCAATTAGATTGCGACATGGCCTGCCACAAGAAATGTGCAAAACTCACGGGGAATCTTTGCGGGCTTAATCAAAAGCTCGTTGCGGAAGCTTTACAAGCGCTAAAGAGAGGTGAGTGGACGTTAATTGGCAATGATATATCTGCACGTAAATTGGGAAAGTTCAGGGATATAAATGGCTTGTGTAAATCATTGTTAATGGATGATGGTCACGAGACGATTCCACGGGTGTCTGTAGATGTTGATGTGGGTGTATAAACATTTCACCGATTTGCCAACATTTTTTTTTGTTGTGCGCAGGCTATACTATTTTTATCGTTCGTGTCTTTATTTACTTATGGTATGACGTCAGGAGATCTATTTTCCGAGACACTGTTTGCCCGGTAGATAATCGAGCCTACTTCATAGAAAATGCACGGACCAAAAGGATCTCTGCCTCGAGACGATACGGACCGACCTTATGATTGACGACCTTGAATATCTGAAAATTATTTGTGCCAGTTATATATGATATTCTCTTAATTGGTGATACCACCTGTCCCTCGTTACGTATACTTATGGCATGGGCGCGATGGCGCACATTACACAGAAGCCCTAATGTCTCGGTACAGACGACTAGTTCCTAAATATACATCATTTGTTCGCCAAGTCTATTTTTGAAAAATGTCACACGGCCAAAAGTGCACTGCAGGTATTTAACCACCAGCATCAGAGAGACTGGTCACAATTAAAATGGTCATTACGGACTTGACGCAAATACGGCTTTTTCGCATGACGTTGATTGCTACTAGAACCCGGGTGGCTAATTAAGACTTTGTTACTCACATTATTATTTTTGCTCTTTTTTCCCCCCACAGCTCCCTCACAATCATCTGACAATCAGCGCAACTCTGAAGGACCCGATCATTTCAGCAGTGGTCGAATCACACCGCCGGCTACGAATCTTCCACGATTCAAGAAATATGCTGTAAATGACTTCAATTTCCTAAAAGTAAGTATGATCGGATCGGCATTAATGACGATGTAATTGTGAAGTAACGTGGAGAAACTTCAGTACATTAAATAGCATTGAAAAGGGAAAATAGGAAAGCATGTAGCCAATGATTTGATAGTCAGCGAAAAAATGTGTCGCAGGTGCTGGGCAAAGGCAGTTTTGGCAAAGTCCTCCTGGCCGAATTACGGGGCACTGATTGCGTCTATGCCGTCAAGTGTCTGAAGAAGGACGTCGTCCTCGAGGATGATGATGTTGAGTGCACTCTCATCGAGAGAAAAGTACTGACCCTCGCAACCAGGCATCCTTATCTATGTCATTTATTCTGCACCTTCCAAACCGATTCGCACCTCTTCTTCGTCATGGAATATCTCAACGGTGGCGACCTCATGTTCCATATTCAAAAATCTGGCAGATTTCCCGAACCCCGTGCACGATTCTACGCGGCAGAGATCTGGTCTGGACTAAATTTCTTACACAAAAAGGGTATCGTCTACAGGGATTTGAAGCTGGATAATGTTCTACTTGACTTCGATGGCCATATTAGAATTGCAGACTTTGGCATGTGCAAACTTCAGATTTTCCTCGATCGAACGGCCGACACGTTTTGCGGCACTCCTGACTATATGGCACCTGAGGTAAAGCACTGTGGAATAATCAAAATCATTGTATGATAGATTTTGACTCTTAAAAAAAAATCAAATACTCTTATGAAGAATTATTTTCATATTTCGACGTGGATGCCGTCACTGAAGCTTGAAGATAGATGTGTCAAAAATTTTGTCGACTAGCTAAAACGAGGTCGTTTATTTATAAAAATTGTCGAAGATTTAAAAAACTGTCGCATTGGATATCGTAGTGTTCATTTTTAAATGAAATTTATCGTTGCTTATAAAAAATTAGTATATTATTTTTATTCACATATCACTGCTGTTGTTATCGTAATCTTCTTTACTATTCTTATTTTCCTGCGAATTACATAATTCCACCATTTCATAAAAATATTTCTTTACATACAGATAATCAAAGGTCTCAAATACAACCAGTCTGTGGATTGGTGGTCCTTCGGAGTTCTCCTCTACGAGATGCTCACTGGACAGTCACCATTCTCTGGCTGCGATGAGGATGAGCTATTCTGGAGTATATGCAATGAACGACCTTTTATTCCACGATATCTTACCCAGGAAGCGACAGATATATTAGTTTGCTTATTAGAAAAAGATTCTGGCAAGCGACTTCCAGGTCATGAAATTGCAGTTCATCCCTTCTTCCAGGTAAGTCCTTTGAGATCGTTACTACATATCCTCATTCCGTGTTCGTGATGCATTTCTAATGACAAAAATAAACTAAGTACTTCTGACACGTGCGCCAAAGCCGCGTACGACATCGTTTTACAGCCCAGGAGCGTTCCAAGTGTCAGCCTTAGATTTAATCCACATTTCAAGAGACATAAAAGTGAAAATTAACATTTGACAGGTAGAATCGGTAGTAAAGTGTTAATTATTTCCGCAGGGTTTACCATGGGACAGATTAGAGAGGCGACAACTGGAACCACCCTTTAAGCCAGCACTGGAGCATACCCTGGACACGAGATACTTCGACACGGCTTTCACGGCTGAACGACCACGTCTAAGTCCTGTTCCTGAACAAATTCTCAGCTCCATGGATCAGGGTGTCTTTAGAGGATTCTCTTACACAAATCCGAATGCGACCGACTGATTCGAATTCGTCCAATAGAGGATAGCGTTCCTATTTCTTATAGATGGGACACCTCAATGACAATAAGGGTCCCTTGTCAAAAGATGTCGTCGCGGTTCGTCCAAAAGAATGACGAGTTTTACTGCGATATTGTGAAAAGTCGGATATCCCGACTAATTTAATTGGCCATAATGTCGAATTAAAAACGACAGGAAGTTGGGCTGAGTTATAATCATGAAAGACGCGGTCGTTACACTGAGGCATAGCAGAGATTTCTTCTTTTTTTTTTTCATAGGGAAGACTCACTGCACCCGGGACACGTGTATGTGTATAATCGTGTCTATTTCAAGAAACTCGTGTTCCTCCTAGATTGTAGCAACGTTCGCGTAGTTGCTACATGAAACTGTCGAAAGTCCTACGAGAAATCTTGAAAGGATTTACTCGAATGGTAATAGGACCCCACGAAGTACGTTCTCTAGTATCTATAGTATCTCTTGTATACCCACTTTAAATGTAAACGGTATCGGTACAATTTTTACTCAGTTCTCCACGGGAGTTGAATACGTGGAAAATTTGCAGGATAATTTATTTATAAGAGAACTATAGAAGCTCAGGAAATCTCGAATACATGAATATCGGATTTTCGTTAGATACTGGTGACTCTCGTCTACTATAACGAGAAGTTCTTAGCAGTTACACGGGTTTGAATATTATTATTCGAGATTGCTCATTTATCTTACTCTCAAATTATGTAGTTTGCTATTAGGCATTTTTTTTTATTGGAACGCCAAGAAAGAATTGTTATCGATATGAATACTGAAGCGGATGTCATAGTTACCGAAATGAAAAAAGTTTATCTAGCTGCGTATGCTAATGTCGTTAAAGAGACGTAAAGGGGTAAGAAGACATAGCTGAGCATAATTACCCTCCACTTGTGTTTTTCATCTCATCCTCGGGTTACCGTAGCCGCCAGGTTATTAATACCTTGAAGTGTCTTATTATTATGGCCGCGATAGATAAAGTTCGAGTGTTTTCCCCAAGTAAAGTCTCCCCTCTTGGCCCGTGGTGAGCGTGCGCTAACTTTAGACCCTCGCGGAATTGGCAAACCGTTTCGCGTCCATATGCCAACCGGGAAGCGATGAGTTATCACGCATAGAATTACCAGTAGTATGGATCTATCGACATTCATAATGTATAAAATTTCCAGGAAAATCAATGAAATTTATTATACAATGATAATGAGTATAATATCTTATGACAGAAGCACGTCTCACGCTTCAGACACACATAGTTGACTCGCCGTTACGGTTGGCAATCAAGCAACCGTGTTAATCGAATTAATTAAAGTCTCTTAGTCTCATTCAGTCGTTGGTAGACGTAGAAGGCCTAATGAGCGTTCCGCGAAGGGTTTAAAAAAGCAGCCAGTACGCGACTAGTAGCCAAGCAGTTCCTGTCGACGCTCGACCCGAAATTAAGGAAGAGCCAATAAGACACCGCGAGAAGAGTGTTGGGAAAATTTCGAAATTGCAACTCTATTTCTAGTGCTCTCTTCTCATCTTTCTCTCTCTCTATCTCTCTCTTTATTTGTCGCTTTCTTTATGTGTCTTCATCTTTTTCCCGCTCCTTGGTATCTCACAAAAGACCGTCCCTGGTTGAGAGTCTGTACCCGACTGTTCAAAGTGCCAGGTTAAAATCTCGAGGAGATAAATACAAAGGGGAAAAAGAGAGAGAGAGAGAGAGAGTGTATGTGTGTACTGGAGAGATGATAAAAAGAAACGAAAGAAAAAAGGGATATTGAGGGTTCAATGGAGTTCACGTGTACCCGGGTGAATCGCGATTTTCAGTATAAATAATATCATTGAATGGAGTATGAATATTCGCGTTCAACATGTACAAATGGACACAACTGTGTTTTTCATCATCCTTACTTAGAAACTGGAAGATCAGATGTTAATGAGAAGTACAGACTTATTTGATACCGCGGCGACTGCGGGGCGTCTACAGGGCCGCACGTGTAAATTGTGAGAGAGGAAAAGTGAGGGTGTCGATATATAAATAGATTTCAGTGTCTGTCTTAGATGCGGCCCTATTGAAGTTATTTTTGAACCCATCGCGAGTTGTTACAGTCCTCCGCTCAGTTCTAAGGAGTTTTGCCTCGCAAGAACGTGCTCGCGGGACTAAATAATCAGGATAAAACAAAGGTGTAAGGGAAAGCCGGTTCCCAATCGAAACTACCGCCGCGACGATACCTTTAGTTTTTACGCGATAACATCCGCGTACTTTGTGATTTTCGTCGTTTCTTCTCTTGACTCCTTCTCCTTCCTTCCCTCTCACATTAATTTTCTTCCGTTTTTTCTTCTCCCTCATTTTTTACGAGGTATTTTGATACGATGTATCCTCGTGTTATGTACATATTTTGATAAAGATGTAACGTTAGCGTATAGCTAAGTCGATTTTCTCGCTAGTCATTTTTAAGTAAGTGCTTTTTAACGGATAACGAATGTAAATTGTTGTACAAAATAAACTCGAATGCGCACAACGACTATTGTGAATTCCGGCGAGAATTGTCATTACACTTCGCGTAGGAGGATGATCCTTATCCTGAGATAAATTTCTACCCCAGTGTGTATCGGCAAACAACAAACATGTTTAGTTCATTGAGATTGGCCACGATGCGGTCTCACAAGAATCGAGCGCGGCCAGGAAGTGTAGCGACCTCTGCAAGTTCGGACACTGCACGTCCAGAGGATATCTCATCGCAACAATATTATCCTCCAAACTTCTTGGTGCTCGATGAGACTGACTGTAATGGAGCATCGCCTTCGAGTGTCTCCTCCAAGGTAGCACAGGTGAGAGTGGAACGTGAGGGTGGAAGCCTAGGAGTGACTCTACGTGGTGGTGTTGCAAGAGCTTTGATAGTTACTGGAGTGAAGGCCGATGGTCCAGCTGCAAAGGAAGGCCGTGTCAGACCTGGGGATAGACTTCTAGCAGTAGATGATACCGAGTTACGAGGTCTCACTTTGGCAGAGGCCCAAAGAGCCCTTCGAAGAAGTTCCGACGCTCCTGTAGCTTCACTCACTATTGAATATGATGTGGCTAATATGGAAGAAGCACGAGCTGCTACCTCAGGACCGCTTTTAGTTCAGCTGGAAAGAGGATTATCAGGTAAATAGTGTTCTAGGGTAAATGAGGAATGGATATTCATACTCCAACTCAATTCGTTGTAGGTGAATTGGGCTTAACTGTCAGAGACACTCAGAATGGAGTCTACATTGAAAGTCTTCGTCCAGCGAGTACAGCGGACCGCTGTGGAGCTCTTCATCCAGGTGACAGATTGATGGCAGTGGATGATACTCCTGTTCAGGATGCCATTACGGCGGCTAAACTTCTAAGAAATGCATCAGAAAACTGTCGGATAGCCAGACTTCAGATTTTACCTAGACCACCCAGTGCATCTTCAAGAACCGTCAAGAGAAGAGCGCAGCCTCAAGCACAGTCGAGTTCTACTCAAACTTTGCATACTAAAGAGAGTTTGACTGTTGTCCTGAGACCAGATCACCGGGGCCTGGGACTTGCTCTAAGGCCATCTGAGGATCGAATGAATTACGTTGTGGATATATTGGAAGCTGGTGGTCCTGCTGAAAGGAGTGGAGTTCTTCTTCCTGGAGATAAGGTCGTTGCTATAAATCGTAGGATTTTACGTGATCTACAACCAGCTGAGGTTGCTGCTATTTTAGAAGCTTCTCAGGTAATAATATGACTCGGTAAACCATAATAATTATGTATGTAATCCTAATTTCTACATATCTTATTGTTGTGTCAGGTTGAGTTGGTCACAGAATATAAAGTTGGTGGTCCTGTTGTACCTAGTTCTGGAGTGTTTACTGTTAGAGTAGCAAGACCACTAGGAGGTCAACCTGATCTGGGTTTGACTGTAAACGAAGACTTAATCATTGCTGAAGTACGCCGCGGTTCTTTGGCTTATCGAACAGGTAGTTTAGCATCTGGAGATCAACTTTTGGCGATTGATGGTCAGAAATTGGACCCAGGAGATTTGCGACAAGCTGCTCAATTGTTACACAGGCCGGGGAGCTCAGTTGTGGCTCTCACAGTGAGGAAACCAGACCCGGCATCTGAAGCAAGGTGTGCACGTAGTAATGGGAACCAATTTCTCCAATTCAATCTGTTAATTAATAATTATGGAAAATTTATTTTGTTATGCAATCTCACAGAGAATCCAGTATAGGAAGCGATACAATTCAACCGCAATATCCAACTAGTATTTTACGATCTGCCAGGGAAAGTTTACCGAGTGTAGACAGTGCCGTGGATTCTTGGGGAGATATGGGAGAAGGTAGTGGTACTGGTCCAGAGATACTGAGACTCTGGGACACAGTATCCGTGGATAGTGGTCAACTGGATCTACCAATGCCACCATATCCATTATCTGAAATGAATCCAATCAAGTATGAAGTTATTACGTTGACATGTATTATTTTTAACAAAAACTATGAATTAATTTAAAAAATAAAAATTGTAGCTCTCAAAGTCGAAATGGAACAGAAAATCGTGCACAGCAAATAGTACACGTATCATTACACAAGGATCCTGTATATGAGGATTTTGGGTTTTCCGTATCGGATGGACTGTACGAACGTGGAGTGTATATAAATCGCTTAAGACCTGGTGGACCCTGCGATGGAGTTCTTCGTCCTTATGACCGTATTCTAAGGGTAAACGAGGCCAGTACCGAAGACTGCGACTGCTGTTTAGCCGTTCCGCTAATTGCAGCGGCTGGAACTCGACTGGATCTTACGGTGGCAAGACCCTTATCTCCTCAGACCATAACGAAAACACTCTAGGCCGTCGTTTTAATTTATTGATATGGGGTAATAGAAAAAAATGATCCCACGGCTTCTATTATATTTTTGTACGCATGCGTTTATTTATAAAAATAAATATATTATAGATTGCTTTTTAGCTAAAACACCTCCTGCACACAGTCCACATGCTCTCTCCGCATTCGCTCCCATACGTCCGTATGTCATTATAGTTCGTATTATTCAATCATTAAGTAGGTATGCCTTGATGTTAAACTGTTTTTTTTTATTCATGGGAGATCAAAAATTTCGTACCTTTAGCTCGCACGCCTAAACAAAATATATCGCGACCGAATGACAATCCTTCTTAATAATGATTCTTGCAATCTAACTCTTCATTGATTTTTAATTATGTGATAAAATGAAATGACATATCCATATCATGAAAAATGAGGCAATTTTATCACCGATTGATGATCGCTAACGATTTCCATTCCAGATCTGTTATGGAACAAGTGCAGAATGTATCCAGGCTACTGTGAAACGATGATCAATCAATGCTAATTGGGCCAGCAATCAGCTATACACAAAGTAAAGTATGATATTAATGCAGGAATCGTACCCTTGCCAGCAGGTGTAACTTTCGATGCATATTAGTAAATTGCATATCGATTACACGGTATTATCAATAGAACTGAATCACGGGATCTCATATTCGATCAAGTCTAATATAAAAAAAATTTGTGTGAAGAATTAAATCACAAAAATAAATATCTTTAAAAGTTCTGTTTTCATAAATTGTCTATTGAATTTCAGACGATCGAGCGGAAAAGAGTTAACGCATAATCATTTGCCCTTTTCAGTTTTGTTTTTTAAAGCAATGATTCACTCAACTGCGTCACTCATAAAAGAAATCGAAAAACTCAACACATTTGTCGGTATACAGTATATTACAATTTTGGAGAGACTAGACTGCATGTAGTTGATGCGTATCATTGGCCCAGCCATTTACCATGAAGGCGTTGGTACCATTATGATTTAACATATTATATTTAGGAAGAAGTGCCTCCTTCTTTTTAGCCTGCCGCTGATCGTACTTAGCTTTATTATAGCAAAGTACTCCCATAATGGCCATTGTCATACCAAGTATATTTAATCCAGTCACTGGATTCCCTAATACAAAGAGGCTCACAGCAATAACAAATATTCGTTTACTAGCACTTGCTACTGCATAAGTTAATGGGGTAACAATTGATAATACAGAAAAAGCAATGATATTCTGAAGCCAGTTCAGCATACCATCTATAAATAAGAGTGCAAAAACTTTGTAGCTAATAGTAACAGGACCTCCAATGACTGGATCGTACAATAAATGTCGCAAATCGTATATTAACCATACTGGCAAAAACATATACAGGGCTAACTTTCCCAGAACATGTAATAGTCTCAAATGATGAATTCCAGTATCATGCAGCACCTAGAATAATAGGACAATTTTATAATCCAGAGAATATAAGGAGAGGATTATCAAACATAAAAGAAAGTGTTGGTTACCTTTTTTGAAAATATATTTTGAAGAGAGAAACCCATTGTGGCAATCAGTGCACTAATCAGTCCTATCATATCAAAACTGAGTTCTGTCAATGTAGCAATTGCTACTCCTCCGATAATTGGTAAAAGACTCATATAAACTTTCCATGTTTGTTTTTCTTTCAATATAACTCTAGACAGGACCACTGTGAAGAAGGGCATTGTAGCCTTCACTGGGACAGAGCCAAACTTGAATTAGTATACATATATTGTATTATAATGTGTTTATATTAAAATAGTAAAAAAAATATAAAATATCAATAAGTTCAAATTTATTCGAATAAGATTTTTGTGACAGGCAAAATAATATAAAATTCCATAAATAGTAAATAATATATGTCTAATCTTAGTTTCTTCATTTTACCCAATTTATTTTACAAATATTAACATCCACACGTGTTGATTATTACTTATATAAATAATAAGTAACAATTTTAGATATCTAAAAGTTAAATAAAACATTACAAAAAAATCCTTTCTCTACCATTCCCCAAATGACACACGTGACAACATGGCATTTTACATGAGCAGAAAATATGTTTCAGTAATTCTATAAGAAAAATCCTCGATTCGAGTTTGTATAAATTTTGCACTTCAAAATATTGCTATTTAATACATGTGACATTCAAACTCGCGCTACATACCAGTATGAGCATAAGATACAGGAACCTTCCATATGCTGACGTGGCTAAATACATTGGCAAGAAATTTTCCCAGGGCAAGTGGTACGATTAGCCGAAAGTAATAGCCCCAAGGTATATCAGACGCATACCTCCGGACACCCCAGAGATTAAAGAAAGGTCCAGAATAGATGGTGATTGAGGTTAGCTGAACCATCGTAACTGTCATTGGATAAGGGAACTCTGAGAGTACCATTTTTCCGATAACATTATTACTACCGGACACAATATACCACAATATGCACAGGAACAATATTGTCATCATCTCACGACTGTCCCGTTTGTCAGCCATGGCTCCACGAGCGAGGAACCAAAACTTCTGTCACTCACGTCAATCAGTTCACTCCACTTCGCGGTAACAGATTGCAAGAGGAACACGCGATACATTTATAATTTTAGTGACAAATCGACAGACTCTAGTGGCACATGCGTACTGAGCTATCCAACTTGTAGTGACAGACCCGCGCCAAAATTCTTTCACGTTAATTGCTCTAGGGTATAATTTCAAATTAGTAGAAAATATTATTATGTGGATATACTTTATATGGAATTCCTTATTATTACAATTTTGTATAATGCCTGTCTTTACTTTACGAATTCTATTACATAAAGAGGGCCAAAGAAAATTGTTGTAAATGTCATGATTGTACGATCGTTCATACACATTTTATAACGCTGCCAGCAGAGGACACGAGCTATAATAGTCGAAGGTGGCGCAGGAATACATATTTCTAAACGTGAAAATTTCAATGGCGCCTGTGACTCTGCATTACGGTTAATTACGGCTAGTAACGGTGCGCCTTTCACGATTTGTAAACTTTTCTATATTTGGTGTATTACTTGAATCAAATATTATGGCTAAAGCGCCGTACAAATTGAGCTGTATCCTCGTCGGACATACTTCTGATGTACGAGCATTGGCAACTTGTAAGGATGGGTCCATAGTATCCGCATCCCGGGATAACACTGCTCGGGTATGGAAACCAACCGGGTACGTAACCTATCAATTTCATTAAATGTTTAATCAAACTATTGCCGATTGACGATTTACAATTAAAGTTGAAATCTTTAATTTGTACAGGAATGGATCTGGATATTCTGAAGATTCCATTCTAAAAGGTCATGTTAAATTTGTTAGTTCCGTATGTGTGATAAATCCTTCAGAACAGTATGCAAAAGGCTTTATAATAACTGGAAGTAATGATAACAATATTTGTATCTACATACCTGGTGAAACAGAACCTATCCACAAAATAAAAGCTCATGAAAATACTGTATGTAACTTAAGGACAGGGAGTGTAGAAGGAACTTTTTTGTCCAGTTCTTGGGATTTAACAGCTAAATTGTGGCATATTAAAAATTTGGATAAACCATTGGCAACTATAGTAGGTCATACTGCTGCAGTTTGGTGTGTGGCAGATCTACCAAACAGTGCTATAGTAACTGGTTCAGCAGATAAGCTTGTTATGGTATGGTCCAGGGAGAGTGTAATGCTTCACGAATTATCTGGACATACAGATTGTGTTCGAGATATATCTATCATTAAGAATGATGAATTTCTCACTTGTGCCAATGATGCAACTATACGCCATTGGAGTGCCACACAAGGAGTTTGTTTAGGAACGTACTGTGGACATGAGAATTATATATATAGCATAGTATCTAGAGCAAATGGCACTCTTTCTGTAACCGGAGGCGAGGATCATACAGTAAGAGTTTGGTACAATGGAGAAATAGATCAAACTATAATGCTACCAACACAATCAGTGTGGTGTGTGGATTTGCTTCCTAACGGCGACATAGTAACTGGTGCTTCTGACGGACAAATCAGAATATTTTCAGCGAATCCTGAACGATATGCTGATACACCAACGATGCAACATTTTGAAGAAGCAGTTGCACAAACTATGGCCAATGCACAACTTGAACTAGGAGGGATTAAAATCAGTGAGTAAGTACTTGATAATAAGTGAATAAACGTTTTATACTGCTTCATATGTTGAAGATCATCTTCAAATTCAGACATTATCTACTTATATTTAATATATAGGATATGATTTTTTGTGTCAGATTGCCAGATTCTAAAGTATTGTCACAACCTGGACAAAAAGATGGCCAGACTAAGATGGTGAGAGAAGGCGATGTAGTTAGAGCTTATAGTTGGTCACAAAGCTTACAGAAGTGGGAACGGATAGGAGACGTGATGGGAGCCTCTGGTGGCAGTGCAGCTACTTCCGGAAAGCAGTTATACAATGGAATTGAGTACGATTTTGTATTCTCGGTCGATATACAAGATGGAGTTCCACCATTAAAACTACCGTATAACATCGGTGAAGACCCATGGCATGTTGCACAGAAATTTATTCACGATAATGGTCTCAGTCAATTATTTTTAGATCAGGTATATACCGTCTGATCATTAAACTAATCAAACTGACAATCGGAAGAATTAAAAACAAAAGAAAAGTAACCTGAGCATTTTTCTGTACCAGGTTGCTAGCTTTATAGTCAAGAATTCACAGTCTGCACCAGTTGTGAATACCAATTCACAATATGCAGATCCGTTTACTGGTGGCAGTAGATATGTTCCTGGAGCATCGACATCAAATAACAGTGTGGCACAACCGCATCCTAAGCTCCCTGCTACTAGTACATCTAAAACATCAGTCTCACAATCTTATATTCCTCATGTAAACTATTTAAAACTAGAACAAGCCAATCATCCTGCTATTCTTGGTAAGTAACTGATTTATACTAGTACATATATTTCAAGAATTGACTTCCAAAGAAAACTTGGCAAATAATCACTAATCTTTACTATTATTACTATCATTCTGTCCAGAAAAACTACGGGAACTGAATAAAAAATGTGGCGACAGCATTCACCGAATACCTGAAGACAAGCTTGAATTGATTGTTAAGCTTGCCTCAGAAAGTCATATTTCGGATCAATTAAGGACTGAGGCAGTTGAACTTCTACGAGTTCTTTTGAATTGGCCAAACGAAATGGTATTTCCTGCTTTGGACGTGGCACGATTAGCTGTTTTACATGGGGAAGCGAACAGTCAATTATGTACCGCAGAATTATTAGAAGTAGCGAAGCGTCACATAAAGAACAATGCATTACCATCCAATCAGATGCTTACCTTTCGTTTACTGGCCAATATGTTCTGCCATGAAAAGGGAGAGAAACTTGGCTTAAAACACAGGGACGAGCTTTTGAAAGCTGTTCTCAATCTGTCATCTCTTGGAAGTAAAAATAATCAGGTACCGTGGAATAAATTTGATCAACGATTTCCTAATAATAATATGAATATTTTTCCTGCTGACGCATTTTGCATCTTCCTAGGTTGCTATATCCACATATCTCTTAAATTTGATTGTCGCCTTGAACAAACACGACGATACCCCAGGTAGAACGAGAGCGCTAAACGTACTTTTTACGTTACTTCCGCTTTTAAATGAACCCGAAGCTGTGTTCAGAGCTCTAGTTGGTCTTGGAACACTCTTAGCAGCAACCTCCGATCCGGATGATCGGAACGAACTAATTCGTGCCGTCCGACAATCGGAAACGGCTCTTAATGTTTTGAGAACAATGTCGGAAAGTATTACCGATCTCCACGCTCAAAATAAGCTAGCAAATTGTTCTAAACAAATTATTGACCTGATTATTTAACTTAATACTCTTTAAGATACGTTTATACTTGTACCACATACTGTTAAAGTGGTAATTATCCTGGTGATTCGCCTGACATGTAGCTTTTCGAACGCAAATAAATGTAACTTCGAATACTATATTTTTTGTACCGTATACATATGTATAAATTTTGTGACGTCCACGCATTACTTGATATAAATTTGCGTTCATTATTCCAGTCTTCAAACTCAAAATCGATGTCAACTTTCTATAAAGACCATATTAGCAAAAACTCGTCAAAAATAACGACGGTAAAAGCCTAATAACAAACATATAGTCTTAGAATACTATTAGCAAATATTGGAACTATTGACTATCAAACGCTTGTAAAAACGTTTCTATCAAACGATTGGAAGTAGAAAAAGTTTACTATATTGTCTAATTCAATGTATACACCGATTGAGGAATCGATTGTATCGTATCGATTGAGATCCCCGATTCCCATATGATTTTTTTCATATTTCTATCAAACGGTGGACTGTCAAACGTTTTTATTGGATAATTTTTAACTGCATTCTGTATTACTTAACTGGATTCTGCATAGAATGAGCCCCGGAAGAGTTAAATTCGGTTAAAAACGAAAAAGTGCGTTCCAACTTCACACCAAATTTTGATTTTGATTTTCTGAAAAAACTATTAACTATCAAATCTTTTTAGAAGACTCAAACGATTGAAACGTTTACAAAATAAAAGTTGGCCGGCCAACTTCACGCAGGTCAAATTAATGCCATGGTATTCTTATTGTCAGGTTTTCACTATCTTTAATTCTATACATTGTAATCAATACATCCGAGGATATTCGCTTCACGGTAGTAATAAGATCCCGCTAATCCGAATAACCTTAAACATCAAGTAATAACAATTCGTAGGCATCGCGACGCCCAATTCTTCCGTACCTCTCAGACCCCTTGGACCACCGCTGATGGATATATAAACGACGACATTTCGCGATTCGAGCCAATTCGAGCATTCTATCACCTGAGCTAGCAAGCTTACCTTTAGTAAAGCAACGAGCAAACCGTCTCGGGCAAGCGGGCAAACCGTCCCACTTGACCTTAATTTCTAAAGGTACTTCTACTCTTGTAATCGAGCAAACCGTCTCGGGCAAGCGGGCAAACCGTCCCACTTGACCTTAATTTCTAAAGGTACTTCTACTCTTGTAATCGAGCAAACCGTCTCTTCTGCCAGATAGAATCAATCTCTACATTTCAGTTGGGGCGTCACTTTAACAAGTTTGATCATTGTGTAGCTTTCGCTATATATGCCAACCTAAATTCATTTAAAGACGTGCACAACTGGCTACTCTGCGAATGAGACTTTTCTTACCTCGCTGAGATACCGACATTGTTTTAGAAAGGACCACGTCTACCTGTGATCACGAGTTCCCTAGTGGAAAACTGCTCAGCAGCACGACGCTTATATTTCAACGAGTCAACTCTGTAATCAAACTCCGCCAGTCGGAGGCTGCTTTCAGACACGATTCCGTATTTCATTTATACAATCACAACAAGAGTCAAAATAAAATCACACGAGAATAGAAGAACCTATTATTCCCGTTCCCGAAAGACATATCGTGTAGGTAAACCGCATGTAATCATCGTATTAATACAATTGACTTTCCGATCACTAATCTTCTCTATGTACCATCTATAATAATTGCTACTTTCCACTTACGTTTATATCTATCCTTCGCTTACTAACATCCAGCATTCTTTAGGCTGGATCTGCACTAATCCTTTTTGTATTCCGTTGTAGGACAATATACTTTTCTTTTATAATTTATAAAACAAAGTCTCACTTTTATTTGTTCCGCCTGATATCTTCCCTAAATTCCTAACAGTTGATTCTGGCTCGAACCCGCCTTTCTGGCACTATTCGCAGAACCGCATCGTACGAATAAGGTTACAACATATAAGTTATTGGTATAATAAATTCGGTTACCGACTTCTCAATCGAGATATGCAAGAATATGGCAGAGTACAATATTTGCGATACATCGGCATTTCAGGAGAATAACCACTAAAGAAATTTCATTTAAATGGTGTGGTACATTTGAGTTTCTGACCATTATGTGAAATCACTGGTAACCACCCCGAGAGTAGGATTTACCTTTTTAGACATATCAGAACCGCGTGGCACAGATTAGACGGGCATGTGTATGTACATACATACAATCGGTTGCCTGTTTGCACAAAATTCGACCGAGTCTCTTAATTGATGAAAAAAGAATGTTTATTGTATGTCACAAGACAAAAGCGAAGAGAAGAAAGAATAACTAATTTTAGTGCAAAACATATCAAAATTTTTACTTTCTTACCTTTTACTATATCCCCTCAACAATGCTTAACAATATATGTTTTGATGTTATTATATTATCTTCCCAAAAACAGATTATATCTTCTTAAGACGGGACTTAATGCTAGTTTCCGACCATTCTTTTAATAAAATTAATATTCTTTTCTTACGGACTTATTCCCTGTAAAACAAATAGAATTATATGAACAAATTTGTATTGCCACGTATCTACATAAAAAATTTAAACAGAATTAACCAGTCACGTTCACTTATTCTTTTCTGAAACTTGCATGTGATTGGTTAAGCTCGTTCAAATCTCAAATGTGGGAAAGCAGCCATTTGTTCTCATGATTTGTAGGCAAGATCAGGGGATTGACACTCCAATGGGCTATAGTGAAACATAGAATAATAATGTAACCTCCCGATCAGATGGTGCAGCGATGACGTGCGTATGCGCAGTCGCCATCTTGGAGAAAAGTTTATTGTACATACGCGTCACTGTCTTCCGATTCGGCGACGGATTTGTATCTACAAATTTACGCTGGTGAATTTTGAATCGTGCTCATCGCAATTACAGTGCAGAGTTTTGTCTTTGAGCATGATTGTGTTCAACATCCAGACTATTTACGTAGTGGAACTTTTTTGGACGACGATTATCAACAATTACGAAAACTAGACGAAAGCTACGCGACTCATCTTTCCAGGCTAACCTTATTTCATACTTTCTTATTTTTATATAATTATTTGTCTATTCTGTTTTGTTTTCTCTTATTTTTCTTCTACTTTTATATTTTAGAGCTTCATAATGCCACCTTTGAAGAAAGACTTATCCTCTTCAAGATGTGTTGTTCCTGGTTGTACTTCGGTGTGCCTACAAGTCGGATCTCATTGCTTCCCAAAAGACTTGGAGTTATCAAAGGCCTGGGTAGAAGCAGTACGCAACCCCATGTTGTGGGACATCGATTCATCGATTTTAAATAAAAATTATCATGTGTGTAAATTACATTTTTCCTTGAAAGACTATATACCTCGTACTACGAAGGCAAGACTAAGGAAAAATATAGTACCATCATTGCGTCTATCGGCTGATGTCGATAAAAATGTTACTACAAGTGCGACTGTAGTAACAGATGAACAATGTGCAGTATCCTCGAGTGGTACTGATAATGTGAATGCGAGCGATGTGAGTGCTGCTACAAGTGCGAATGTAGCAGCCCATGAACAATGTGATAAACCTTCGGCCGCTTCTTCTGCATCACTTGTCGAACCATCGACAAGTGGTCCACCTGCTAAGAAAGCCAGAACTAGGATAGTTTCAAGAGTTACACATCCTTCTTCAAGATGAGGATAAGGAAGAACTCAATTGGTTAACTTGTGCTGAACATGCTTCTGTAGCAAAACTGAAATTCAAGAAGTTTACAGTTTTGTTGCAGATTCATGCTTTTTGCACAAACGTTAACAATATTTTGTTAGGGAAAGAAATTAGGTACGGTAATGGTGCTAATAGTATGTTTCGGCAGGTTATTATATACAGATCCACCCACAGTAAATGCACCCTCTGAATTGCAGATAGTGCATACATTTCTTCGGCATGTATATAAACACTCTTCTCGTAAATATTTTATATAGAATGCAACATACGTTGAGGTAAATGATGTTTTATTCTCACTTTCCTTCAAGGGTGCAGCCTGCATTGAATGTAAGAGAATATACGATCTCCAGTTTTCAGTCTATGAGGAATTCTACATTGAATATAGTGTACATAAATAATGTTAAGATCACAGCAATCGCTCTTAACCTTTATTAAATTAAAGCTGCTGTTTAGCTATATATATTGCATGACGTCACAAGCGAGAAAACGTATTTTTCGTTATTCTCCTTCATTTCTAAATGATTTAACAAAATCTTTGATAAGCCCGCTTCGTTATGCGATATGGCTGGCGGCTCTTCTCAATTTAGGTGCGAAAAATGTCTCAATTGTAAGAAAAATGTACATAAAGAAATCGTGCATTTCTGACCTGTCAAAACATCATGGGCGCCGCCATTACGACCGTTCACTAAATCCCATTTTTCTACGAATCAGGACACTCATCACACTTAAATCGAGATGGGCCGCCTTGCTATGGGCGATACAAAGCGGGCTGATCTAATAATTTTGTCAATAATTGTTTAACAAACGCAAAAAACGGCAAATTAGATTCTGCCCGTATTTTACTATCTTGAGAATCCAACAGATGCCGCTAGCTGTTCCTCGCCGTAGATCTCAGTAACGTGAGCGATTTGTGGGGCCCGTAGCATAGTACTGTTGGTAAGAACTACACACATACATATATATTATATGTGTGTAGCCAAGTTTGCTGGCGAAGAGCTAAGCCAGCCTAGACGCTTGGCTCGACTCGCTACATATATATATTCTTTACGCCACTGTCTTGTTAGCCGTCCACGAGGTAGCTATTTAAAAAGTAATGGTACTTACAGTTTTCAGAAAATGTTGGTATCAAGCTGAAAAAGTTGTATTTTATTTGTTATTAACAATTTAATTGTTTAAACGACGAACCTTGGTTGATAAGATTATATTTGATGCTTTTCAATGTAAGAACCTTTAACGCCTAATACGAGATTCGTATCACTAGTCAGTCACTCGTTAGTCGTTTAGACAATTAAATTGTGAATAACAAATTAAATATAACTTTTTCAGCTTAGTACCGAAACTTTCTACAATCTTTACGCATTATATTATTTTTTTAATAGTTAGCATAGACTGTCGCAAAGACTAATATTGCAAACGTAACGGAATATTAGAATATTTCTTACAAGGAGAGACTCCGACAATCGGAATTTTGTAATCTTTTTTACTCATGGTACGTGAAGTTGAGAATTCGAATAGTAATTTCCCAAAGCAGTTCTATGTCATATTCAAAAATTCTCAAGAAAGTCGACTTTAAAGTTTTGTGAGTCCGTATGTGCATGAAATGTGTCAGAATATTTAAGCAGGCCGTTTAACGCACCCGGTAACGCTCGAGCTTAGCGAGCGCGGGGTCGCTGGTTCGAGTCTCACTTGTAGCTTTCTTTTTTCCACCCAATTCGCATAATTACGTCATTTAAATATAGAAATCACCAGATCTATAGCAATTCACAGATATATAATTGTAATCTTCAATGAAAATCGCACGTTTTACTTTTAATTATCTCGAGCTTCAAAAATTGCATTTTTGTATGTAAATGTCAATATTTAGCTACCAGTACTTATAACAAACAAAATTTTTAGAGCGGAAATGAAAACTGATGGAATTCTCTTTACTATAAAAGCAACATGATAAGAAAGGTAATGGGGTCGAAGTACTGACACGCACAATATAATAAAAAAAAATTTCTTGAAAATTTTGTGACGTGTCTGGCACCCTTTCCAAAGGAACCCCCAAATACTGCAGCCATGAAGCCCCTGTCAGAGCTTCATACTTTCGCCAACAATCAACGCTCGAGTCAACACCGAAACTTTTTCCAGCCAGACAGCAGCCTGAAATACTTTACATGTAGCTACTTCTTTTCCTTTATCTTACTGCTTCCTCTTTTGTTTATGATATTTTTTGTTCTGGTTTTACCTTTTTTCAAGTTTATAATATTTATAGTTTGTCTGGGTTTTCCATTCTGGTTTTTCCCTTTTTTCTATTTTATAATATTTATATTTTGTATGGATTTTCCCTTCTGGTTTTTCCCAATCTTATATCGAGGAATCTGTTTCATTGTTTAACTATTTTTTTCTTTTTACTTATCTCATTCAATAAATAACTTTATACTATACATAATTATGCATTTATTTTATTTCAGGTACTTGCAATTATTATAAACATCAGATCCAATCGTTTGACCGTATTAATTGTGCATATTCTCTTTTGCACCACATGTAACGTTTTAGAATGTTTATGAGGGTCTTACTTGTTTTTCATAGTTGCAGGTGCTTTTAAGAATACCTTAGAAAACTTTCAGAGCGATGAGTATACAATGGTGAGTATATACATATGTATACACGCCTCTATATCTACAGGGTGTTCCAAAATTACCTGACCAACGGGGTATTGCGGTGTTCGGGAGGCACCACTGATCATGAAAATGACCTTCCTTTTGTCTGGAAAGTCATAGTTTTTAAATGGGAGCAGGTCAAAGTTGACCAATCAGAACGAGGTGTCAAGAGAAACGTAGGCACTTACGACCTCTGAGTTTTCTTCCCTCGCTTTTATTTCCGGGTGGCTTGTTTCTTGTTTCCAATAGGTATGTCTTCGGCTGACGTCATCCTGACCAAAAACAGGCTCATTGGCAATCTCCCTACTCATCTCTGGCACTACTATGTGAGATATTGATAGATTGAATCTATTTAATTGTTACAGACTGTGTAAAATTACCGTGTTAATGAATGAATGGAATAAAAATTAATTTTTTAAAAAGTGTATATTATATACTCTTCTTTTAAATTATACTTTTATAGTCAAATATTGAAGTAATAATCAGGAGAAATGACTGCACAATATAATAACCCGATTCCAGTGCAAGAGAGTGTAGAGTTCACGTTAGAAGATGCATACGATATGATTAATGATATCAAAAAGGAACGTGAACAAGAAATTGAAGGATTATTAGATGCAGTATCAAATAATGAGGTCATTACTTTGAGAGAAACAACCACAAATGAGGTAATTGCAAAGAAACAACAAATTCTCATTGAAAGTCTGTTGAAACGCATTCAACTGGATGTACCCAAAGATTATCCAATACCAAATACTCCAGATTTATATGCAGATTTAATGAGAAAAATGGATGATGAAATTCAGCACTTACAAGAACGCATGCATGCTATGACAGAGCATCTAAAGGATATTAAAAAAAATATATCTTAGTAAGTATTCAATATATAATGCCCATAATAATCTAGAATTAGAAATAAAACCGTAACAAGAGTTCTTCATAAAAATTGTTTCAGTTTAGAAAGCAAAAAAATAGGATTACAAAACATGAAAGAAGCATATTTACTTGCAATGGAGAATGTTGCTAGTAAAACCTACGAGGAAGAAGTCAGGGTCACTAATAATTTACTTAAACTTGTAAAAAAAGACTTGGTGAGAATAGAAACTAAAATTAATTACTTTAATAAATTGTTGTTGTACAATAAAATAGTTGTACAATATTGCTTTTACAGCACACAGTTGTGAATACTATTTTCCCAGACAATGAGGAATTTCTGGAAATGTTAGCGGTAAGTAATGTTATACATATACAGTAAATTCAAATATATTCATAAAATTTTTTCAATATCTTCAAATCTGTTTCAGTGTCTAGCAGCAGCTTATACTAGAGGTGGTGATGATCTTTACATTAACATATTTCCTGAAACATTACAATATGCCAAGTTTCTTGTTGAAGCAGATATAGCAGTATATCACCGAAACGACAAAAGTAAAATTAGGCTAACTGATTTACTGTAGCATTAACTGTATATAAACTCACTTTATCTTCTAACGTATAATACTAAATAAAAAAAAGGTTATGAAATTAGAAAATCAAAGTACTAAATTGATTGTATATTCTTGTGCATACAATATTTTTACCGCAGAGAGGGTTTGTCCGAGTCGATGAATTGCTATTAATTAAATGTCAAACATGTTTAGAGACATGTATCTCATGGTCCTATATTCTACTAAGTTAATTATGAATTTCATAAATCACCACATAAAAGGTGCTCTTTCTCTCAACACCCGAACGCCAATGCGTTCCCACTCTTGTCGGCCAATCCATAATTCTTGAGCAGATTCCAAGCAGCTTAGAATTGCAGCACCCTTCCATGCTGTCATTCCTGGATCCATTTCTTTAGGTTGTGTTATAATATCTAATTGTTCTATCAAAAAAGGAAAGGAATCCACTTAATAAATTGGATTATAAATTACATAAAACAAAGAAGTAACATTAAGCTACTCACCAGCTCTGTACATATACGGAATCTGTAGAGATATTCTATTATGGAGCCACATGCCAATACCTTGAAACTTCATTCCTGAACCAACAACTAAGACACAGCTGTACATTTTTCTCTTCAAGTCGTCAGTTGCTGTTATGATAATTAATTCATACGGAGTATACTTTTAGAAGTGTTATAAACATTTTGTACAATATGATTATTAAACTTACGGCAGCGATCGATGCTTTGTAATACTGCATGATCCAGACCTAATAATTGTTGGGGCCCAACAATAAAATCTCGCGGTGCATCAAGATCACGATTAGACAGAGTGATAGGTGCAGAATCTACTGCATCCACAACAACTTCTTCTTCACCTGCAACAGCTGGCGTTGCTACTTCTTCTTGCATCTCTAAAGTTTGTTCCAAGTTTTCTTTCATTCCTCTCCGCTATAATAAATGTATGTTTTATGGCAACGCACTCAACAATATTAATAATTAAGAACACATAGTATTCGTTCTACGTTAACTTACACTGGTTTCTCGTAAATAATTTTCATCGTGAGGATCCTCTGGATCACCCATAGATCGTTTCTGAATGTGAACATTGTGCGTCCCCGTTACTTTAAATAATTCCGGTTGGAAAAGGCTTAAGGGTGCGACTAAACACTCATCACCGACCTACCATATATATATCTGTCATTCACATAAATAATATATCTAATTACTTATTCCTTACTAAAATAATGTAATACCTGAATAGTATACTTCTCAGTATGTTCTTTAGGCTTTCTTACAACAAACGTTTTTTCTTGAGACCCACAAACATTTAAATCAACATGGCAAAAGTCTTTTTTCAATTGATTCAAAAGTAATGCATCTAATCTGTTGGAAGGGTCACAATTTTTGTATGGGAAGGCACATTTCTGAAGTAGCCAAAAAAATGTTTGAGTAATATCACCGCCACCATAATCCATACGCACGCGTGTGTTCCTATGTGATATTCCATCTTCTACACAAGAAACTGACGTTTTTTGATCACCAACATCAACTACGCAAGCATACCCTAAGCCTGCTCCAAATGTAGCGGCAACATGATCCTTAAATTAAGGATTTGTATGAATATCAATTGTGGAATTATGTTATTCATGTTAGAAAACTGAATCACACCTGTAAAAGGAAGCATCCTCCAAATCCTATATCGCACAACATTAAAGTTGTTAGTTCTTTCAAATATTGTCTATTGTAAATATCTGGTATAATTAGAACTGCACGATAATGCCTTAAATCTCTAAGAGGAATATCCATTTTTTTTGTCAGGACATATTCCCAAATAGTTTTCAAGTCTGCCAAAACAGCTCTGAGACTTCCTCCTGGACCTGTATGCACATTTAATTCTCCTCTTCTATAAGGAAAATGTATATTTAAATTCTCTTCAGGATTTAAAGACAATATATCATCTCCCACAATGACATCTTCATCTGTTTTCAGCCAGTCTCCACTGGAAGGTGATTGAATTTCTGGATTAGATCTACGATTAAATGCTGCAATTTGTTGTGGAGGAGTTGCATATCTTCTTCGACCATCAGACTGTAAACAGGACTGAAGAGTATGAGACACTTGAAGTCTAGATTCTTCCATTGCCTGGGTTAACTCCTTTGTCTGTAAAATATTTCATAATTTGAGTTATACATTTAATTTATGTTGTAATAATTGTGGACATAAAAATACTTACACGTGCCACTTGTGGTGGAAGAAAATTATCCTTATATTCTATACCTCCAGGTAATCTTCTTCTTGCTACAGCATTTAGTAGAGTATAAGGATTCAGGTCTGATGCTCGACCCATACGAAGATTCATAGATCCAGGATGAATTATTATTACTGTTTGAGCTTGAATCTGCTAAAAATTGTAAATACACATAAATATTGTAAGTATAAACTTAAACTTTGTATTATAAAGATTATAATGTATTTGTATTTACTTCCGCACATGATTCCTGAAATACTGGCATGTTCGCTCGATTTAGTTTAATCCTGATGTATTTATCATTTATTCCTTAAAATAATATACAATTTTCACGGATGCGGTAAGCAACATTCATGACTACGTTTACACGGCGGTGTTATTTCAATTTAGTCAGTACAGATCTAATGGAAATGACAAATCACAGATGACTTCTTACGAATATTTGAGATTGATCAATTCCTTTAGATTAGATTAAATAACCGGAATAATATTGCATATATTCGACCGTGTAGGGCTGAACTAGAGTTAACCAATTAAAAACGAGATTTGAGCGGAATAAGCTAACTTGATTGGTTAACTCTATTTCAACTCTGCACGGTGGAAACTAAGCCATATGCATTGCTAGAATGAGCCTAGTTTCCACCGTGCTGTGTTTAAACAGAGTTAACCAATCACGTATAGGGGTTGAGTGGAATTGACCAATGAAGCTGCTTGACTCTGTTTAAACTCTGCACGGTGGAAACTAAACTATAGTCTATTCCCTTTCTAGGAGTATTAAGTTCTATGGTTCTATGCCATCGACATATTAAAAAAAAAATTATTTAGGAAATGTGCACAAATATGGCACAAATGCAGAAACGTCCAGTCGTCAGATGACGCGTCCACACTGAAATAGATTTTGGACCATGAAAATCGGCTTATTGGCAATCTCCCTACTCATTTCTGCCTAAACAATTTTTATTTGAATCTAAAGTAAGGATGTTCAAAGGTAATTTATTTAGCTATAGAAAATTATTTCAAGACATTACTTTTTAAAAAAGTAAAATGTTTAATTATGCGTTTAATTAACTTTTTCGTGGTTTCTGTTCTCATTGTTTACTTAAAAATGTCACCAATTAGCACTTTTTAAAAAGTTCAGAAAGTATAGGTAACGAAGTAATGAGAACAAACCTACTGTTGCGATGTTAACATGACATAGGAATATCACTATTTCCTGTGTGAAGTAAGCAAAGTTGGAACAGCTGTTCTGCTGGATGGTTGCTTTGACAGGGACATTGACGGATAAGCGAATGATTTATCAAAAATTAAGGCATTTAAATGTTATCGCAAATATTCCGTGGAGAAACTGAGAATGCTGCCGTCAAAAGGAAACGACAAATCAACACATTGAAAATTTTTAATGCCAAGTAAGATATTCCCGATATTTGTAACCTCTTATTAACCTCTTTTATTTACATTTACGACTTATAAAATCGCATTACAATATCAGATTAGCGTCGAACTCTCGTTTATGATTTCCTTTTATCATGAGGGTTGTTCCTTTTGTCCACCTTGATCTGAATGACATTACTTTCAAAGTACTACAATTGTTGCAATGTCTTAAGAATTTAATGATTCACAGCAATTCCTCACATTTAATGTGTGATCTGTTATTATTTTACTATAAATGTACACGACTTCTTTTGTATGCAGAATCATGGTAAATAAGATGTTTCTATTGTCCCATTAAAAAAAATAGAGATACTTATATATTTTTGTTACAATACAGATATAGTGAAATTGATATGTTAATTTAATGTTGAAGAATGAATATTAATATTAATAATAATTATCTCTCAATATTGTAATTGTTTCTTTAATATATAGAAAGTTAGTAATTTATATAAATCTACAATCTTAACTACATGATATAAAATGTAAGTTGTTTACCAATCTAATTATAAATGCTTATATATATATTTTCTTCACTGGCATGTGCAGTGTAATCGAGTTGAAAGAAGATGTGGAGTACCAGGTGCAGTTTGATGCTGGGGATAAGCGAATGGCTATCATGGTCTCGCTAACCCCAGAGTTTCCATTGGAGAAGCCATTCCTTAGAGTTTCCCCTCCAATTACGCATCCTTGGTGTAACGAACACAGTGAAATTACTAGTGCCCCAGGATTGCTAAATGTAAGCCAAGTTGGTCTCCTGCTATCTAATAAGATACCTATATTTATACTTTTTGTTTCACCACAAGATAAAGATATATCTTAAACTATTTAGATTAGCATATTACTTCTAAATCAAAATAATGACCATTTAAGAGGAAGCAAGTATTCCTTGCTTTAATGTGATAAGTTTATATTTATGTTAAACAAAAGATGCTTAATTAAATGTAAATATGTATATACATTGCATGTATATACATTTGAAGTAAAAATGGGTGTACTAATTCCATTAGTTTCAACGAATAGCCTTTTCTAAAAACAGACCAGTTACTTCTCTGAAAGTGAATATGATTTCTAATTGTATTTGTCCAAATTGTGTTGCTACTATAATCATTAACAAGTATTCTACTCTCAATTACTTTACAATAAAGTGATATGTAGTTTCAGTAACAACTGTCTTTTTTTCTAGTTCACAGTGCACAGTGACCTTGGCCGTGTTGTTCAAGCCATTATTAGAGAATTTAGCAAAAATCCACCACAATTATTAGAAGATAGTCCTCCAGCAACAACTATACCCCACAGAGGTATTAATTGTACTCTTATATATCATTTCAAGTGAAAAGACCACTATTTGTATTATAATTATATATTTGATATGTCAGCAACCTCAATGATCTTTGGATATGACACTGTTGCAGATCTTCAAGAAAGAGCTTCGCCATCCTATGCTCTGCAGCAATACATAGACCTTCCTTCAACGTCCTATAATTCGTATTACGATTCACAGTATCCGCTATTCTCTTCCTCGAATACAAACACCTCTGTCTACAATTACAATTATACAAATTCCGGAAACACGTATAACTCGAATAGCCAGACAAATTCCTTCGCAGTACCATCTCATCATTCAACGTACATTGCAAACTCTGGAAGTAGTACTTTACACAGAACTAATCCCACGCATTACTCCACGAGTCAACATGCATCCTCGTACTTAAATTCACATTTCGTCAATGCGAATTACGGACAATCCGTACAAAGCCACGTCCAAACGAAGGCGCCCCAGAGTTTAGTATTCCCAGAACTGAATAATTTGAATAATGAGGAATTGAAAAAACTCAGTGAAGACGAAGACAGGCTGGATGAATTTTTGGAAAATCATTCACAATTAAAAGACATTAATGCTGCTGTCGAAGATGCTATAGATTGGGTAGAGAAAACTGCCAGTAAGTAAAGCCTCTGTTCATTGATGCATTATATTTTTATTTTAGAAATTCTATTATTAATAATGATTATCTTTTTATAATTTTTAGCGGCGAATTTAACCAAAGAGCCTGAACTTAAGCAGTTGCGCGATGAAGTTGCAGAAAAAATTGAAACCGTCACCACGTTGAAGGCTCGGTATGATCAGCTTATTCAACGGTACAATAAATTATCTGAAGTGTTTACACCTGATCATATAAAGGAATGCATGAAACAAGCTGCAGATGAGAGTCACGAAAGAAGTGAAAAGATAGCCGAAGACTTTCTTAATAGAAAGATTGATGTTGAGAGATTTTTAAGTACATATATTGAATGCCGAAAGTTGGGACAGGCGAGGAGAACAAAGGAAGAAAAGCTTGCGCATCAACTAAACGAGTTGAAACGGGCTGGTTACTAATTCTGTAAAATCAGGCTTCTATTAAAACTGAACAAATTGTACATAATTTTTAGTTAAATGATATTATGGGTTTAAAATTATCTCCGCGTTCGTCAGATGTGCGTTGGTGTCTTGATGATCCGCGATTAGAGAAAGAAAATTTTATAACTTTACATGGTATAAAGGTACGTCAAATTCCTTTTGCTGTGTTATATACTTGAGTTTCAAATTAATTTGATTGAAAAGCTGTTTCGGGAATACTTAATAAAAATTCAATTGATGGATTTAGCACATTAAATACATTCCAAGAGAGTCATGTATTTCACATTGTTCAGATTGCTTCAACAGTTTCCAGGTGTTAAGCGTTAACCATATACAGCGTTCCATGTACTTCTTAACAACGAATTTATGAATATGCTAAGATATCAAAATGATTTTTTGTAAAAAAAAATTTGGAGATAAAATAATGAGAAACTTCGAATAATCAAGACATTACTCTGAGTATGTAATCGTCATTCATTTAGAGAGTATAATACAGCATTACATAATTGTACGCTTTGGATGTTGTAGCAAAATGTGTATAAAATCAAATTAATTTGAAACATCGTTATGCGCTAGGAGCAGTAAATAATCGTTTAATGATTTATTTATTCTGCTATCGTGCTGTGAAATAATGTATTGCCATTTTTTCTGAGGCACATTTTTTTACTATGTAAATAATTATATAAAAAATGAAATAATTCAATTCGGTCTTTGAGTGTTCGCGGTCTGATGATATGGTTACACATATGTAATCTGTGAGTCTATCCTATGGATGTTCCTAATGTAAAATATTACCTAATATGAAGTTTAGTAATGAGATTGCAATCAGTAACATTTTTATTACTCGAAACCATCAGTATTTAATATTTAAGCTGATCAACATATTTCATGAAGTATTTATAACTGCTTATAAGCTCACTTTTCTGTGAGTTGTGTTCCTAGGAAACGCAGAAGAGTGGCTCAGTACACAACCGTTACTGATCCAATGATAAGTACGGTAGGTCAGTAAGGACCCTTGATTAGCCGCTCTTGTGTGTTTGTTGAATTCAAAATAAGGGAAATGATTAATAATATACCTTATTGCTACTTAAAGATTTTTTTAAACATCTAGGCTCATAGTGATATCTAAAGAATAATTTTGTATGCCACATATGTTATGCAGTTGTATTTCATTTCAGTCTTTCAAAATTGTTCCAAGTTTTGAAGTGAATTATCCATTAGTAAAATAAATTTTAAACGAGTAAGGCCCTTTTCTTTAAACAATGTATGCATATTATTTGTTCGACCGGTAATTTTAAATGTTACTGATTTACTAACTATATCTTTGTCTAATGCATGTAAGGAACAGATTCAATTGTAAGCCCCAGAGAGAAAATGAGTGAGTAAATAGATTGCGTTACGCGCTTCTCGTTGATGCTGCAATGTTGTATTTACTTTATACATTGAAAATCGATAATAACTGTATTATAATAGGATGTCTGGAAATATAAACAAATATTTATATTAAATTATCTCAATAATTATATACCTTCACCTAATACAATTTCAAAGTTTAGAAAAAAGCTACTCTCTTAACAAAAGCTGAACTAATGAAGAGGGTAAAACTATTTTTATTGATTTATATATTGCCCAGGAAAATCTAATTACTAGAAGGACAATATGCATATTACCCTTGTCAAATTAAATATAATCATCAATGTGTTACTTCTATAGAGATTTAATTGAGAACATATTATCAGTGAGTTCTTCTCCTTTCTCCTTTTTCACAAAGAATTTGGTTTTTTTAATATTTCAAAAACAAACCATGAAATTTGAAACTCTTGTTATCAAAATAACAATTTAAAACAATTATGTAAGAAAATGTCTCTTTCAAACACATTCGTTTTTAATAAATTATTTAAAAGAGCATTATAAAGTTATTCAAAAATATTGGGACATTTAGGTAATGAAGGAAAAGGTTGTTACACGTGACCTTCCTTAATACGGATTTAATGTGGCAACTTGATGAAGCACATGACTAAGCATATCAGTGCTAGAGAGACCTACATTTTTGTATGTATAGTTACTATTAGGGTAATCATCCATGCCCAATCAGTCTTATTATTTCATTATATGTATCTGCCTTATTGTCTGTGCCTGACTCGTCAACATTTGAAATTGATAAATAAATTTTCTACTGATGCTAATTGCGAATATACACTTAGGCACACAATATATATATTGCATCTTATGTCCCTTCGCATACCTGAAAGATCTACGATGGGAATAAAGAATTAGAGATATTCGTATGATAGATATATATGTATATCTTAAATATCGATATAATATAAACAACTATCTATGTACATGTCTTAATACAATTTAATAACGTGATTGAAATACCCATTGACAAATATTTATGAGACAAGAGCAACGATACAACTCTGTACTAATAAAAAATTCCATTTTTTTTCAAATTATGCCGCTCAGGTTAAAATTTAACAATGTCAGCGCACTCCTACTTCTATAAAATATCTCTTATCATTAGAAGCCTAATGTATGGATTTTAATTTAAAATCATTGAGCAGGCATCGCCATTAATAAGTCTACCTACTGTTCGCAATCCTTATGAACATAACGAAAAATATGAAGAAAAAAAACTAAAGTATAATTAACACAAATCTATGACTCAAAAAACAGTACGAAGAGTCAGCACAATTGAGTGGGACCTCTTTCGTTAAACAATTGAATGCTGGTTTTCATTGTTACATTATGAAAAGAACAAGCGCAAAATCCCGTAACAGAAAAGAATATCATATATTAACAGTAACGTCTAATTAGTATTTTGATTTTTCAAAATGCGTTTTTGCTATAGTAGTTAATCGTGAAATCTTGTATACACCAAATGATTTCTAGAATCATACATTTCTATTTTGTTTTGATGCACCACGTGACTTCTATTCTCAAGCTCAAGAAAGATACGTTCCGTAATAATCAATGCAAGTACTGAGAGTATAGTAGTATTCCTGTCATCCCATGAACGTGTTCGCAATACTGGCAATTAATTTCGGAACGTACCCAAAGAAAGATGTTTCTATGCAATAATCTGAGAGGCAATTGTTTATGCTCGCTTGAACGTATGAAAATATCGTGTGTTATCTAGACAATGACATCTCGTTCAGGAAAAATATACAAATTAATTTTGAATAGCGTCTGGAATATGTTTATCTATCTACTTGCGAATACGACATCACTTTTTACAAAACAAAAGTATCGGACATTATTATCTTGTTGAATATATCACTGATAAAGGAAAACCTGTTATTGTAATTTAGACGATTCGTTATTCTTTAACATCGTATTAACAAAGTTTGTAACAGTTGTGTGCGAGGAAAGTGAACCTCTTTTTTTTATCTCCGGACTGTCAGAAGGAAATCAGACACAGAAGTGGAGTTATTTGTTTAAATCTGTTACCTTTTTCGGTACTGTATAGAATTATAAAATTACATGCAAAATGACATTTTAACTTGTACAATAGTTAAGTACACAATGATCTCAAGAAGAGGGCAGAATGCCGAAAAAAACAGAGTTCAAAAGAAAGTGGCAAGGTCGGCAAAGAATACGAGGCCTTGAGGTACATCTGACCGCAAGCTTAATTACTGTAATACATTTATAAAATTAACTCGTATACTGTGAATTCTACCAAGGCTCTTCTTTTCTCTCTTCTTTGATGCGTTGAATTTCGTGTAGCTTAACCGAATAGATCCGTCTTCGATGTAATCTTCTTAATGGCAGGCAAGATGCGAATAGCAGTGTACTGACCGTAACCCAATGGTATCCTAAGATCGCAGCTATCTTTTCTCTTTTTGTCTTCTTCATCTTGCTGCTGGTTTAGAACCCATAGGGAACCGATTAGAGAAAGGAAGAACGTCGTGACCCCGACGATACCTAGGAGGCAGATAAGGACAGTTTGCACGACAGGCAATACCTGCAGGCACAGTCTCAAGAGCAGCAACAAATCGCTCGGTAGATTCGGGATATGCTGGAATATTAGAATATTAAATTATTCACTATAATCATAGTCTTTTTATGTTGAGAAATTTAAAAAAATAGTCTATATTTACCAAGTCAGTCCAAAAGAGAGGAACAGTCAGATCATTAAACGGCGTCACTCTTGAATTATAGACTGTGTGGTCCATTACGAGATTAGTCTGAAGTCTAGAATTCACGTATAACGGTATTCCCACTGTCTGGAATAGAGAACAAATATTTTTTGATTCAATATTTATAAAAAAGAATGTATATATGTTTTAATGAAAATAAACAAGTATGAGACTATATTTATTGACACAAGATCCGTATTTATTTGATGTGCGATGTATTTTTCATCTTGACACAATAATTTTCTTTGTTCGCTCGTTAAAATAAAATTTTACGTTTAAGTGTTTACCGGCTGAAGCAGAATTTTTGTACGATGTTTCTCTTCCTCAGGATGAAGACCTTCTACGCCCTCCAAGAGAGTCGGGTCAGCATCAAGGAAATGTGGTAAGGAGAGAGCGGCTGGAATATCTGCAATGCACAGTAACAACAATATTCATTGAATATGTATATTTTTTTATAAACCTTTAACGATCAAGTATTTCAATGATTTCCAGTCGAACAAGTAAGTAGCCCTCGAACTGCGAACCGGTATTGCTAGTCGCAGTTATTTTCATTAGTCAACACACTTTCATTAGACAATTTGTTCTTTTTACTTTTACATCTATTTTTAATACTCTAGGTACTATTCGTTCGATTAGAAAACTTTGAATCGATCATCGAATGACAAATCGCAAGGCTGGATGAAATTAAGTTAAATAGATAAACTTGGAAATTACTGAAGTCTCGATAACAATCTTTATCGCGTAGCGGTATACCGTTTTTATTTATTGCGACGTATATTCGTTTGAAGGTTTGTAATTATTTCTTCATCGCTCACTGTACTGTGGTATATCATCTGCCACGACTACCATTCCTTCTAGCTATAGTCGATGTACGAGCTCGTCTTGTTCTGACAGTTTGCAAAATAATGCAATTCTTAACAGATGACAGATGGGTTTCCACAAAAGTACGGGAAAAATATATATACTAAAATAATATAATATAAATCAGTGCAAAACCAGGCACATGCATACGTTGTGAAAAAATGCTATGCTAAGACACGTGTGGTTTGCTGGACTTGAATGTTTTTGATCAGTCAAAGAAACATATCAAACTCGTGGACCGACTATAGTAGCGTTACAACATTTTAGATTCTAGGGAAAAATTGCAAACTGGTGACTTGCATAATGAAGGCAGATTCATATACAGAGAACATTGCAAGAAAGTAGTATATATACCGAACTTAGAGATTGGAGTCAATCCGCGAATCCACAGAATAAATAGTTGCGATATTTTACCGAAAATCCTTGACTATTTTTCAGTTTTTCAAAAGAAGCACATCGCTTGACTTCACATAAACAGACTTCGCAAAGTGTCCTTTAATACGAAGGTTTTGCGCGTCCATTAAAGTCTAACCTATATTTTCTCAATGGTGTCCCTGTAGAAAAGAAGGCCACGGATCTACTATACGTGCTATTCTCATTAAACTGTAAAGTTCAGAGTGTGACATTTCCCACCAAGTTCCGAAACATCATCTGCTATGAATTTTTCATTACCACCCAGTCAGGTCGGTTTAACGTATAACATTTATATGGGTCGATCGGCTTGATCATAGTATCAAAAATGTTATAAATCTATACCTCTAAAAGTTTCGACCAACAAGCCTGTTTCATTGTCTCTCTGTGTACATGCAATATGTGAGTAATAAAATTATTTTTTCTCCATGAAATGTCTCCTAAGACGTCATTCAATATTAGCAGTATTATTGTTCTGAAAAATTCAGACTTATCTGAATATTCATAAAAACATGCTGATAATAATAAAGTTTAACAACCAATATTTAAATAGCCACAAGGATTACGTGGAATTTCTCACTCGTATTAACAACGATGTTAAACAGATTCTTTTTTTTTCTTAACCAGTAAGTGTTTGTTAGTTTAAACTGTGAATGCTATATGCATCATTATTGCACTTTGCAAGTCTCTTTTTTCGATGCTATTTCTCGCGTACAGTAGAACACAAATAACATGAGATAAATGTAAAGGATAGATGATATTACAATTAACAATTACGAAAGAAATTATATTCTTACTGTAATAACAAGGTGTCACGTCGGTCAGTCCTTTCTTAAGGCACTTTTCCATTTTACGACAATAACATTCATTGTCCGGATTTTTGTCCGGCGTCTCGAGAAAATCATCGCTGAGACTGTAGAGATAAGCCGGAAATCCATTTTCAACAACTTCCTTCTTGAAGACTATTGGCATAGTACGACAGAAAGCTTTTCGGTATACGCGAAAAACAGCGTTCCGATCCAAATTGTCAGGGAATATACAGCCTTCGGTAGCCCCTTGAACACGATTGCACATAGTATTGCTGAAAAATGTAAATTTTTAAAGGTAAAGCTAAATCTAAGGAAGAAAGAATAATAGGGGATATATAATACAAGAGTAATGAAAAATGTATATTTACGCAGGATTAGTCTCGTTTCCTTCAACATCGACGTAGCCCCAATAAGCCAAACCAGGACTTCCGTTAAAAGACTCAATGCTTAAGTATCGCCCAGCTTCATCGGTCATATTTTCATTTTTCTTAATGTTCATCACTACCGTGTTGTCTCCTTCGTCGTACATCTGTACAGAGATTGAAAATATAGTTTAAGCAACCTGCATTAGAGGAAAAATTCCAACTCTTATTTCTCAACCGAATGAGCTACGAAGTTTTGCAGTCGATATGCATTAGAATCAATTAATCTCATTTCTCGCATATTCTAAACGTCAAGTCGATTGCGTATTACGCGTTCTCATTAATTAAAGCGCTTTAGCCATAATGTCAATAAATGGCTCATAAAATCACAGTGAAAGGATTTATTGAGAAGTTATTCCTATATACATGCTAGTGTCCTGCTGCCAGTTTGGCTAGGTTATGTGGTAATATCCAGTTATCGTAAGTCAGTGCATATTGACTATTTTTTCAATGTTTATATACAGCTTCAAGTATTTAGCAACAGATTATTTTAACTTCCAGCTTCTTCAAAGATTCGATGAATCTTGACTACATACGTATTTACATTTACCATCTTCATAGTATCTTTTTATAACCACATCATCTCTATCGGTAGCAGCATAGTTACACAGCAATACGAAAAACATGAATAATATTACAAACAGATATTTGCAATAAGAATTTACATTAATCTTAGTTACGGTAGGGGTTATACCAGGAATCTCGCTAATTTACACTCTTGAGTAATGACTCTTTCTCGCGATGAATATAATGAATCTCTAAAAATGTCTTACGCACGACAGACTTAATAATTTCCATCAGAAAAATAATGACATCGCTACGCAACTCGTCAACTCTCCTTGTCTACGTTCAACCGGTAAAGTGTGCGCAAGGATTAAATAGTTGTTTACCGTTTATAGTGGGAGAATTCGAATATTTGTGATTCGAATATCATTTTCGTATTCAAAGAGAAATATAATTAAACTGAAAATTTCATTGATTACTCAATACATTACTCACCCTGTCCAGTAAACCGAATTTTTGAAAATTGATGAATTTGGGTACGATACCACTGGCTAGCTGAACCAGAGGATCCTCATAACCCCACAAATACTCGTAAACGGAGATGTTCAATATAGGCTTGCTGTCCAAATAGTTCGTCAGACGCGCAAGAGGAAAATTAACAAAGAATCCTGCATTACGTAGGGCTGACGTAATGCCCTGTGACATAAAACATAAAAAATCTATTGAATATTCCTGATATAAGATTATACGCACGTTGCTTTAACAAGCTAAAAGAAAGTATATATTATAAATTCGACACGTTAATTTTTTTAGCGCGGAATATGCATGCGCTTTATGCTTACAAATCTCAAGATGAAATACGCTTCTGACGTTGTATAGAAATACGGCAAACGGAACTACTACGTAAAAATACCAACAAACATTTCCATAGCCTATCCGGCAGTATTCTTAAAGGTCAGTTTTCATTGCTTATCGGTGTTTTTTTCAAGTAGGAATATAGTACCTCTCACCTTGTTATTTATATATAATATATATATTGCATATTGCATCCACGTGTAATAAAATCAATGTCAAAGATGAATTTGAGGAAACATATGATGAACAAAATGGGATGATAATCAGGTAGGCGAATAGTCGCTAGCACGGTCGTTAGTTAAAAAGAAGTTAGTTCCCGCTGGCGTGGGACGTTGAATGATCGTTAAGGAAACAACTGATATCGTAAGGAAATTTGCGTCACTGATGTCAATAGTTTAATATTTAATACGTTTAGGCATGTATAATGAACGTTCAGTGATTAATATTCATCCTATAATGGGATACTCCAGTAGGAGAAGATATTTCCTCGTTCTGCAGGAGAATTGACATTATTAATACTGGATGTCCATATTTTTTCTTTAAACGAATCAATACATTTTTTTATTCCATTTGTGATATTTGGCTGTGATTGAAACTCTTGATAACTTTTAGTCGTGTTTATATTACGTCTTGGACGATGAATCAACTTAGGATTAATGTTCGGATTGAAATGACTAAAAGTTTAATAAGAATTGAATTCTTGAAACTCGACGGCATTGGGATAAAATTAGATTTTCTGCGTTTACGATCAAAATCAATGTTATGAATGAAAAAAGAAAATTTTTAATTAGAAAGTATAATGAATTATAAGGAAAGACGTATCCTCGCTGTTTTGTCAGTCCGTTATTATTGCGATTAATGGCTAAGAGTCATTTACATTGATAAATCATTCTTTTAACGGAGTTTGCTAATTCGGTGCATTATACAGAGGTGTAATAAGACAATCAGAACTTAAAAAAAAATTTACGTCAAATTAGTCATTCCGCATGAACTGAGTTTTTCAATCATCTTCCCGGTCTTACTTCCCTGTCGTTAAGATAAGAAATTCATAATATTAGAGATGTCATGTAGTTAGCCAATTACAATTAAGGAATAAATAAAATAAAGCAAAATGGACTTTCAACTTTACTATACGATATTGTCAACCTTCTTCTGCCGCTATTAATGTTATTTTTTATATGACTAAATAACATCCGTCTAGTAAGCGAATAATTTTTATGCTCTTTTATTAATTCACGCTATTGAGGTACGTCGCAAAAACTGTACCCGATTAACATTTTACAAGATTGTCTGATACACTTGCGTGGCAATTTTTAAATTAGAATGCACGTTTATCCAATCGAAGGTTAAATGTCAAGAAATTTGTATAAAATTGAAAAATCCATTATACGAGCAATTACTTGTAAATATTAAAATAGTTTTTACGTACCAGCATTGGTATATTAGGTACCATCACCAGATCCTGTTCAGGGTCTCCCACGGACATTTCTGGTACATACACCACCGTCCTCCTTGGCGTATATGACATCGTGCCATTGTCATTCCACGTGACATTTTCGTTTTTCAAAATTTCCCTATAACGTTAAAATAAGACATATATATATATGTTTTTTTCCAACTGTGCTATTGTATAAATAATACAAGGGCTAAAAGCAATGAATACTTACTTGTAAACGTAAGGACCTATTTCTTGGACTTTAAGTTTCTCTTCTCCATTTAGAAACTCAGTAGGATTGGTGATGTTAAATATGTAAACTTTAATGTAAATGTCAATAGGTGGTGTCTGCCATATCGTAAATACCGTTGATCCTGGAGCCATTTGAAGTTTCTAAAATTACATTTTCAGTATTCTTTATACGCTAAGTTATTCTTCCATTTTTATCATATATTGAATAGAATGACGTATATTCCGAATTGGTCATGACATTTGTGAAACATATTCCAATAAACTGCATATTGATTATCACAGGACCTGCGTACCCTTACTTTAGAATGAAATAATGTACTCACGTATTCCAGAAGCGCCTTGATAGGATTGATTACGTACAATGCGTATGCCAAAGCGCTGCATATGATGCCCACCATGAATAGGATAAGACATTCTAGAATAAAAAAATTTCCAATATAAGCAACCAAGTGTTTTATTGTGTGAAGAATTATCGTAAATTTAAATAACTGCCCGATAAATTCTATCCAACAAATAAATGTCTGTGAGACAGAGTCAATGAGCAGTGCTTTATGTATTGAATCTACGCATTATATATCGTATATTATGTAAAACGTGCGAATGGCGTTACATATTAAAATCTCGTCAACGCAAGAAGCCGTGTTTGCATTTAATAACTGTGAAGCATGAATACGATAGTCCTCTTATGGCACGATACCTTCAAACGTGTAAGGTCACACAGGACGTATAGTATCAAAGTCTACCTAGATTGTAACCGATTTGTGAAACACATTTGTAAGTTTTCCTGTTGATTTATAATACCACCTATCTCATTAAGTATCTCACGCAAAAAGAAGTGTTAACGCTGACAAGCGAACGAGGACTTTACAGCGATCGTAGATTTGTATTTAGCACAAGTTGCAAGGCATCGTAAATCGTCTAGAATACCGTTTGGAGGCTTTTTGAGGAAAGCAAGAAGAATATAAAAATTAATGGCAACGGTTGCCACGTGATAAATTTATTTAACGAATACTCAGAGATGGACAGTAAGTATACAATATTTTTTAAGTCCTGAGAAAGATATGGACTATAAAATAAATACATTTTTTATAATAGCATTTTTAGTAAAAAATGTTAAACTGATCGTTCAATGTGTGAAATTTTGTTATTTTTTCGGAAACTATAAAAATCTTGTTCAATCTCCCCATAAAAGATATTCACGTCCTTCCCTGATAATTTATAGTTCTGATAAATAATTAATAAAAGTTACATCGTAAAATAGTCGAAGGTTAAGAACAACATTGGAAACCGACTGGATGTCCAAGAAAAAAGTTGGAAAAAATGAAAAAAAAACTATAATGATGTCAGTGACAAAAATAAAAAATTCATCCATAAAACGAAAGGAATCTCTGTAACAGACGTGAAATTGTTATTTTGTCACATTTATTTGCGTTGGGAAAAAACATACGTGTCAGCCATAAAACGGAAAGTTCAATCCATCAATCGATAACTAAAAAAGGTTGCTTAAGGATCTAATGTATCATATAATTGCCACCCTGTCAATATGCCACAATTTAAATACGATTCCGAATATTCAAAAAGTTTTATTGCGCTTTATTAAACTTTACTCGTGCAACGGTGTATGAAAAAAATCAAGACTCAGAGCCATTAACCTCTTATAATGTGATCTATCGGGACGTGCGAAAAAGTATCATAACAATTTTTATTCTTTTCCTTTGTGAAATTCGTTGCTCCCTCGGGCGACATGAACCAACGAAACGGTCTGAGGTCCCAGTTTATGTTTACCTTGACTCACATATCGTTTCATCCGCTATCCAAATTCAATTAGGCCTTTACTTATCAATGTTTAGAGTTTTTATTTTGTTATTCGACACCCCTCAGGTACCTGTCAGCCACGTACATAACCTCATCAAAGAAATTAATGTGCCCCAGGGTGATTGGATTGTCACAAAATATTAGAGACTTGTGAATGGTGACTAACATGACTTGTGATTTTTGTGCATGATTAAGGATGAAAATAAGAAATACACGACCAAACGCGTTATTTCGACCAATGCTCAATTTCGATCAGGTGGAATAAGGGAATTGTCCAAACAGAAACTAATTGGTCGTAATCAAGATTTGAAGAGATAATTAACAGGTCTTGTTCATGCATTAAGACCGCTATAGGTATCTGAGTCAACAATCATTGTTCAGAGTCTACTATCTATTTCGTACAAAAAGGATGATTCAGTAATGCATGTAAATACAATAAAGAATAATTGAAACATGGATAATATTCAGTGGTAATGATTATAACTTCCTCATCCATACGTTGTGTACATAACAAAGCAGACGATACGCTTTATACGGATACGACAAATGTACAATTATCAATCTAGGATATAAAACTCATCTACATGAGAGGTCAAGTCCATAATTCATCAAAAACCTTGATGACGATATAAAACATAGTGGACCGTTGGAAAAAAATCAATTTGCGTACATGAGAAACAAGATGACGCTTATTGTTGATGAGGAACGTTAAGTAAAGATATTGTTTAGGTGTTCAAAATTCACACGAAAACAGAATGTCAATATATTAAGCGTTTCATCCCTGAACTTAAGAGTCATTACTCATTAGCATAATAAAAATGTACAATTATGACGAGCTTTGATTCTGGGTATTTTTATACGCTAGTGTCTTCTGCCTCGCACGTTCATAATTCTTCTGCATTTTTTTTGTACAGAGGTAATGACGTCAGGACTTACGTTCATTATTATGCAAGACGCACGTTAAAATAAAGACGTCATCGTATGATAAAAGATATTGACAGTGAGCACTTTATTTTTCTTATTATTTGAAATAGCAGTGTAGCTACGTGTATTTTTATGCGCGCAATTAATATCGTTGCGCGTTTAGTCGAACAGGCCTTATTAATGTATGTACAGGTAAGTGGTTCAGATCATGATATTTTATAAGCTGTGTCACATATGAAAATGCAATGTAAATACATTGATGACAAGGATTGTGAAATATGTGAAAGAAATCGTTGGAAATATCTAATAGATTTTTCCAGTTGGACAACAGGGAGGAGTGACACTGCCATCTCCTAATTCTCCTCTTGATGTCATTATCGTCTATACGTTAATTGTAATTACCATATTGATAACAGATGTACAAGTACATACAATTATTTATTACGTGGTCCAGGAAGTCTGACGCGATAGAAATTAGTCACGGTAGCTCCGACTAAGATGGCGAACGTCTTCGAAACACCGTGCTCAATATCATCGATCCGGTATACGTTAATTTTCTTGGCTTTAATTATCAAGCAATTAAAGAACGTCTATAATTATTTAAGTAAAAAAGTTTCTTCGACTAACAAGAATATGTGTATAAGAAACGCACGATATTAAAACGTTTTTATCATTACAGATTAATGCTGAACATATATAGGTAAGTAGTAAAATAACACCAGTGGATAATTAAAACTTTAGAATAATCGTAGAAGCCATTTCGAATTTCAGAAAATAAAGTTTATTATTTAGCTTGTCAGACGATTGAAAACTTTTCTTCTATTTTTTTTTAATGCATATCTATTCGCCCGATGTACGAGAGATTTCTAGTTTGCATTGGTATATGTATGCTTTTATAACACACGGTTGTAATTATTATCATTAAGAATAGAAGCTGCATGTGAATGTCGAACGAAAGTTCATGGTCCCGACGAGATTTGGTTTTCGTGATTTTAAACTTTAGTATACGTTTTTCACGCATTCACATCATACCAAAAGCGATTCTAAAAGATGGCGCATCTGGTTTACAGATGAACACGTCGTGATTGAACGGACATGACTCACGTCGTTACCGACGTATTTTCCTCGTAAAGATTTGAATATTAGCACGTGTAAAGGACAGGAAAGAAATACCGAAATTTCTGAAAATATCTTAAAGATATTCGTCGAGTGGGAATCCTTGACACTCGGTACCATTGTTTGAATAGCCTCATTCTTAGAAGATGAGCCTGAGTGTATTGTGGATGAGAGAGACATTTAGTCCATAAAATACATTAACAATCAAGATTTACAATTGACAAATATTTTACCAGAGTGTATGACAAAGACTTAACTAAGTATTCGTTAAAGAGGGCACACTGATTCTGTCAATCGGATATACGTCATAATACGCATGTTAGTTAGTGACATCTTCTAATGATGTTTTTGACAGGGATGAAAATCGCACTATGATCTTCATTGCAATTTACTTGATAAATACCAATAAAAAAATTAACATATAAACTCGATACCAGAGAAGGGACAAAAACTGTAAAAATATTCACTTGACATTCAATCATTTAAAAACAGTAGCTAATAGAGAAAACCGGTAACAGTCTATTAATAATTACGAGAACGACGGGTGATGGTTATATGATAACTAAAAGAAAAATATGATATAGTTGAAACGTCTAGCGTGACTTATCGTGATTTAGCAATCCTGAGGAAATCGCTCACGTTATAATTTGTTGTATTGCAAAATGAGTCCTTCTTTGACGTTTCCACGTAATTATTTAATGGGATTCAATATGTGAACGGTCGCGTCAATTTTCTCAGAGTCCGAGAAGCCAGACCCCTTTAATTTAACTGCTAAATCATAACGCACCTGTCATTACGTACTCAACTCTTATGCTTTAACAATTTTGCAATAAAAAATATCAAAATGTCTTTCATCCCAAACTTAAACCGATTCCGGTACAGGTGACCTTCTCTCTTCGTGGTCACGCCTGCACTTTGTCGTATCGCTCGTACAAGGACAAGGAGCAAAATGATTCTTTCACCTGTTTACCTTAGACTTCATTAAAAAATCTAGATCCCGCCGAATAATTAAGACCTGATATATGCTTGTTGGGATAATTTTATGTTTTATAAATAATACAGTAAACATCCGGTGGTACAATTACCAGTATTCCTTATACAAACATGACCCTGGACTTTCTCCATAAACGTTGTACGTGTACGCGTAAGAGACATTGAACTTTCACGCGTTATGATATCAAAAGGATATCCCACATTCTAGAATATAGTCTTATGTATTTATACACTTCATCAATATAGTATAGACAAGTCTGATGTAATAATTTTAAATCATAGTTTCAATGTCAGGTTCTTCATCTATGGTGTCAAACTTATCACACAGCTCTATAGCTTGTATACATATAATGTCGACTCTCGTCGACCTGAAATGTTCAAAGATATTAATGCCCATCATTATTACAATTTATGCATCGTACATAACGATGCATAATCGATTATCATTGACTAAATTGTGTAGCGTTTAATGTAATTGCTGCTACGCGAGTATAAAAACTTTTTCTTCAGGCAGAATCTAAATTGTTATGCATGTAAAGCCAAAGAGCTTGTAATTAGTGTATTTCAAAATCTTCAAACATATTGATTTGCCAATTGTCCATTGAATTTCTGCATGTATTCTTGAGACGTTAAAAACTTGTGGAGATTAACGTGGCTTGATACTAGATAAGATTTATCTTCGAATGCTACGTTTATCACGTTTTTTCCAACGTGCAAGTGTTATGATAGTTTCTTCGTTTATATCATATTCTTTCGTCTGCATTACAACTTGACCTTTCACCCTGACTTTTCTTGAACTAAACTAAACTTAGTTTGCTTCACTAGCAATCTGAGCCACGTTCTGTTAATAATAATAGTAAAATACGTCTAATTAACATATTGGTTGCACATACGCGTTTAATAACCGAATGAACATAACGTAACAAGCATGTTGAAAAAACTTACTTTTGAATTGCTGCAGTTGAACCGCGGCTTTCATGACTCTGATTTCTTAAACCTTTCCTTAAGGCTACTCCTTTCTTTCGTTGACCTCCAATTAACTTTACGACACTGAAACATACATGAATCCAATTACGCCCAAATGAAAGACATGAAATAATTAGAGTAGATTATACAGAATCACAGATTAAATACGGATAATCTCGTATGTACGCGAAATTTACATATATCTTTTTAATAATAATTTCTTCTAGCGAATATTATTTTCAGAAGCTATCGTATGATTTTACTAATATTGACAAGAATATTAGTATCATTTATGGGAATTGGCTTGGGAATTTCTATATGAATCATCGATTTAAATGAATTTATAAAGGTTTGTTTAAGGACTCTGTTTGAATACGAATATATAGATGCTAATAAGCATAGTATACTGTCCGTGAATCTGAGTTAAACATATTTATACAAACGTTCTAGGAAATGCACAGTCAAATTTTATGTACAGATTTATTATGGAAGTTATTGTATTAGGAAATTAATTACAAGAAGACCTTTAAGAGCTTTCATCCATTCGACTAAGAAAATTCAAAAAGTTTCAGTGAAGAATTCATAATAAGGAGTTTTCTTATAGTTATCATGTCGTTACCGTGTTTGGTTGAATTATTAAGTTAGAACGCACGATTGGTTGTAAAGCTATGCAATTACATTTCCCTTTATAGATGCCAGTAATCGCAATACGTGCGGTAATGTTTTCTACGTGAGAAAAACTTTTCTATTGAATTTACAGAAATAAACAAAATTTAACTTTACAGTGCTACTTATGTGAAGCCAATGACTTTTAGAGCAATAATGTAAAATTGATGTATTTTTGTCATGTTGAAATTACAGTGCCTAATAGTATATTATACAAATAGAAGTAAGACTTAATGGGGTATACATTAAAAGTATCTATTAAAATCATAGATGTCAATGGTTTATCCTTAAGTATGGATTTTTCCTCACTTATGAAAAAAAATTAATTCGGTCCATAAGTATACGTGACATTTCCGAATAAATACGTATGCAATTAATTTATGACTTACTTAAATTAATTACATTTCGCTAAAGTATAATCAATTAGTTTCTACAATTTTCAAATGTCTCATGATCTTAATTTCTGCATAGGTGAGCAATGAGTCTTTTACATAATTTTCAACCTTACAGCTGTCAAGTCAAATTTTACACTTTTGACCAAAAATGTTGTTGATCAAATTTACGTTGCAAATTTTTGTCAGCCTTTTAGATCACAACTCAATTTGAGGTTAGGAATTAAAAAATCGAAGTAGCATAATATAATAGGTATACGTAAGACCAAAACGTAGAAGAATTCGCTCAAAAATAGTAAGTCATAATTAGAATTTTTCTATAAATCCTACATCATTTTTTTTCCATGTAAGTATTCTCGAGTCAACGACCAACAATGTTGTAATATGTCATAACAAAGACAGAGAGTTTCATTAATTTATCTTGCGAGAAGTTTACTTATTTTTTTAATCCGGACGCTAACTCGCATGTGTATAATATGTGTATGAACGTGCGATAGGAGCCAAGTTCTGCCATTTATATTGTCTTAAGTGCATAAATCGTTCTCTACTTTATTAATAAGGTTTTCTGATAATTGCAACTGCGTAATTATCGACAACCTCCATTCAAACGATAGTGAAGCAATGACTGAGTGAGGGAACATACTAGAAGGTTGAAGTTACAATTTTATCAGTGAGGGCAAGAAGTAGAAAAATTCTTAGATTTCCCAGCCAATGTATAAATTATCCACATTGCTCTTTGTGTATGTTGTGCAATTATTGATATTAAAAATTTAATGTAACATTTTTCTTTGATCCCATGTTAATAATATCGTTAAGTCGCAATGCAAGTTGTTTTATAAGCTTTGCATGTAAAAGAATATCGTTTGATTATCGCGACTTTCATGCTTCACCAAACGAAGTAATTAAATTCCTAATAGCGGAACTTTTGAATACTTTGCATTATATGGATTTTGAGATGACTTGCAAAATGTCCATGCAACAATATACGTATAATGTAACCTATGATTCTGTACTAACTTGTCAAGAATGCAACAGGATAACGAACGGTATAAAACTCATTTTCACCGTTTAAATATTGTTACATTGAATTATTTCAATTCACAAAAAATGTAAACAAATTCCTTAGATACTGACAGTTATTGCGAGGCTTAAACGCGTCGCAGGACAGATGTATATAGCTATACATTATTTTTTATTATCCATCACTGGTACGGTGATATAAAGAATTTATAGGACATGGCTAGTCAACCGCACAAGTCTTGTCCTTGACTTATGTTGCTCATCTTAACACAAATGATTAACTATAAACTGATTACGATAATTTCCTTGGACAAATAATATTGAGATTGTGAAACAACAACATTGACCATCGAATCATCGGCATTGACCTATCAATCCTGTTAAAAGAGATCCTTGCCGATAGCGTTCGAAGAGAACAGATCTCCGAATGTCTATAAATCTTTTAAATTTCTTCACTGACACGACGGAATGCTCGAACCGGAGAACTCGCAGACAATTATGAAATCTTCAGAAGACATCAGGAGCGCCACTCACCTGTTGCTCTGCGATTGTCGTAGCACTCGGCAAAGGTAGTCGGTATAGAGAAGCTATATGCTTTACTGACTCCTTCACCAGTGGTTTTAAAATCACTTGCACACTGTAATCCTTGGCCAATAATCCAACGAAAGTAACGAACGGCAAAGGATGATGAGTTTCCTCAGTGGGTGTAGATTCTACGGCGTGCCTTGACTACGAAAGTATGTGGATAAAGTATGCAATGATGTATCAATGCAAAAGAAGGTTGCTCTCTATGATGAATTCATGCGAATGGCACGTGTGGTGCACACCCTGCGTCTCTAATATTAAATGGATACTTGCAGCCGAGAGTGGTACAGCACTCAGCTTTATACTATCGTCCAGCTAACCTTGCGACCCTTCCTACCACTTTCCGAGCGGTTCGCATTCAGCCATCGATTTTTGCATTGCTGGTTGGTCGGCGGGCGGACTGTAGTTTTGAAAAATCTCTGCCTGACTGTACGATCTTCGCCGACTGGTCGAAATCCATTGGCACCTCCCGGCCATGGTGGTGGAGGATTCTGAGAGTCCTCTCCTTGTCCGATAAGTGGCAATGGTGGTGGTGATACCAATAGTGGGATTCTTGAACACACCCGGTTTAGACTTCTTTCCCGCAATCCTTGCTTCACGTTGTGACCGTCCTCCAGTCTCGTGTTCACCTTCTCTCGTGATTGTATTTTTCGTCAACTTCATCTTTGTACTCTGTGCAATGTTTTACTATAAGTTTCCTACTGATTATGAAATTCGCCTCGTTCATGATTTCCTACAAAAAACAAGACATTTGGTACTGCATTCCTGAATCAGTTTTTATTAATAACCTTACCTCAACCGGAAAAGTAGTATGTAGCAGAGGTCCTATTGGTCAATTGTCCTAGGTAGAGATTTTTTATACTCCAGAGTGGTCTGTCATTAATTCCGAATACCATGGCAATAATTATTGGAGTGTGTAATCTCAAAAATAAATAATGGCTGCCTGAAACAAAGAGGAATCAATATAAAAATAAGAACAATGTTTATCGTAGATTTATAATGTGGTGTTTTTACTTGGAATTCGATGGTTTATGTATAAATGATTCATTTTTTGACACAAATTCGTATATGGAATTCTGCACGAATTAGAGGTGCCGTAAGAAGCTGTAAGAAGTCGATGCGTTAATGATGCATTTACATGAATTGCTATGGCGATCTAATACATTAATCATGATACCATACTGTGATATCACCTTGATATTATCCTCGATATAATTCGTATTTATCTATTTTAATTCTGGCAGACCTTTTCATAGTTCCTTAATGTCCACGTGTGTGATCTACACGCTGCCGTTACTTAAACGTCTTCACTGTATTTCATGATACTCTCAGATATCGTTGGGGTCGAAAGTTCAAACGACGTTTATAAGAATACGTATTGCAGGAATGCTGTTAACATCGACAAATTTAATACAAAAAATTGCTGAAAGCTACACAGAGCATATAACGAAAAATAATGGTGTCCCTAAAATGTTCATGCTTTTTCAAGAAAGTTCAATAAAAATTGAAATCTCATTGCCAGAAAAATATCAATGAAGAAAATGCACAGCATCTTCAAAAAACTGCTAACTGTTAAACTAATTCATAAATTAACGTATCGAGTCTCGATATTATTACGAAGTACTATAAAGTGAAAACACATAGCTGGATAAACAGTTGGAAAACATTTCCGATAATTAAGTTAAGTTTCCAGTACTTTTATTGAATGTCTATTGTTTACAAACGAAATAAGAAATAAGTTACGCAAGTGTTAATATTTGATCAAGCATCTTCTCCCCGAAAAGACTGGATACTATAAAGCATCGAACGATCATCGTCAAGAGCCAGATACAAGAGAAATGTAAATTTCCAAGAAACCTGTGATTTTTGCCATATCACATATCGTGACGCCAATAGGTAAAGTGGACTGAACGTCAACAGACGTTGCATCGTGCTGTGACGTGATGACTGCACTGGTTCGATAAAATCGACTAAAAAGAATTCTCTCTGGTAATGAGTGAGTTTTTCAAACTCGCTAAACTAGTCTGTGGAACGCAGACTGATTCGCGCGTATACGCGTTTACCAGTGCACTTAAAGGTGCGTACCAGTCCTTCGTGGCAATAAACCCATCTTCAAGGGTGAGTATGCCCAAGGGCATTGGCGTATCTGAAATTTTTATCAAACGCGGCAAACCGGACTCTTTCGTCTTTTCCATGTCTTTTTTTGAACTGCTTGGTACGGATAATATAGTGGACATTTATTATCGTGAAATCTGGTGCTTCCTTCGTAAAATTCAAATTCATGTCTGCATACCTTTTTTTTTAAACACTTTCAGACTCCGCAGCGCAATTGCGGTACACGAAAATAACTAAATGACACTGTTAAATTAATCGCAACTTTATCTTGATGCAAATTCTCTGTCTAATTTATTCGTCAGAATAATTACCTAAACGACGGATAATACAAATATGGATACGTACGTATATATCATCCATATTTATTACACTCTATCCTAAGAGATAGTGAGTTTCTTTTTGATAATTACCATCTTATGATCTTTAGAAATGTCTCTCAAATAAACAGTGATTCGTAAAGTATGTTTTGCCATGTCGTGATACCGAGGCGTTACTTAGGTAAAAAAAACAGGGGCACAAGGTCTTCTCAAAAAATGTTCACCGATCAATAACAATTGTCGTCCTTATTATATTCCTTTCAACAAACCTATTTTTAATCACACATTTCACTGCATTATGTATACTAACAATTAAATGAACAACTGGTATATTATAGTCGTTACATATATCAATGATAAGGATATTTATAGAAATCCAACAATAGTATAATTGTAACAAGAATAAAGCAAAAGATAGAGGGAAAAAACTCGCCGTGAAAAGAATTACAATTTATGAATCAATTATGGCGTACCTTAATGTCATTTATGAGGAATGTGTTTCTTTAATTAATCATAAGTATTATTTCGCTGAAAAGAAACTTATTTTTCAGTACATAAGTACTAACGAATCGAATAGTACAAAAACTATCTTGACATTAGAAAACGAGATAACTATAACGACAAGATTATATGCTCTTCAGTACCTCATAGAATCCAAAGTAAATAATATGAGCGGATGATCCGAGAAAAATGAGTAGAATACTTTGGGATATTTTGAGAATACGGTCAAAAGACTCAGGACACGTGCGTTATTCTTGACGGTTTCAGACATATTCGCACGTCACAACTGACGCTTGAAGCTAACGTGGTTGGAATATGTCAAAAGTGGCCATCTTGAATTTCCAATTACAAAAGTCGTAAATTACAAGGCATTATACAGTGTACATTATCTTTATCGAACTCGAGTGCACTCAGATTTGTCTAAGTTTCACAATTACCGAAATGACATTCTCTAAAAGAATAATTGCGAAATAGAGGAATGAGATGCATACCAAATTTTAGTAAGAACATCTTGCACGTGAAAAAATTGCATGTGACTCACAGCCTCGTTTGTCATTATTCCATATTAAAATATCATCCAAGTAACAGTGCAACATGTACAAATTTGCGTGCACTGCGTTTGCATGCGATTTTATTATTACATTCATAGAAATTACGATCTTCTATTTTGAGGTTAGAAAGTATTTGTCAGTTTAATTAACAACGAAAAGCATCGCATATGAAACTTAGGAGACGATGACATTTTTAAATATAAACTGCGGCGGTTTTCCATATTTCGATATAATGTCCTTCGAAGCAGGTTTGACGTAAACACTAAACACGGTAACTAATTGTATACAAGTTCTTGCTTCATCGTGGCCCTTTTACACTACAAGGATTACAGGTTCCCTAACGTTACTGGCCGGACCCTTTTTCACCTATGTATGCATATCTCCCACATTCACTGTGAGAAAGAATATGTTCCGTAACACGTCTAAATATGTTGTACATGAAACTATGTAATATAAAATACGAATCCCCGTCTTTGGACATCAAGGGCATGTTTGAACCTTGGAATTTACTAAATGATATAAACATTTTAAAAGATACAATCGAACATACTTAACAGACTCTGTACTTTTATTTTACTCACTGCGTACATGATCAGTTTACTGGTTTTTTCATAAGTCTGAAGTGAGTTAACTGTGCTCACGAATTAACGAGGCCCATACAAATATAAAAGAAAGAATAATTTTTTGTTAATACTTTTAAACTTCACCTAAATCATTTCTAATTTATTGCAACTTTGGTATTTTATAGTCACCATATTTTTTATATTATTCAACCTTTCAGAATAATCAAGTCGTGTCCCTTACGTCGGATATTTAAAAGAGCCTATTGGAAAGTATCGGTACAGGATTCACAGATCTTCATAAAATACAGAGTATATAAGGATATCGTATACGTACAACCTCAATTCGTAGGCCACCATTCGGCACATTGCAAATGAATAACGGTAAACATTTGGCGGCTTGTACAAACTGCAAAAATAATTCTCGTGTCAAAGTTGGCACTGGTCCAAGTCGGAAGAAATTACACGGGATTCTTAGAAAAAATTAAAATCACGACAAAGGTATCGCGATGGAATTATAAGCAAACGTGACCCTGGAGATTTAATGTATAAGTTGTTCTTCAATACTTTTTGGTACTGATTATAAAAGATTATTTTAAATCTAAGAATTTGCAGGAAGAAATTGTAAAAACTATTCGACTAGTCTTTTGATCAAATTCATAAGCCATATGAAATTTTAAAACAATTTACATGACATTAATGAATCTAATGATTAATAATATCAATCTCTGTACGTAGAGACAGACATCGATCATGTACTGCGTAGATTTCTCATAGGATTTCAAAATGACGTACGAAAAAAACTCCGGATATGATGTACGGTTTCGTCTCCAGCAAAAATATTCTTTTTTACAGTAATGCAAGTGTACACAAACTATAAATTACTATTAATAAAAGTACAACCGAAAAGGGTGATATTAATTTTCGTATGACATTCAGCAATAACCATCATATAAGTACAAATATAAAAATAGAAAGTATATTGTAATTTACGTAATGATTAAAAAATTCTATCACCAGATATTTCATGCTATTACTGTATGATCTTTTTTGCAGAATCCATAGCATACAGTTCACAGAAAATCCTTGAAGTTAAACCAAAAAGCTAGACTAGATATTATGCTTGCTCAGTAAAAAAGCAATCAGCAAGTAACAATTACGTATCTATGTTTAGTATCCGATTAACAAATAGCAACAAATTTATTTTCTGCAAATATTCATCTTATTATTAAGCACCTAACGCATTTCACTGGTTATCATTCGTTTATCGGGATATACTTGTGTGTCAGTCTCACTATGAAATTTAATTATCAGTAGAAAGATGCAAAACTGTTTATTTGCGTATATACGAGCAATTTGCGGCTCCTGAAATTACGTAGATTTCCCTTCTGAATATGTATACCAGTCACTATAATATCTTATAATTGCATCAAAAAAGAAATTCCACTAATAGCGATTTCGATTGAATGAATTTATTGAACCGAGTTCAAAATGTAATACCGCGCGTATTAGATTGGCAGGCTGGTTAGGCTCATATGAAGTTTCATACGTTTGATTAAAATTGTCGGTGTGCATTAAATTGGCTTAGATTATGATTGAATTTACCTACTGAGTACGCCCATGACACTCGCGCGGTGCAGGATTCGTGCCCAACAGATCTACACTTCATATCCGGTGCAAGAAATTTCGACCAAATGAAAACGCTATATACATATAAAAATTATCAAATAATGATTTTAATCATTATTTCGATACCTTGACCCTAAAACCATCGCAGAGAAATCTATAATTATGAACGGGAAAGACTAGACTATCTTTCTCGGTAAGTATGGAATCCATCGAATATGTTTTATTCAAAAAGCACGGCAAACTTCTGTATCATGATTGTATGTACCTTCAACAGCAAAAGTATTTGGATGTGACATTTTAATTTGTTATTCAAATAACGACCTTAAAATCACAGAGAAATTTGTGAAATGCTAATGACGCGAAACAACCATCATCGAAAAAACCCATGCTAATCATGAACTTTTTGTAAACATTTATCAATTTCAAAGTACCTACGATAACATCATCTAGATGTCATTCATGAAATCTTATTATATTAGAAAGAAAAACATGTTTACTTGTTTTTACCATTCTTGGAAATGTAATACTGTGTATACCTTTGAAATTTAACGCAAAAGACGTTTTCTGTATTCATGATTGTTTTTATCATGAAACGAAAAATGACAAGAAAAACAGCTGATTCCATGTTGTAGAATTAAAAGTGCAATGAAAACTAATTGTAAGTACGGTAACTCACCTCACTAATCACGAGCACATTTTATCGAAATATTATAATATGTAATTTTGTCTAATCTTAACTATTTGCTAATTATTATAATCAGATCTTTAGATTAATAAAAACATAATCATATCCCTCACGTAAAGATGTAATTTTAATACATCTTCTTTTAGCGTACCTATTGTTCCTGACGGCGCAGATTCGAAGTAGTGGCGCCACTTTGCTTGTCAACTGCATGAGGATAAGGTTTAGTACTCCGTGGCGTGCGTAATGGATGTGTTGGTTCTATTCTAACCTACGCCGAATGATCGTGTAGCTTTATTTACGTTATTCAACTTAAATTAACTTAATTGTGCCAAGGTGAAAACATATCTTTATTTCTTCACTATTAAACCATTTTTATATTGATTTTATCTAAACACCGTCTATAAGTTTCTGAGGGCATTACGCCTGGTGGGCTTTTTGGAGCAGCGTGACGTTCCGTGAGAAATAAGTGATCAGTTTCGCCCGTTTCGCGGATATGTTACGCTAAGTTTTAACACTTATGTTGGTGGATTAATAAAATTTAATAAAAATGGTTAAATCTATCGAATTATAGTGGGTGCAATCAGTTGTTCAACATTCAGATTGGAGTAAGTATGCTTTGGAGCTATGTGTCATCTGATGTGTCCATGTTTCTTAATCAATGCTGCTCATTTTTTAGCCATTGATAAGAAAATTTGTTTATTTATATGATATTTATATTGTTATAGACGGTTTTAGTAGTATGCATATAATATATTTTACTGTTAATAATAAGTTGCTGTTTGTTTACAATCACTCTCTGGACGTTGTTATTATAGATCATTATTATACTCTATTATATCGCAATGTAATATTGTTGATAAAATTACTGTTTGATTCTGACAGATATATTTTAGTGCATTCTATATATAGTTCATTCAGAATGTAAAGCCTCTTTATATAATATTTATGTTTGACTGTATGTTATATATTATTTATGATTAGATTAATCCTACCATTTTAATAAATCCTAATTAAGCTTATTAAACTTTATATGTCATTACCCTTTTATAATTTTAGGCAGTTTGAAAATAAAAGTATATTCTGTTGTATTTAAAATACTACTGAAACAATGATGGAGTTGAGTCATAGTTTGACCCTGAATGAGGATGCTCTCAATCAAATTCCTGAAGCAAAACGACCAGTTTTCGTTTTTGAATGGCTGCGATTTTTGGACAAAGTTTTAGTCGCTGCACAGAAGGTAATCTTTCTGGACGATTGTTAGATAATTATACAAAGAATTGAAACTTCTTTGTATGCAATTTTTATATTTATACATAGGAATAATGATAACTCTTTGTCTATTTCTCTACTCAATATTACAGAGTGATATCAAAGGATGTCAACAGAAACTTGTAGAACAATTAACCCGACACATGCAAGGAGCTCCAGGTCCACCCACTCGTCGTCTCATAGCTCGATGTCTTGCTACTTTATTCAGTGTTGGTGATACATTTCTGCTCTTTGACACTGTAAACAAGTGTAATGATATTCTAAAAAACAAAGATGATTCACCAAGCTTCCTGCCCACAAAATTGTAAGGAAATATGTTTATCTACTGGAATCATTTGGATATGCTCAAATATTATCCGCAATTACGATATATTACATATATCATGCATATTATATGATAAGCAATGATTTATTACAAAGTAAAAATTTACAGAGCTGCAATATGTTGTGTGGGATGTATGTATGAAAAACTAGGTCGAATGATGGGTAGATCATATGAGGAAACTGTACAGATCCTTATAAAATCACTGCGTTCAGCAGAATCGCAAACTCGTATAGAAATAATGTACACGCTTGAAAAGGTAATTATCCAAAAATGGTACACGGTAACATTTCTTAATAACTAATGAAACACATTGACAACTTTACGTTTTTATAACATTCCATAGTCACTCAAGTCATTTACATTGTGTTTTTACCATTAGGTATGTGCTGGTATGGGCTCAGCAATCACAAATGTGCATAAAGAAATATACAAAGTTTCTAGGCACTGTTTAACAGATAGAGTGATGGCAGTCAGATGCGCTGCTGCTAAGGTAACAATTCTGCAATCATCTCTTGCACTTATTCACGTGTTCAAGTCGAATGGCTTTACACGTGAACGATGTTGCACGTGAAGCGACAAAATGACGCAATATTAATTTTCAGTGTCTCTTGGAAATGCTCAATCATGCACCGTTCCTCTATACTACAGAAATTGAGAGCGTCGCGACGTTATGTTTCCGCGCATTTGAAGGATCAAATTACGAAGTGCGATGTTCCGTTGCTAAGCTCCTTGGCGCGTTAGTCGCAATGACACAGCTTCCAGCTCCTAAAGGAAAGAATCCGACAGGTAATTCTTTGGATTTATCAAGTGCAACGCAATTCCTCTTTTATATCCATTATTATGAATTGTTAATTCTAAAATTGTAGCCGCGCAAAGTAAAGCGTACAAACAAATATCCCTCGATGAAGTACTGAATATTCTCATGTCTGGATTTTTACGAGGTGGCGTCGGATTCCTAAAGGGCACTGGAGAGATGATAAAGGGGAGTTCTGGAGTTAATAGAGAAGTTCGAGTTGGAGTAACACACGTGCGTATACGAAGTTCAGATTCTGTCACGTCCTTCATATCTGTTAACTGTTATGATTTATCATAACTGTTTTGATTTGCATTTCTAGGCTTATGTGGTTTTTGTTCAAATCTTGGGCGGCACCTGGTTAGAGCGTAACATAGGAGCACTGGTTGCGCACGTATTAGACCTCGTTGCAAATCCAAAAGCAGCAAGCTCGCACGTCGATGCTGTCTATTCACGTAAATGCATCAATTTTATATTACGGGGTACGGTTGGAAAATTGTTAGGCGAAGGTGCACAGGCGGCAGCTTGCAAAGAAATTGCTCATGTCATCCTGAAGCAAATGAATTCAATCGGTAAGCAATTATGTTTAATTTGATCTTATAGTGACGACTTACATTATAAATACATGATCACATCTAGATTTCAGTCCTGAAAATGCTAAGGATTGTAACCAAGAGACACTCTTCAGCCAGCACTTGTTAGTCTGTGCTTTACAAGAAATGGGTCATTTAATTCTGGGTCTGGGTACCACAGCATGTAACTTACTGTCTGATCAGTCATTGAGTGAGCACATTCTATTTTTTTTATGAATTACTTAGTTTGTATATAAATATTATTTATTTATTAACAAATGTCCCATTATCCAATAGGCTTGATTGACACTACTATGGCTGTTTTGGTACATCCTTGTCAAGCTGCTAGGTTGGCAGCATCGTGGTGCCTGCGATGCATTTGTGTAGCTGTACCAAGTCAGATAACGCCACTAATTGATCGATGCGTCGAAGGTATTGAAAATATGCGAAGCTCACCGGAAGCTATTGCAGGATATAGTAGTGCTTTGGCTGCTGTATTGGGAAGCGTTCGACTATCGCCACTTGGAGTACCACATACGAAGGGCAAGGTGATTAGGACCAGTTTGTCTTTCGCTTGATATTTGTTACAACATGAAATAATCAATTCTTATTCCTTCCCACATTAGATTCTCATAATATATGAAGTGTCAAGGTACAGGTTAAATCGTAAATGACTCACATAAATTATATGAGAAACTCGGAAATGTATTTTTTGCTACTCCTACCATGGTTTAATTATTAGAATAAATACTGTTCTTTTATTCATGCTGTAAAACTCTGGAAAAAGTTTACGTCTGTAATTATGTTAATTGTGCGAATACTAAAATGGATTATTAGAAATGCTAATAGAAATTTATATAGGGTGTTTTTCTCTGAATGATATTCAGAATCTTGGCCAATCACAATTTATTTTTCGGGCTACATGACCCTAAGGTATAAGGACATATTGAAACTTTAAAAAAGTAAACTATCATTCTGTTCTCAGATTATCTTTAACACTGCTGAAGAATTACTGAGAAGTGCCAGTCAAAATAGTCGCTTGTCTTTAAACAGAACTCATGCCGGTTGGCTTTTGATTGGAGCAATAATGACTCTAGGTAAGAGAGCAGATCTGCAATAGCAACCAAATACTTAAGATTTTACAGCAATGAAAAATGTCTATTCCTACAGGCACAGCCGTTGTCAAAGGTCTACTACCTAGAATGCTACTTCTATGGAGAAATTCTTTTCCACGCTCGAACAAGGAACTTGAAAGTGAAAAAGCTCGAGGAGATGCTTTCACCTGGCAAGTAACTCTGGAAGGTCGTGCCGGTGCACTATCCGCTATGCACAGCTTTTTATTACATTGTCCAGAGCTCCTTAATGATGACATCACAAGACGACTTCTAACTCCTATTGAGTCTGCTCTAGCTATGCTAACAAAGTACGGCAAGAAATATTTGTCATTGATAAGAAAGCAGTTTCTTTTTAAATAATGTTTGTAACTTCTATTTTAACTATTTAATTACAGCCTGTCAACTGTACTAAAAAATTACGGTCAACAATTGAAAGCACCTGCTGCGATGGTTCGTTTACGCTTATACGAAACGTTGCTCTTGTTACCACCTCAGACATTCGAAGGTAATTAGATACCCGTTAAGTAATATTCCGTTAAATTTCACATCGGTCTAAAATGTAACGCCCATATTCAATAATCTACTATCGCAGGTTCATATACGCATCTCCTGAGGATGCTGGTGTCGGAATTCACCTTAACTGAAAATCCAGGAAACACAACCACGTCTTTGTTGCGCGTTGTCTGTCACGCTAACGATTCTGTCATACTTGGCACATGGCTTCAAGAAACTGATCATCGCACTATAGAAGACCAAGTTAGTATACAATCATACAATTTTGGAATATTGCATAGTATCTTTCTTAGGAGGCATATCTTGGTGTATATCATAATTTCTGTCACGGTTGGCTTTCATTTATCTTGTGGGAATTATGGATTGGCTCTTTTGGGAAGAATGTATAGTGCAAATGGTGACAATTTTATATGTTTCAATTCACAGCAGATGAAAAAATTGGTGATGGTTTAATTATTTCATTAATTCGTATCGCTCTCATTCGTGTCTAGATGGAACCAAACCGCAGGGCTGATTTGGAACATGTGAGTAATATGCTTTGTAAGGTGTGATTATCATAACGTAATGAAAATAAAATCTGTCGCTTTTTAACGAGAATTGCACATTGATAACTTGGTAGATTTAATCATGTCATTTTTTATACTTCTGTTATTTAAGCACTTGCAAGAGCAATTCTTATAGTTGTTTATGGTATTTAAATTATATTGTGTCTTAAATGCAATCTTTACGTTAATTTTTTTATAGAAGCTTTATTGTTAGTGATTATATTAATTTATATTGATCACTGAATGAATATACATATGTATACAGAATGCGGGGTTTATCTTGGCCACCTGGAATATCTCAGAAACTAAAGTCCGAAGAAAAAAATGTTTCAAATAAAAAGTTTAAGGTAAGGAGGGGCTGATCCAACAGTCATATCCATTTTAAATTTGTATCATTTTTTCAAGGTCATTCCAAGGTCAACTCTGGTTTTTTAAATGGGAACATGTATTTTTCATTACAGATTCTTAATCTACGACTTAAAACAAGTGACTTTTGATTGAAACGTTTTTTTCTCCGACGATTATTTTGTACAAAATAACGACTTTATTAAGGAAAAAGAGAAACACACCTTAAGTACAAGGAAATCAATTTAATAAGTGTTCAAAGTGTTGGCCTTGTTCCTGAATACATTTTTTAAGAAGAATGATGAATGAAATGTTGCATCCCAAAAGAATATCCGCCGGAACGTTATGGCAGGCATATATGATCTTTCATGTTTTCTCATGTCGTTGGTACCTCTTGGTAAAATTTTTCCTTAAAATAACCCCATAAGAAAAAATCTAGAGGGGTTAGATCTGGCGATCTAGCAAACACAGCAAAAACAATAAACAGAACATTTTGCGAAATAATGTTTATTGTTACTGTTAATATTTGTTTTCATTCATACTAATAAATCCACCATTGATGCCATTCATACAACTTTGAACACTTATTAAATTGATTTTCTTGTACTTGAGGTGTGTTTCTATTTTTCCCTAATGAAGTCGTTATTTTGTAAAAAATAATCGCCGGAGAAAAAAAGTTTCAAATAAAATTTATTTGTTTTAAGTCGTATATTAAGAACCTGTAATGAAAAATACATGTTCCCATTTAAAAAACCAGAGTTGACCTTGGAATGACCTTGAAAAAATGATACAAATTTAAAATGGATATGACTGTTGGATCAGCCCCTCCTTACCTTAAACTTTTTATTTGAAACATTTTTGTCTTCGGACTTTAGTTTCTGAGATATTCCAGGTAGCCAGGATAAACGCCGCACCCTGTATAGTAGTTAAAAGCTTTTTAGTTTTTCTTATAAATAAACGGTTAAAATTAGTGATAGTATGCTTTCCTTGTGCATTTCCATACAGCAATTAGAGTTTTATTTTTAGACACGAAATGTAGAATGAAGTAATCACCTCTTTTTTATTGCTATTTTTTATAAAAAATACCTGCTTAACTTCCATTATATTATTTTTATTTTTTTAAATAATCTCACTTCTTAAATAACTCAAGGGCCAAACAATTTTTGCACTGTACGTACGTTGCAATACAATTGTGTAAATATCTTTTGTCCGACGATTCAACTTTTCAATAGAAAACTTAGCATTGCTAACTTTTTGTTTCAGCGCCAAGACTGCGAATCATAAAGATCAATATATTTTAAAATAAATCTTTGTTGCGAAATTCATGTTATTGATGTTAATTTTTAGTTGCAGCCCAACAGTGCTGCTGGATCCGGCGCTTTAGAACATAATTCATGTTGTCTATACAGACCAGTACCACTCGTAAGTTGATCGTCCATAACAATGACGATTTACATTGCATAGGTACATAGTCATACCAGTCTCTTCTTTCAGAATGAAATAATACCAGGGCCTCTTCCACTGGGTGTTGCAGTCATCGATTTATCCGTCTCATTATTTGGCCAAATTTTTCCAAGAGTTGCAAATAAGCATCGTTTGCAGATGCTTGATCATTTTAGCGAGTGCATAAAACACGCTAAATCCGGCAGACAAGAGGCCATACAAATGAACGTATTTACAGCTGTGCTAACTGGCTTAAAAGGTCTTAATGAGGCGAAAACTAGCTTCGGCCAAGAGGACGTGAAGAAATCTGCAACAAATCTGATAATTGTATGCACATAATAAATAAATACACGTTTCAGGTATCTCCTTAATCCTCTTAATGCAACGTAAATCACGATATGAGTTTTTCAGAGTGCATTGGTAAGCAGTAACTCTATCCTTCGATGGGCAGCTGGAGAAGCAATGGGAAGAATGGCCCAAGTGATTTCTGATCCTAAATTCACTGCTGAATTGGCGCAAACTAGTTTTGATAGGCTTAAATCAGCCCGCGACGTTGCTAGTAGAACTGGCCATTCTTTGGCTCTGGGCTGTCTTCACAAATACGTTGGCGGAATGGGTTCCAGTCAGCATCTTAATACCAGTGTCAGCATCTTACTCGCCTTGGCGCAGGATAATACGTCACCTGTTGTGCAGGTAAGACACGGTTAAATTCTATCTGTAATAAAAAAAAGACGTTGATCTAATTGATTAATAAATGAACTCTTCGTCAGGTTTGGGCATTACACGCCCTTGCTTTAATAGCAGATTCAGGTGGTCCAATGTTCCGTGGCTACGTAGAGCCCACACTGTCCTTAGCGTTGACCCTACTTCTCAATGTACCTCATTCTTATATCGATGTACATCAGTGCATCGGCAAAGTGTTATCCGCTCTTATCACTACAATTGGTCCTGAACTACAAGGTACATTCTTTAAAGTATAAAGACAGATTATACATATTTTCCAAGAAAGAAGTTACTGGCTTTCAGGGCAGAAAGTGTGTATGTTTATTTTTGTACTATTTTTATAGGCAATACGTCAACAATATGCATGGCACGATCTTCCTTCCTTTGTGCTTGTGCCATAATGCAGGATCATCAAGATCCTTTAGTACAGGCCGAAGCTACTGGATGTCTTCAACAGTTACACTTATTTGCTCCTAGACACGTTAATCTATCATCTCTCGTTCCCACGCTATGCGTAAGGAATACTCTTTAGTCTATTTCTGTACTTTATTCACAGAAAAAAATGTATATAATAGTGAGATCCGATCTCCATCCTCCTTTTACAGAGAACACTATCTAGTAATCATCTCCTCCTACGCAAAGCTGCTATATCATGCTTGAGACAGCTGGCTCAACGCGAGGCAAAAGAAGTCTGCGAGCATGCTATGACCCTGGCTAATGAGAGCAGGGATACGAATGTTGTAGAAGGTCTGATAATCACAGAAACGGGTCTTCCAGGTGTCCTGTTTAGCATGCTTGACACAGAAACGGACAGCAGGCTAATAAAAGATATCCATGACACTCTTACGAGTATGTTGCAAATATTAGCTGCTGACAATCTGTCCCAATGGCTCTCGTTGTGTAAAGATGTTCTTACGGTCGCGTCAGGTAAGGAAACGAAAACTTGTTGGAGAGAAAATAGCACTTATTATTTCACAATTAATGCATTCAGAATCTAGCACGATGGAAGAAGCGGCTGTCATTACAGTCGAGGATGGCGCGGCGGATAATGAAAACGCGGATGCGGAAGGGGATGATGATCAAGCAGAATTTCATGCTGATGAATCTATGAGACAGCGTCCAACTGTTTCTCCGCGATGGCCAACAAGAGTCTTTGCCGCGCAATGCGTACGTCGCATTGTAGCTACGTGCGTTAACAACAAACAGGCGCACTTCGATCTTTCGTTGGCTAAAGAGATGCAAATGGCCAAAGGAAGAGGTACGGGAAATTTATGTCATATATCAATTTTCATTACAAATTCGTATCACGTAGTTAAACTTTTTATAACGTTAGTCGAAGTCCTCAAAATAAATAATTTAGTGAGACGATCTCTTACGCTTGTTATCTTTTTACACCTTAGGGGATTTCCTGGTGCTACATCTTTCGGACCTGGTACGCATGGCATTTATGGCTGCCACTAGCGACTGTGATCCTTTACGATTGGAAGGCCTTAAGACATTGCAGGAGATTATTGAGAAATTCGCTAAAGTTCCAGAGCCGGAATTCCCCGGTCACTTGCTACTAGAACAATTTCAGGCCCAAGTCGGTGCTGCATTAAGACCAGCATTTTCTACAGAAACGGCGTCTCATGTCACAGCAGCAGCTTGCGAGGCTTGCAGTGCTTGGATCGGTAGTGGTGTAGCTAGGGATCTTAATGATCTACGTCGGGTACATCAGCTACTCGTTTCGTCCCTAGAAAAGTTACGTGAAGGCCATACACGTCAACAGCTATACAATGAAAGCTTATCAACTCTTGAACGATTAGCCATATTAAAAGCATGGGCTGAGGTATGAAATGTTTTTGGCGTAATTTATTATATTATGGAAAATAATTTGCTGTGATCATAATTTATATGAATTATTTTATCTTCGATTGAAGGTGTACGTAGTTGCTATGATTAATGACGGATCTGCACCTGGAAGTAGAGAAACGCTACATCGCAACACAACTCAAAGTGATGACAATGACGCAGAGGATTTCGGTGAATTTGAATTTCAAAACGAAAGCTTGTTGAGTTTAGTGCAGCCAGAACTTTTGAGTCTAAGTCAACACTGGTTAGCTGCACTAAGGGATCATGCTCTACTTTCTCTACCGCCGGGTAATTTTAGTTCTTACGCTACAATTGTCCCTTAGAAGAATCGTGGATATAGTATTTGTATTTCAGAATTCTCAAGCCAATTGCCGCACGATGGTGGAGCGTTTTATACAACAGATACTATGGAATCGGCTCGTCCTTATTACTTGGAATCGTGGGCACCAATTTTACACGCAGCGACACTCTGGCTCAATGCCAGAGGATTTGAGATAACGGAATCAGTCAGTAACGAGACGAAAAATTTTGTTGGTCACAACAACAATAATAATATGTCCTTAAAGAAAGATTCTAACGTTGAACGATTCCATTTACTTTTTGGTAATTGCCGTACAATTTTTGGGATTCACTAATAACACAAAAGTTTCTGATAGATTTTAAATGATCATCTTTTTGTGTTTAATAGGCATATGCATGGAAGCTTTATGCAGTCCCAGATCTTCTGAATCCATTCAAAACACAGAAACCTGTTTAAGTGCTCTTTATACCCTTCTAAATTCGACGTGGGCCCGAAAAGTACTAATATCCGATCGTTCCTTACCAATTGAACTGTGTAATGTTCTCCACAGGTATAAAAAAGAAACTTATACAAATTGTTACTGATTATTTTATTATGTATTTCATATATTCAGGCTGCTATTAACCAGAGAAAGCTATGCTATACAAATGATGGTGATGGAAGTACTGAAGCAGATAATGAAAGGCGCACAAGAGGAGTTGACTGACAGGAAGAAGTTGAAGCTCAAAGGTATCTCTACTAAGTTTCCTATGTAATTTTAAGATACATTAGTAACTATGATGATCATCGCACCCATATTCCAATGTATGTTCAACAATAGAACTAATCCCGGCAAATCAAGAGGCGAAGGAAATCCTAGAGCTGGATTTATTAGGTGAAGGTGATGAGAATGGTGAACTCGTTCCTGGGAAATCCTTGGTATTCGCTATACTTGAAGTTTGTTTATGTCTCTTGGTACGGCAAATACCGGCATTAAATCCAAATCCTGAAGGAGCTACTGCCATTTTATCACAGCGAGGATATACACCCTCCGAAGAGAGTGGCAAATTAATTGCCTCGGCTCTTAACGTTATGGAAGCACTACCTAAACTCTGTTCACCGCAAGGTAAGCAACGTTTATCTGTAAGCTTATAAATAGCCTAAAGATTATTCGGAAAACATTGTTTATGTCTTTTCATCAGGAGCCATTGCGATCTTACCAACGTTACTATATTTAACGACGGGTGTGATAAGAGAAACTGCAGTACGTGTCGATAGCGACATGATTAGAACAGAACCGGAAACTCCTGTTCACGCCGCATTGCATTGTCTTAAAAATTTAACTATTAATAAATATGCCAAGGATCAAAGGAGTCAAGAACAATGGACCATACTCTTACAGAGTGCACTAGCTAAGATTATTGATCTAGCAAAAACTGGTAAGGATCAACTCTATCTTGATCTTTATGTTATGACATACTGAAAAGGTAATTGAATATTTCTGTATAATCATTTTTTCTTCGTTTCATGAGTAGGATGTGACGAAACGAAAATGGACGAAGTTGCCATGATGCTAGGCATAGCAGTATTTGTTCTTCATGCGCTGCCAGATGTAGTGAGCGCGCCGAATTTACAATTTCCTTGCATTAATCACTTCCGGCAATCAATTCAATCCGAAAATACTATAGTGAGTGATTGCATTTAAGTAGCTACTTAACGTTTACACCCTTCTACAATATATTTACAAATTTTCAGGTGAAATTAAAATGCATTCAGACTTTGAAGACCATCTTTGTACATCCTGAGCGTAGTATCAGTACTCCATATATTCATGCACTCGCACCTAGAATAGTAGAATATTTATATAGTGAGAAAAGTAAACAAGTGTCAAATGAAACGGAATTATCATTCACATTAGAATGTATCGGTACCATCGAGGCCCTCATAGCATTGGCAGAGCCTGCTAACCGTAAGTATAGTAATAAAATTACAAAAATAAATTACAAATTTAAGCTAGCATACCGCATGGTATTGACTAAAATATGTTACACGCAAATCAGGAGATCTTCTGCAAGGTATGTCGTAATAACTGAATGCCAAAGGACTATAATAAATTCTGTCACCTATAAAATTAAGGATTAAGATGAAACATATTCAAGAAATATATTACTGAGATTGTGTATTATTCATTTTGTCAGGTATACAGATGCTAACTCTACTGGTACCTATTCTAATCAATTATTTATTGGAGGGCGATAAATTACAACATGGCACAAAATATCAGATAAGTCTTCATCAGCAAAGCTTCCAATGGTTGAATAAAATTGGACCAAAATATCCTCAGGTGTTTATGATACTTTTACTCCATTTATATAATCTCGACATAACTCTCTTTAAATATTTTGCAAAACCTTTTATCGATCATGAAATGTCCTTGTTTCAGGAGTTCAAAACCCTGATGACACAGTCCACAGAATTGAAAACAAAGCTAGAAACGGCAGTGAGATCAAGTCATCTACAGGCACAACGACAAACTCGAACGCTTGAGTCAGCAAAGCAACATCTTAAAGTTCAGACGGCACCTTCCATCAAATTAAAAACAGATTTTTCGAATTTCAACTAAACTACTTAGCGAATAAGAATAAAGATGCAGTAATAGTTGCATGTATCGTCATTGGTAAGGAATTAATAACCATTTGTTCTACACTATCGTATCATTAATATCAACATATGTCTAGAGAAGCATGTAGTTTGTTATCATCGTTAAAAAATCGCATTTACCCCTGCGCTACCAAATCATCGATATCAGCTGAATCTATGAAATCCATTTTTTTATTTCTCTAGATGATAAGGGATAAAATTCATACAAAACTATTGATTAACATCTTGTCTAATGATCAGAATCAGTTAGTCTTGGTCCATTGTTAACAAGATTTATAAAAATGAGGCTAAACCGTTATCACAGTGATTTCATTTATCTGTTAGTCATACAAAATCATATTCGTGTACTCGGCTTAAAAAAATCTATTGCGTGAATGAACGAATAGGTTTCGATACCGTTCCTCTTATTTAACGCTTATTCGTTACTGTATAATCAATAGAGTAAAATCAATCATTTAAAGAGAATTTTGCAACTTGTACAGATCATGAAATACCCTTTTTCAAGAGGCTTGTTTTTTAGAGATTACCTATCTACTGCATTTGAGGAAAATTTTTGACAAAATTTATTACACAGGGTTTAAAGAAAAGTAACATTTTACGATATTTTGATTATCATTGTCCTTATAGATATTACTGATAATATATATATATTTCCGTTACTAATCTCTTACTACAATACCGTGTGCATTTCACAGTAGCATACCTTTTTACTTTTTATTAGTGCAGTATAAAAGATCAGTGAGTTTATCAAAAGGATAGTTTAATAATTGTATTTTTTATATGTCATCTGTACAAATTGAGTATATTGATCAAGAAAGAAAAATATTTATTAATATCAAGACATTGACTTTCTCATCTGACAATTTTCATACCGAATACAATGTAGAAATATTAATCATATTATTATTTATCTTAATCACTAAAAGAGATCATAAGACCTTTGAACTTCCTATTGAAATTATTATTTTGTATTATAACTCTGCATTATCTAGTTGTATGTGAATCACTATACCGATGCTTTGAATTATTTATTTCATTGTATAATACGAATTATGCGTTTCAATTGCAACACAATATAAAAATATTTATAATAATGAAACGGGCGTGCGGCACAATTTAAAAGTAATAAAATATATGTGCACCTTAAGTGATGATTATTTCATGATAAACGAAAAAAAGTAGTTGCAATTAAATTTGAAAATTCAATTTCCTCTAATAATGAATTAGATGGAAAATTTTCTTTCATGATACTGTCGATTCTTTATAGCATATTTCTTATACTAATTCATTGTAATACAAACTTGAAGTTCGAGATTACGTTACAGAATCATCATTGAAATTAGTTTAATTAAAAATATGTATATGATTGTCGCGTACAGCGCGAAAGTAGCGCAAATGCCGAATGTTAGATCATCAACTTTTAACGTCTACCCTATATACTGAATGTAACATTAATAATTGCATAATATTATGTGGTAAATAATTGGAGGATAGACGATCAGAGAAGCAAATTAATAAAATTGTGAGACTATTAGATATAGGAAAATACGTAATATATATCGTGATAATAGAAAGTTCGTACTATTTTTTATATTATTATTTTAGGAGATTTCTGCTATTAATTTTTAGATATATTACTTGCCAAGAAATTAATAATTTCTATTTACACGTGTAGAATTGATACATTAACAGCAAGATATCATGTTATACGATCCCTCTATGCTCCGCAATAAATATATAATGACTGAAAGTATTTCGTTTACTTTTAAATTAATTACAATGTAGAATGAATGTTTGAACTGGAATTTAAAATGGTTATGAAACTTCAAGTATACTTGAAAAGAATGCAACATTAGCTGTGTTCGGCAGATACAGCGTTGAAGGAATAAATACACCTGATTCGTCAAATTTTACACCTGTTAGGTACAAGAATTTACGATCAATTCACTGATCGAATGCTATTACTGTCCCAGCACAGTGTTCTAATCAATGCAGCCATTTTTTTACGTACTGATAATTGCAGATGATTGTTATTAGAACAAGTACGACTCTCATTTCATGTATATTGAGAAATTTAAGCCGATATAGTTTTTCCCCTTTTTTATATGTGTTATAGTTTGATTACATTCTTGTTCTACTCGTAATTTTCAATTTGTGCTAAATATATTTTGCCACCCTCAACTAATAGGCACAATAAAGTGACATTTATCAACTAGTGGGGAACAACCAGTCTGCTAGTAACACCAGCGTAGAAAATAAAATAAGGTTAATCCTTTTACATATTTTTGGAGTGTTTTGCTTTTAGGAAAACAATATGTAATTTATCATTTTCTTTTTATTTATAAATGGATATAATGTAATACTCTGTGGTTATTCGGTCGAAACGTGTGTAAAGCGCGGACGTAGTGAACATTTAATTATATCTAACCTAGGTAGCATATATTTTTATTAAATGTTTCAAGCATTTTATGTATTATTTTAATAATTGAATGTGATGTATATTTTAGCAAACATGTCTGATAATAAAAAAGTAATATTGGTAACTGGTGGATCCGGTTTAGTTGGAAAAGCTATAGAGACTGTTATAGCAGAAGATTCAAGACCGGATGAAACTTGGGTATTTATTGGTTCTAAAGATGCAGATTTATGGTAAGAGAATCTTTTGCATAAATTGGTTTTAAAATAATATAAGAAAATATTGTTCTATTTGCAGTGATAAAAAAAGTACGGAAGAGGTATTTGCAAAATATAAACCAACACACGTTATACATCTAGCTGCTATGGTTGGAGGATTATTTCATAATATGGCACATAATTTGGATTTTTTGGTATGTAGAATTAATTTATTCTTTATACATATATAATATATATGAAAATATACCAATTCATTCCTTTATCACTTTATGTTTTATTGCAGCGTAAAAATCTTCATATGAATGACAATGTACTCCAAACTGCGCATGAAACAGATGTCGTTAAGGTTGTATCTTGTCTTTCAACCTGTATATTTCCAGACAAAACAACATATCCAATCGATGAAACAATGGTAAATTAAAAACAGTTACAATACTATAAAATTTGTTTAAACAACCATTTTAGTCTCATTTGGAACAGTATCAAATTACACATGCATATATACATGTGATTCAGATTCACAATGGGCCACCACATCCATCAAACTATGGATACAGCTATGCAAAAAGGCTGATTGATATCGCGAATAGAGGGTATTACGAACAGCATGGTAGAATTTATACGAGTGTGATTCCCTGCAACGTATTTGGGCGACATGACAATTTTCATCCCAAAGCGAGTCATGTTGTTCCTGGTTTAATGAGAAAGCTTTATGACCTCATAAAAGATGGTAAAGCATTGTGTTCATTTTTATATAACATTAATTATTATGGAGTAGCACAAAATTTATTTATGTGACAGGCAATACAGAGGACAAAACATTTGTGGTATTGGGTTCAGGAAAACCCTTGCGACAGTTTATCTACAGCAAGGATTTAGCAAAGTTGATGATTTGGGTATTACGCGAGTATTCATCTGTAGAACCAATTATTTTATCAGGTACTAATTAACAACACCCGTTAAATTATTAATCTGGAGTATTTATTTTCATTGGGGCTTTTTTTATTTTAGTGGATGAATCCCAAGAGGTTACAATATCACAAGTGGCAGAAACATTAGTGGCCGCATTTGATTTCAAAGGGAAAATCGTATATGACACGTCAGCTGCTGATGGCCAATACAAGAAAACTGCAAGTAACGCTAAACTACGAAGTTACTTACCCGATTTTCAATTTACCCCTTTCGAAAAGGCAATTAAAGAAACTGTTGATTGGTATAAGACAAATTATGACCTCGCAAGAAACTGAATAAGAACTAATAATAATAATTATGTGCGTATTTAGATGCTTCATGCAACTTAATTGAGATAATTATAAATTAACAATCTTAAATGATTAAACAACTGTGTACACTCTACGAAGTATCTAAATATGTAACTCTAAGATGTACAAACATTATCATATCAATTTCAAAGAAAGACAACAATAATTTTACAGCAATTCAAAATCCTATATAGAAAAGATACCATCAGTAAATAAAATTTTATACAAGAATTTCTTTATGAACTTGTGCATGAGGCATATTGAAAGTGTGTTAGGCGCTCTATTCATTATATGATAGTCAAAGATACTTAACGCAATAGTCTGAGACTGATATGCTAAGTATTTTAAAAATTAAACCAACGCTAGTTCCTGAAAATACAATAACATAGGACTAAGTGCGCCTGAGCAACTGCAGACTCAATACAAAGGTGTTACGCGAGTTTTCAACAGACGTATACTATAGTTCAGTGCATTATATTCTCATGTACAGTTTACAATCTGTCTAAAACAGTTTCTTCTAAATATACCTACTGAAGTAGTAAGAGACGTTGATATATATATTTAGTATGCACACTTACTACTTGGAGTTATTATGTAATCACCGGAGACGGCTGATTCAATGGATTTATATTCAAAAGCATCCACTTTTTATTCACAGTTCCATTCCAAGTACTACAGTAATGATACCTTGAATGACTAAATAATGTTCAATAATAGTTGACACTCCACAGACTTGCACACTCAAAGTGCTAAACATCTTCCCATCTCTTTATTTGCAATGCGTGCATTGTCTAATGTCAAGTAAAAGTTAACATATGTGGTACGCGCTATTATTGTACATACTGTATATTTTTGATATAAAAATCATACAAACAATGCGATCAATTAATAAAACACAAAAATTGCGAATACTCATACTTATATAAATTTATATAAATTATATATATTATATTTATATATTATATATATTAATATAATAAATATATATATAAATAAATTATATATATTATATTTATATAAAAAGATTTATATAAATGCAGCCATGTACTAAGTGCATAAAGAAATGGACCATCATAGTGGTATGTAGTGGTGGTAAAGAAAATATATGCATATACTGCATGGTTTGAAAGCGACGAGGGTTGTTCTGTTTAAAACGGTCTTTAGCGACTCGTTTGTCGTAGACATGCGACATTTTAACGATATGCATTCCAAGAGAAATGGAGCATACCATATCCCTCGTTAAAAATCCTATTTATTTTTGCGATTTAACACTTGAATCGTGATTCACTAGTAGTCCACGATACCTTTGGGCAACACGAAAAAGTAAATTAATCATGAGCACATGCCGTTCGAAAATACATTTTTCCTAGTTTTCGGAGTACAGGCAAGCAAATGCACAGCTCGCACTTTATTTTTAACGTCGGTCACAAATCCTCCGGATAGTTTATGAGGAGGCAAAGATTTTTCGCGTTGCACGTCTATTTTCGTAAAACAAGAGCAAACAAGCTGAAAAAAAAGGGAAATAAACGCACGTCAGAAATCTTTGAGGTCGTTGGACCGTTCGAGAGAAATACTCGCAGGTATAATATTAAGTTGGGAGTGCAGACAACTGTACAAAGAAACGGATCGATCACAATATATACTGTTTTCGTGATCGCCATTATTTTATACATATAACACGTAAGTACGTTTGACATTAGAAAAAATAACGTTCTCCTGGATTTCTGTTTTTCTAAGCAACTGCTTAGGCCTGAGCTATCCAATAAGTAAATATCAAATAAACCATACTAAAACCATCAATTCTGACAGTGTACACCATTTTTGACACTTCATAACAGCTGACTGGTAGAATCGGCAGAATTCCTTGAGTATTTGGAAATATTACTTTGTCAGGTTTCTGGAGATATTTATAATACGAAGCACCTGTTATGGCGTCGGGAAAACTTGTGGAGAAGATCGAGATTAAGGAATATTTCTCTGTTATAAAAGAGCATTGATCCTATGACAAAAGTACACTGCAATCATTGTGAAATTGAAAACACTTGTCCATACACTTCGACAAAGTATCTATGCATCATTGCGACACAATGCAATTTGATTTTTCACGATATTTTGCTCCAAAGAGCAGAATATTTTTTTAAATAATGGAGATCGTCACATAACAGGAAGCCGCTTGATTTTGCGACTTTCGTCGCAACCATGCATACGCATTTATGAGAACTCGTAGGGATGTTAGCTATATGGTAATGTAATGTACCCTTGTGTCTATGGGAGGATTTTCCACAGAGTATCAGGGAGCCGTTTTTACTCGAGGGTTGCGTAGTCGAGTACCGTTGGTGAGTATTGTCGACGTGCAGACGGGGATGGTAATCGGCGCAGGCGCCGGAACGCCAGGGCGTCCGCGGTATTGTCTTTACTCAGTGCGCTCGAGGTAGCTTACCTCGACGGATGTTGATTGTCGTCGACGTTGACGGTGATGGCTCTGGCACGTGGCGTATCCTCGGAAGACTGACATTTTCCTTATTCTCCTTCTTGGAGGATTCCTGTTTTTATTATTGTTACTGAAAAACGAATAGAATATCCCGAGTGCAATATGACAAGAGCGCCGCCAGTACGCGACAGCAATCGGTGTCGTCGGTAGCGAAGATATATTTCTCCGAGGTGCAGAAGAAAAGATCGCGTCATCGATAAAAATGAAAATCAAAAAGTGCAAAAATCGGAATTACAAATTTGAAAATATTTCGCACGACGATATATACAAGGTCGGTATAAATAAAATTCCAATTTCAGTTTTGGTTAACAGTGAGAAATATACAAAAGATTGTTCGTTAGAGACTTCTGTCATCAGCTGGACTTGAAACGAAAAAAAAACTGAAAATTACAACCTCAATGGCAAGATCAACATTTAAATATCTTTTATTGTTAAAATATTCCTGGACGTATATCAACGCTGCTAGAGTATCACACTAAAAGTATTCAGTGTTCAAGGAAGCAGTTTGTCGGTCGATAATGAAATGATAAATATTTTACTGTCGTACTGATAAATCAAGTAGTCCTACGAACAGTCAAGGATCAACACTGCTAAAACTTTATAATGATTTTCAATGATATCAACAAATGCAATCATTCCTCGTTCCATCATCTACGTTCTGCTTCATTCCAAGCAATCACCTTCAAGTGAACAAGCTATATCTATAACGTGTTACATGCTTGGCGTTTCTTTCTATCGCGATATGTTCTGACGTCGTGCAAATGTGACAAAACGCTAAACTAAGCGAGATACATATAATGAAATATACGATACACTTTTGAGTCTGCGTTTCTCATTCTACATTCTATTCGTATTTTGACTGGTTTATGAAGCTCTTTGTGAAATTCCATCATACGTGAACTTAACATTACACTATAAATGCGTGAATCTGTCTTCCTCATGTAAAAGCCCTTTACAAACGTTTTACAAGACATGCGTGGCTTTGCAGTGTCTTTGTATGTCGACGAACCTTTTGATGACCCTTTTCATCAGAGCTTTAACTTGATAATTTCATTAGGATTCTGTAAAATCAGGGGTGACATACTTTATCATGATTGTTTCAATCTTACCCATCAATGAGATCAGTTGTGTTAATCGATATAGTACAAAGTTATCAGCAATCGCAGCAAAAAGGTTAGATAAAGATAGGTTATAAAAATTCAGAGCTCTTTCAGCTAAATGTAAATTTTAACAAATTCAATTTCTTTCTACAATATTCTATTAATGACAATCCAATCGACGCTAACCAGGTCTAATTGACAGAGTTGCTCTGTTTAATACGACCATGGTCTTACAAATTGTTTACATAACGAACGCATAACCGCCATTAATTGGTCTTCGAATCTCGTTGCATAATTGTTATTACATATCAAGAGTATACGAAGCCTAAAACTGAAATTGAAAGAAAACATTAAAAATCCGCAACAACTTCACAGTTTTGAATATTCCGCAATCATAAACAAAGTATCATTATTTTCTGCAGAATTCTTCATTTTCAACATTCTACGTTCAAAGAATTAATGATTTTCTCTGGCGCTAGTCGCGTTTCTCTTTGGCATCTCATTGTGTCAAAACTTGGCCATCGTTCAGCATTTCTCACTGGCAGAAATGTGATAACTCAACGAAGATAACTAAAAGGACTGCAATTCAAAGACACGTTCGGAATTCGATAACTAAATTTAATAAAACCAAATTAAAAGTTTGGATAAAAGTTGCCAAGCAATAATGTCACGTGCTGAAGAAATACATTATCGTGAGTCCGTAACTGGCTCCGGTGCACTGTACAAAAAGTTATCAATGATAATCAGCAAGTACGAGGATCAGCATACGATGATTTTCCTCATTGGAATATAGTGCCGGTGATTGTTGGTGATACGGTATTGAAAGAATGCCGGGAATCGTAGTGTTTCGGCGACGCTGGAGCGTCGGTAGTGACGACCTCGTCGTTCCTGGCGCTTTCCTCTTCATTTTGCATCTCATATGGTAAGTAGAAGAGTATGTACATGTAGCTACATTCAACCAGAGTGTCTTATTCCAAATACTATCTGCAAAATAGCAGATATTATCTATACGATTATCGTATACAGAGTTTCCAAATAGAAAAATAAACCAAAGCTATTCCAAGTATTCTCATTCCTCTTCGTCTGTTTCCTAACGTTTGGAAGTTCAATTCTATAGTTAATATCATGCGTGTGGTCTCTCGAGTAGTTTCAGGTTATTGCACTGGACAACGCAATAAATGCTGAATGCACGAATCTATATTAATATATATACTATATATATATATATAAGTACATCAATCATATAGTTATGGCTATTGCTCTTGCAATATATTTGAACATAAATCATTGAAGGATCACGCGAAGAAGGGAGGAAAGTATTTCGCACAGAGAATATATTATGGTAGAAGGTACGTATTATAGTACAATACTGAATGAGTTTCGTTCAAGGAAAGCAATTGCGAGTAAGCGATCGTGTATAAGATCGATCGAACGCTATCATCAAACAGTAGGGCTCTTGAGTATACTAATTAAACCCATAATCAATCCCATTCAGTTTCAATCTCAAGAATCGATAATTAAAGCCATTTAAGCTCAGTTGATTACAAGAGCGCCATTCCATAATCTGCTATTATTCTACACTCGTAATACTCATATGCTAAGTCGAATAGAATGAAAACGTATAAAGTTGGTCAATAAAATGTATATAAATTACAAATATCAACGGTGCCAATGTGCATTGTAATAGTCTGATTTAATAGATAAGGAAACATTCATTATTGTTTAACTCAGTTCATTCTACTTTGTAACAAATACCCAGTGCACAACCCGTAACAGTAAAAACCATGAAAAAATACTCATCTTGCGTATTTCGGATTCCATCCCACATATTGTGCTGTCGTCCTGATGCATGCGCCTAGGAGTATATCGCCGTTGATACATCCGGATTTTCCGTTATGCATCTACTTCCATTCACGCATCAAAGCATTATCAGAGTGAAGTGTCTTCCTTGAACGTTAGCTCGACGTTTCAGTCTATCGGTGACAGCCGACTGATACAGTCTGGATTACAGACGGTTGATAATTTTCTTTTTGTTTTGACTCTGGCTGTACGTCTCCTCAGTTGTATCGCGCACATGTTATCGGTACTGGTTATGTTACGTTCATAGGACAGCAGCTTCTGGATCCGGGAACAAAGAGTCCATACAACTCTGTAAGACCAATTAACAATAATGCCAAGTCTCATTGCATTTAAAAGACGATGGAGAGTCGGCAGTGACGATCTTGTCGTTCCTGGATTCACTTTGGCCAGTATACACGCGCTTGAGTAAGTCCTTCTTTAAGACCATGTTTTGTTTTTTGAACGAACGGTTATTCAAAATGGTGTCACGAGAGTGTAGACGATATAAAAACCACTCGGTGCGTGTCGGTATTGTTAGATTTGTGGAGTATATTGTACATTCGATGCGTCTCTTTGGAGTTGTTATGGCTATCTCTCAAAGCTAACTCCTGGCTGTCTGGATTCTTATCGTGCCGTGTAAACACTACCCTAAAACGGTTAGCTTCACCGAGGGGAAGAAGCTCTACGGGTAAGGTTCATACCTACTTTACCTGGAGTACTTGACCGATATACATATATTGTTGAACCTTTGTCTTTATTTTTTTTTATGCTCATACCATTATTCTTTTGCTCGTCTCTTTAAGGATGGTTTGTACTTCAAAACTTATATATTTAGAGTCCTTACTGTTTCTTGTTCGTTCACACTGCTTTTTAGTTCACACTGAAGTGCACGATGTAAGGAGTCGAAAAATGAACGGAATATGTAAGCATCGATGTTAAATCGTCTCTTGCTACTTGACATTGTCGGGGAACACGGCAAAGCTTTTGATGTCATGTATGTACAAGGCGTCACGGTGACGAATGTGTTTCACGAGAATATACTCGAGCTACTCCCAGGAGACGCGAATCTTCTTCGATAGGCGGAAAAGATCAGTAGGGAAATATTTGACAAAATTTACGGAATTGGCGAAATTACTTCTTGTCGTTGAATCGTCAGAGTTGCACCAACGAGAAGATCGAGTATTTTACATATTCTGAAAGTTAATTCATGAATATACAAAAGAAAAAACGATTTCACTTTGTTACGTATATAATCAATGGAAATGTAGTCTACGACCATAAATAAAAATATAAAATATTCAGCCAGTATCTATCAGCGTTAGCAATAATTACTCAATGTTCACTTTACGCCATTTTAGATTCACTTTTATTATTTTAATTTAGTCTTAGCCACTTTTGTTGACACTTTCACCCTCGTCATTCATTCCCAATTGACTTTTCACAGTAGCAATAAATCCGATTGCCGTTTCTGCAGGTAGACTTCCCTCTCGGCGAAAGGATAATCGCGGATACGTAACGCGTGCGGTTAATTGGTAGGAATTAATTTACAATACTATCATCAAGTAAATGGAATTTTTAATTTCAATCGACAGAGTAAGGAGACACTCATTACGCAAGATCCCAATATAATTAACGTGCGAGTGAAATTGAAAAATACATCGTCATTTTCTTTTACTGAAGGAACCAGGTGTCCTCTCCGCTTTTTTGCACGTGGCAATAGCTCCCTATTGTTCGTTACCCTTATTTCGCGCTAATTGCAACCACCTGCGTAACGAATCGACGACCCCTTTTGTTTCTTTCCTTGGTCAAATGGAGGGTCTAAGGGAGTTCGTTTGTAGATAGGTTTAACGTACCTTTTTAGGTCCTAGGTAAACCAGTTTTCCCTTATCTAACAGCCATGCGAAACTCTTTCCATCTCCTGGCTAAACAGACAGCGAACGGTCCTCCGTTGTGGATCGTCAGCATTCACTCTTTAGATCTACTCTAAATTTCTGTTCTTCACAAATAGACAGGTAGGTAACAAAGAGAGAGAAGAAAACCGAGAGTCCACCTTCCTCGAGCATAGAGCCAGTATACCGAGACTCGTAAAAGTGTCGATAAGCAAAAAGAATTATACGTTTCTACCCATCATCCAGCTAGTTTATTTGTAACATAGAATTTTTTGAAAAATAACATTTCTATGGTCTCGATAGCTACGTTTTTGGGATACAGCACGAATAATAAGAATCGTTAAAAAGTGTCGCGCACGCTACATGAAAACGTGGTGTTGCGTTTAAGGGCGCAGGAAGCACTAGGAAAAGCGGCCTTTAAGGATCGATATGTCCACGTGCAACGCGTAACGTATTCTCTGTGAATGACACTCCTCGCGCAGTGTTGCCTATGAATCAGCTAAGGCCAATCCCCAACTACTTCGTAGCCCTACTTGCCCTTGCAGGCTTATTGCGTCCCCTGACCTCTTTGTCATAGAAATTCACGTCGTTTCGTAACGCGCCCCATATTGCCACGAATATTCACACATGAAAATAGACGGTAGACTTATCCCATGATTATCAAATGTTATCGTCCAGGTTCAAACGCAGCAATGTTTATTTACGTAGTTACATACTTTCTCGGCTTTGCGGTGAGACATTAAGCTTTACGCTTTACGGTATTTGCATTGAGCAATTGCGCCCTGATGCTCCTCTTCTATACGAGTTATGAATAGAAACTGCTCCCTCGGCGAACACGCATATAGAGCGTTACGTCGATATAGCGATCGCACGCGAGCCTGCCACGGGGATAGGATCGGCTGGATTTTACCTGCGTAGAAAGATTTACATCGAGGTTTTTCTAAGTGCATCCCTTCGATTGCATTGTTTCTAATGCATTTCGCTCCGAAACGTATTTCGCTTTGAGTCGTTTAACGGACCGTCGAGAACGTCCTAATTAATTAATGTCAGTGTAAAGGTTGGCAGACACAGTTAAATTATATTTTTGGAGTCGCACTTTGTTTAGTTGGCTTCTGCGCCAACTTTTAAGTAGGTACCTATACAAGGAATTAGAAAGAAGATTCATGAGATTATTCTTCTAGGATTGACGCGGTCGCCTATTTCTTCGGTCTCTGCTATTTCACTTTATGAGAAGTATCATTTTCTTATTCAGCCACTGGCTATCTGTCGCTTCGGTATCTTCATCCGGTGTCTTTTTTCGTCTTTTGCTATCGCTGCTGCGGCTTTCCGAGTTTCCTCTTCGGTCTCTGCAGTTTCTCTGTCTAGTATCTTTGATTTCTCTCTTGGGTCATTTTTATTCTTCTCGTCGCTCTACACTTTCTCTTTCCAGTCTTGACACAGCACTATATGGAATATTTTCAAAAAGTATTGTCCGACATATTTTCGATCACATAATATCGAATACCAATGTTTGAGTAAATAAGGGGCAGCAAGCTTTCATAAAATGTTTATTAAAAATGGCAGATTGCTTATCCGATATGTAAGGTTCGGGTTATATAGTTGTCAGGGACTATTAGTTATAAATAAAAGACATGGGTAATATATATACGTATATCGTATTTTATATTTCTAGAGGGGTATTTGTGTACTGTACAATTTCAAGGTTCACGCCAGACTGCCCTCGTCGGACACCGCAGCGATGTCATCAAATTGAGACGTAGTGGGGATAACTTTCGGGAGTCGTCTTTATCCAATAGAATTTATTCCTCGCATTACAGATATAAAACGTAAAGACAAAGTAATCGGCAAAAAAACTTCCACAGATACCGAGCGGCACTTCAAGCTCCGCAAAGTATCACGCCTACCAGTTTACATGTAATGTGTAAGTTCTGACGCATCGTACATTATTGAATTAATCACACATTTTTGTCGCATACCCACGTTCTTTGACGTTTCACACTGTTTGCCTATAATAATGTCCTAGTTACGTAGCAGCGGTTAATATTTTCCAACCTGCTCGATTTTCTCGTACAAAGTTTTTTAATAGAAATTTTCGTACCTCCATCACAATTAACGCGATCCATACAGCAATCGCGTGACAACCATCAAATCCGACGGATACGTTTAAGCTGAGCTACCCTGTACACGAACGTGC